TAATTAAAAAACTGTCTGAGTTTAATACCTGCCATATATCTTCACCTTCATGATCATCATTATTGTTATCATCATCATCATCATCATCATCATCATCATCATACCCTTTACTTGTGACAATGGAAGGCTCCAAGTATTGTGTGTTTTTTCTTTTTATTAATGCAATGTGGAGTAGTTGTGAATTGTACTCTGTTTTATTTTCTTTTGTAAAGGATAAGAGTGTGATCTCAGCAGGAATGGTTGCTAGTGAGGCCAGTAAAGGCATGGGCCCTGATGAGGAGTCATTTAATGTTCCTGTACCTGTTACACAGAAGGTACATACTACTTTGCCATGTGTCTTAAATTTTAAACAAATAATAACAATAATTTATTATTGATAGACAAACAGGAGCGTTTGCTATCAGTTTTATACATCCTGACCCAAACTATCGTAGTGTCTTTGTCAGATATGTAGATTTTATGCGTCAGAATTGACTTCAGGTTAAATTTTTTTATTACCTAGGTTGATCCTCAATACTTCCTTCGTCTACTAGGGCTAGGAGACAATAAGAATCAACCTGCAGTGAATCAAAATTGACCTGAAATCAAATTTGACCAGTAACAAAGACATTCAGAACATTATTCTTTTTGGTTCATATTTCCTTTATGTTATGCATATGAGTATAGGAAATTTGTGCACCACAAACATGTCGCTGGTTCTATTTATCTGTTGTTATTACTGTATTACAAAGATATGGAGTAAAACAGTTGTGCCATAGGGGTAAATAATTATTTGCCAAAAATGTGCTTGTACATAAATAACAGCAAGATTATGACTTCAGGACATTTTCTTGTTAGCCAACACAAAAATATCATTGATAGTTTTGGACAGAAATCCAACAGTGGAAAAATGTACCATCACAGCAATACTTGTTATTAATTTTTAGTTTCTTTAATCTATTCTCAGGTTTACCTCTGGGCAGACAAGTACAGACCTAGGAAGCCAAGGTTCTTCAACAGAGTACACACTGTATGTTTTTCACTGTTTTGATTATGCCAACAAGTTTTGATAGCATACAATACAATTTTTCAGATAAGCTTCACTGTTCGAGCAAAAGCATCCATTGCCTTCCTTGCACTTTTAATAACCTTTTTTCTCAGTCAGTTACAGTCAGCCTGTTAGTGAGCGGTTGTGTTGGGGTAGAGGAGGGAAGGTGCAGGAAGTCACTCAAGGAGTGATTGCATCATCCCCACCAATCTATATTTTGAATCATTTTCAAATTTCTTAGACAAGCTTGCAAACTTCTCTCTCCCTTACTATACCTTGTACCTGAGAGCTGGCTTGTGGGGTAGGTATTATACATGTAGTTGCTTGCGGCTGCTACAGCCTGTATGTGCATTCCAAACAGCTTGTTCATTATCGTTGTTGTGGTCAAATTTTGACCAGAATGAAATAGGGTCACTTAGGGCACTCTTATTCTGTAGTATAATAATTGTATATAGCTTCTTGCCTCTACATACATACATACATAAACTTTATTTATCCTCGGATTTTAGTGTAGCTTACATAGCTAGTATCTCCGATCCTAACTAATTTTATAAGTTACAACATATATAATATAATATTAATTGAAGTAGTATTTACAAAACTAAAACCGTGCACTAACAATTTGCGCTTAAATTCACTATAATCTACAGTCTTTCTAAAGTGATCAGGTAGAGAATTCCAGTACTTAACAGATGAATAGCTAAAGGAATTTAGACCATATGTGGTTGTAGACGGCTTAGGAAGTGATAAAATATTAATACCCCGTAGGGAGTAAGCAGTAGATCTTAACTTGATCAGTTGTTTTAAATAGCACGGATATTTACCAAAATGGAGACATTTGAATATACAAATCATCATACTTTGTATCCTCCTGTTGGCTAAACCACACACACCAGCCTTGTCTAGAAGAGCGTCATAGTTCGAGTCCCAGTCCTTTAAAACAAATCTTAAAATACGTCTATTTAAGGTGTCCAGTTTGACAGAATCTTCTGAATTACAAAAGTGCCATATCATTGAACAGTGGTGAAAATGGGGTAAGATAAACGCTTTATAAAGGCGAAGCATAATTTCAGATGAGATAAGTTTGCCAAATCTTTTGAAGACACTGAACTGATTATTTATTTTTTTGCATACAGAGGATATGTGATCCTTGAAATTAAGTTCATTGTCTAGAGATATTCCAAAAAGATCCAGGCATCTTGTGGTTAAAAAGGAGAAAGGGTAATCGGTTTTGCCAAGAACCATCCCTTGATGTTTAGCAGGGTTTGCTTTCATCCCATTGTCTTCGAACCATTTATTTGCTATTTGTACATCATGATTGATCCGCCGTTCCAAGGCTACTGGGTCTACATCAGATGAGTGCAGTTGGCAGTCATCGGCATAAGTGTTTAATTTTACAGACTTAAATAAATGTGAAAGATGAGGTCGTTGAGGAACATGTTGAAAAACATGGGCCCCAGGACGCTGCCTTGAGGCACGCCCCACTTCACACTCATCCAATCCGAATAAGTATCACCAATTTTCACTCGCTGCCTTCTATCCGTCAAGTAGTCACCGATAAGGGTGCAGTTGGATTCGTGCAAGCCATACGCTTTCAGTTTTGCTAAAGTAGCCTCTCAAAAACGTTATTGAGCGCGGGTAATACGGTCACTGGTCGATAATTGCTTTTGTTTAGTTCATCGTCCTTTTTAAATAAAGGAGTAACTTGACCTAATTTCAAGCGCGACGGATACTGTCCTGTCCTAATCGAGTGATTCATTATTGCAGCTATAGGACCAGCAATCGCGTTGGCAGACTCTTTTACCAGTCGCGGTGGTATTCCGTCATAACCACAGGATTTACGGGAGTTGATTTTGAGTAACAAAGCTTCCACTTGGGTTTTATTAGTATATTGAAAAGCAAAATTGTTTCTCGCAGCGATCTGCTCATTGTTATTAAAAATCGCGTGAATGCTAGGATGTGCATCTAACCCTTTTCCATAAATCTGTTCAGTAATCTCTGGCACGCCGTCCGCGATGTTCACGAAATAACTATTAAAAAGCTTCGCTACTTGTTTCTTGTCTGTTATTACGACATCGTGTTCTTTTAGTATTATGTCATTAGCTTGCGTACTTTTCCTTGAATGCAAAAATGGGCGGTATGTGTCCCAGAACTCCCTTGGGTTTTCCGACTCACTTTTCTTGTCAAAGAAAGTTTTAATAGCTTTACGTCTTAGAGAAGCGCAAGTGTTCCTTTGTCTCTTGTACAATTCATAATTAGTATCAGTTCTTTCACGAATGAAGCTCTTGCACAAACGGTTCTTCTGACGATTAGCTCTGCGCCATTGTTCATTCATAAAGGGAACTTGATTTCCCTTTATGCGGACCTGTTTCAAAGGTGCGTGCTTACAAAGAATGTCCTCATATAAACAATCAAACACGTAGAGCCTATCATCAACGTCGTCAAATATTTCAGCTACTTGGAAAGGAACATTATGCAAATCATGTAGAAAATGCTGTTTATCAAAATTCTTAAGGCTTCTAAATCGTATTTCCCGAGATCGTATTCTCGGTTCCGATGCTGTGAGAATGGCAAACACAAGAGAGTGATCACTTATGTTAACATGGACTACGCCCCAGAGACTGTATTTTCTTCACGTTGTCAGTGAGAAAAAGGTCCAGTGGGGTTTCTGATGTTCTAGTGATACGGGTGGCTTCATGTATTAAATTCTTCAAGTCGTAAATATCTAGTAGGTTTGCCATGACACAACCATCCCTTGGCGGCTTGTCTGGTAGTAAAACATATCCGAGTTAAAGTCACCTACCAAAAAGCAGTTACCAGGGAGTGTTGTGATCGCCTCCAGTATAGAGGATAGTTCAAATTTCCATAGAGATTGTGGGACAGACACAGATGTTGGAGGTCTATAGATACCGACAATATTATTGTTACCTACTTCTTAGCTATCCTCACCTTCAGCAACTGATTTATTCAATAGATATAGGCAAATGGAAGATTTATATTCTAATTTCTGTTGAAAATATGAATTGGCTACTTGTTGTATGGAATAGCTCTTACTTTTAAGGGCTAGTTTCTTTAAAAAGGATTAGGGTATTTGATATCTTACTTTCTTTTTTTTGTTCTTAACTGTATAGGGTTATGAGTGGAATAAATACAATCAAACACATTACGACAGTGATAATCCTCCACCCAAGATAGTACAGGGATACAAGTTTAATGTAAGCTGATGTTTTACCAGTTTTGCAGACCATTCTTTTCGTGAATTATGCTGTTGATTACTTGCTAACCAGTAAACTTGAACCCTTTCTGAAACTGCCCAAGATCAGCTCAAGAGTCTAGCCTAGTTTGTTAAACCTTTATACAGAACATGAGGCCAACTTGTCTACCATCTTGACACTTGTTGTAACAATGCAGCTGTTGCTCTTGTTAATGAGCTCTATTATTGCATTTTCAGATATTTTATCCTGATCTAATTAACAAGAGTGAAGCACCAGAATATTTTTTGGTAACATTTTTTTGTTTCTATTTCTTACACAAATTATGTAATTATCGTAAGTATTTTTGGGTTGATGAAGGAGATGCTTCCTATATTAAATAGAGTCGTTGGCTGTTCTGTGTGTTCGTGGGCAACCTGTACATGTTCCAAGTGTAAGAGATCGAGAAAAGAGGTTGTCATGTGTCGGTTCCAAATTTGCAGCATCATGAAATGTGACAATGGCATCCAGCATGCCTAGCGTACCCTGCACCATTTTGAAATGTCACAATAGTATGTCTGCGTCACAACAGTAGCCATCATGCCCATCACGTTCCCATTCCCAGCGCGTTTCGTAACATTTGGATCTTGCTTCCTCGATCTTTTCTTTTCTAAATCCTTCATACATCAAAGGCTGATCAAGGAAGTATTCACTATTCCTGGAGCTTTTGCAATGCGTGATGTCCAAATGGCATATTCTGTCATATTACTGCTGGCACAAATCTAGTGCCTAAGGCCCTAAGGTGACGCATTATATATTACTATATTACTGCTGGTTGTTTAACATATTTTGGCATTCAATTGTTACACCATAGATATTTAAACATGTGTAAGCTAAAAGTAACAGGCTAGTCCATGATTCACTTTCAGGAACAAAGTCCTGGAGATTCAAAGGATTTTGCAGTCCTTAGGTTCCATGCAGGGCCACCTTATGAGGTATGCTGACAGACTTCAGCCTAAGTGGTAACCCCACTTTGAAAATAATGGGGCTGTTCATTGTAATTTTCACAAACACTCCTAGGAATTATCCGAATCTCATTTTTGCTGGAATCCCATTCATTTTCACCCGTCAGAGGTACATGTACACTGTACCAATTCTTAAACAGAAAAAAAAAAAAAAACATTCTTTCACCAGCAATTTTTGGCTCCATTCCTTAAAAGATATCACTACAACTGTTATGGAAGTCAAGAGCTTGTAGCGGCCCCTACTCATGCTGAGCTGAACGTTTGCCCTCCCCTCCCCCCCCCTCATCAAAAACAGCGTACCGCAACCACCTGTGTCATTTTCATATTGGGGTCTCCCTGGACCCCTACTGACAAGCACCAAAAGTGTTTTTGTTTCACTTTGGTCTTTTGGTTTTATTACGATCATTATTCTACCTTTTGATCAAATTGCAGGACATCGCCTTCAAGATTGTCAACCGAGAGTGGGAATATTCTCATCGCCATGGGTTCCGCTGTCAATTTCAGAACAACATTTTCCAGCTTTGGTTTCATTTTAAGCGATATAGATATCGAAGATAACTGTTACAGTCTGCATTATTATCTTTGTGTAATGCAAGATGTGAAATGTGCAAGATTTTCCACCTCTGGGAGTTCAGCTGCCCAAAAGAAAACCATCTACAAAATAAAACAGACAAACAAACTTCCCAAGGTTATGAATGGACCTATTTTTGGGAGTGATGCTCATCAGTAATGCTCATTATGGAGTTACATACTGCAGGTCCAAAATGGTTGTGTATATGAACTCGATGTATATAAAATTTTTATGGTCTTTTATAGAAATATTAAGGAACAAAACTGGCAAGCAAGCTGTCATTCACTCATGTTTGTCATTTTCCTACTCATAATCATCCATGTTTCTGGGGTTTAAGACTCATTCCTGACAAGTAAAAAGTTTGTTGCTAGTAACAAAGACTTTGTATTAAAGTTATTATTTTAATGATACTGAATGTTTTATTAACAGTGTTGTAATACAAATTTACAGTGTGGTTGAATGTAGCACTCTGATTGATTAATTACACATCATTAGCTGCAGCAGTATATTTTTATTCATTTTCAACACTCATTCAAAGGTCATAGCAATTATCTTTCATTTTACACTATTATAAATTATTGGAGATGCTTCTTTGTCTCTTTCTTTTTTTTTCTTTTGTCGAAAATTAATGGTAGAAAAGAAATAAAGTAAAATTCATGGCAACTAACAAGAAATAAAATTAATCTGTAACATCGATGATAAGAGGTGTGACAAATTCGCTATGTCTGATTCCAAGTGAAAATTTGGGTGCAGCTGGTTTGTTGAGTTCCACCTTCTCGGGGCTGTGTGCACCAGGACCGGGCTTCTGTGTTGAGTCTGTAAAATAAAGGAAGCCATGATTAAAACTCTGTAGCAAAACATGCAGTCAACCCCCTTTTCTCAACTGATTTTACTTACAAACAGAGATTTTCTATATATTTTATTGGATCAAAAGAGACTCCCAATAGGGTGTAGTTTTACATACTCTCTGACAGGGTTGCCAGAAAGTTTTGAAGTAGATGGCTGGATTGTCAAAGTAAGCAGCCAGTCCAGGGATATTTTATGTAAAAAAACATCATCCGTACAAGCAGGCAGCGATTTTCGCCGGCATCCGGCTACTTTTGACAATCCTGCTCTGAGTAGCCTATGAATAGGCTGCAGGAGTATCTTGGTGAGGGACATGTCTCCTCCTCACCTTGTGCTCTGTAGCTTTTTCTTTGTGATATACTCCACTAATCTCACTGGAAGTCACTGATAAAATTTCTTATAATGTTTATCCCTTAACCCATTAAGGCCCCTAGAGTGACCAACATCAATTTTCTCCTAACAACATCAGCACATCATCAACAGTTAAGGTCATGAGAATTACTAAACTGATTACCAAAGGGATAACTCTTTGATCTTAAACCAAATTCTCTCAACTATTCTTAGAAGAAATGTCTGGAGATCAGTCATGAGAATTTGTTTTTAGATCTTCGGGCTTAAAGGGTTGAAAACCTTGAGGTCAGTTTCAAGAAGCCATTTATAAGTTAAGGTAAATCTTTTTAAAACCAGGCCATCTTGAGGAACAACACTACCTAGGACACATTTTAACTTAGAAGGTCATGGTGAATGAAAGCAAAACAATGTGAACATTACCTCCAGGCATGAAGTTTCGCTGTAACATAGAATAGGCAGGGCTTTTTCTCTTATAGGTACTTGGATCCACTGTTTGGTATCTCCCTGGTCCTGGAGTCTTAGCAAGGTCCTCAGAAAATCCACCAGTTTTTGCTCGGCTGGTCATTGAGAAGCAGGCTGAGGAGCCTTTGTTTGGGACTTTTGGGCCAAGAAGTGGTGGCAGGGTGTATGAGTTAGGAGAGGGAGTGGCATCGCCTAAAAGCAAAAAAGTAATGTTAACACCCTATTCTTAAGTTTTGTGTAAAGTTGTTAGCTTAATGAGCCTATCTGTGCAATTCAGATAGGCTCCAAGCAAACTTGGGTGTTATTATTGTGGAGTCTTCATTATTAATTTTGGAGATTGAAGTTTTTGTAAGTGAGACTCGAAATGGATCGGCAGATAATTAAACTGAGTTTTTGAAGCTCAGTTATATATCCAATCTTAGATTAACCACAAATAGAACATGTGAGTTAGTTGTCATGCTTACTAAGACTTGATTTGTGCAAAGCATACTTTGAACGAAACAACTTGAGCTGTTGAAAGGTTGCTGCACAGGTAGTCTTCAGGATATTGAGTTTTTATGGGTCCCCTGATTGTCGTCAGATCCCAATTTCTTTGTTTTCTTTTATCAAATCAGATGAATTGAGCAAGACAGGATAGAAGTGAGTATACGTACGTTTTCTGTATCGAGATCTACTGCCCATTGAGTATGCTGGGGCGTGTCTTTCACCCTGCGGATGAACCTTTTCTGGGGAGTAGGCTCCTGGCGCTGGAGTTTTGAATGTTGCTGTTGAAGACATTAAACAAAACATATTTTGCAACTTTCTTAATATTATAACTTCTACTGTCAACTCTCTGTAAGATTCATACTATAAAGGTGGCAACTCCGTATGCATGAAGTTTTAAAAATGGGACAGTTACAAAGAAGTGTTGTTCCTTTCTAGAGTCAAAGAATGTTACTAGAGAGTGGCAAATTAAGGCCAACTCTAGGTGTTCATTTTAGGGAGGTGTCCATCGTAAAGAGCTGTTCATTGTTAGAGCTGACTGTATATTTATACGACTGCCATTCTTAAATTAACATGTAATAATGGTGAAAGGCAGTCTTCACTTTTTTTCAGTGCAAATCCTTTTTATGTGCCCCATCAGTTTAATTATTTCTACATGAACATGTGATGTGATTTAAAGGACTCCTGTTCTCTGCTGACTTTTTTAATAGGGTGCATTCGATTGATTGTATTCTGGAATAAGAATATGCAAAAGTTTTGTTTTGTAGATCTTGTACTCTTGGACTAAAAATGAGATGAAGGTCGTCTTTGCCTCCCTTAGATCCATCTCTGTGTGTATCACCAATGCAGGCTTTGCACTGTACTAGCTAGACCCACATACAAAACTGTTGTTGTCAATTCATCTATCTACCCTGTGAGGCCCTTCGATCACACTAGACTTCCTGGTATGTAGGAAGATCAAAGGGCCTGTTCTTGCATTATTTTTTTTTGTAAAATTGAACTCTGTTGTACCTATTAAATTATTAAGACGTAATCCATCAGGAAATTGAGTAATTTTAATTTTCAGTCGACAAAAACCTTGTACCAGATTAATTTAAAATAATAATATCACATTCTTTTTTACATTTTCCAAGGGCTATAGATGTAATTAGTTATCTGTAATAACACCAAAGAAAATTTCTCTGAGAGCCGGAGAAAATAAATGTCAAATTTCACAAAATGACACCTTACACATGAAAGTTTCAGAATAATTTTCACCTTTGTTTTCACAATTCTTGTGAAATTTGACATTTATTTCCTTGGGATCTCATGAGAAATAGCTAGTCTTTGGTGTTATTACAGATAACTAATTATATCTATAGCCCTTGAAAAAGGTAAAAGACAATGCAATATTGTTTAAATTATTCTGGTACAAGGTTTTTGTCCACTGAAAACTAAAATTACCCAATTTCCTGATGGATTCCATCTTAATTTTATTCTAAGAGCCTTCCTTAGATTAATTTTTCTTTTTTATTCAAATATTGTCAAAATAATCTAGCTATCTGTTCCAGGATAGCAACATATTCCTCCATTTTTCCTTTTACAATCTTTTTAATCACCTGATGTGGCTTAATGTGCCACCAAGCTCCACAAAATGACTTTGAAGTAGGGATATTGATTCTTACGAATTTGCATCTAAAGAAGTCAACAGAGGTAATTGAAATAATGGGAGCAGGTGGTTGCATTCATATTGTCATCCAGTGTATTTCTGCATAAGATAATACTATACAAAATCCTACTCATTTCTTTGCCAATAGTTTAACGCAAAATACTACATTATTTTAGCGCTTCAATTTTTTTAATACTTTGCGTGACTTTCAGGTGCTTGTCATTATTAAACCTACCCTGATCTTTTTGCTGCCCAAGGATAGAGTACGCTGGGGTGCCGTCCAATCCTGTTTTAGTTATTCTAGGATCTATTTTATACTGAGGTCCAGGACTGCATTCATCTTTAAACGCTGAAAGTAAATAATAAAGAACTTTATTCGAAAACAAATAATCCATAAACTGAGGGAAAACCCTTAACGCGATAAATTGACTTCTTAATACGTTTCAATGCATCGCTAGTGATAATCGCTTTTGTTGTTTATAGTACTTACTGTTGGGAAGACGTTGTCCAAACGAGTATGCTGGATTCATGCGTTTTGAAAAGTCGTGCTTTTGAAAGCCCATTGTGGAGGGAAGGCCATATCTGCCCGGTCCGGGTCCTGTTGAGAAAAGAAACAAGCCCTCAGCAATTTAGCGTCTAGCAATTTACCAGCTGTAAAAATTAAAACTGTAAACATTTCCATCAAATATTGAAATATTCGCCGCACTCGCTCCTCTAATTTTCCCTTTCCTCATAAAATTTGTCTAATTGTTCAATTTATCGTGCTGAATGAAACGCAATTTCGATCTGACAGGTTTATTTTGGATACTTTCTGCCACAAGACGGCAATAAACTTACCTAACAGTGAAATCAATTAGCGAATTGCGCATAAAAGTTCACAAATGACACGGGAAATAGCGAGCAGCTGTGTGATTGTAAAACACCAAAATAGTTTATTTAGTGCAAGAGAAAGTAAAGAAAAGCCTCATTTTACTTCCTTTACGATTGATAATGGAAATGATACCGTTTTGAGCATATTGTTTCTTTACGAAGGAGAAAGGGGATTTTAGCTTCAATTGTCACGATCAAGTTTCCACTTCGCACAGGGAGTTATTTTAAGCTACCGTACAATGACATCTTAACTCTAAAAAAGCGAACTATTTTACAGAAATTTCGTCCTTTAAGTAAAATAAGTCTAGACATTTGCAAATATTTTCACAGCCACAAGATCTCATGTATGCAGAAGTGATATAAGCTTAAAGGTATTGAATTGTGGTTGCTCAAATAAGTCAAGTGTCTGAAACACGCATGTTTTCGAACGTAGAAGTCGTTCGTTTCAAATCTCCGCCCGGAGAATACCTCGTCCACTTTCAAAAGGTCTTTGACTGTAAAGTAAAAAGGCAGACTGATTTTGAATACTTTTAATTACTCCGGAGAGCCTGGTAGGCTCCGCGCCAACTCTCAATGAACCAACCTTCCTTCTCGATTTATGACTGTTCTCAACTTTCGTCTTACCTCGTTCCCTAGCTGCAATATTGGGTTTCTGCGTTTCTCCTTCCTCGGCCATATTAGGACCAGAAACCAAAGAATATTATTTAGATTTTTACCACTAAAGTATAGCACGCTCTCGCCGCCACGAATTCCGATGCGATCTGCTTTTATCGTTCGTAAACCAAACAGCTAAAAACGTCGCCAAGAAGCTGGTTTCCCTGACAACTGACTTCCAGCCCATAGCAACCGGTAAACAAATTCCTCACTTCCGGTCTTTTGATCCCGTTAAGGCAGGGACTGATGGGAAAAAAAACGCAACGACGACCACTAACTTTCAGTATAATTTTTTTTAAAGATTACAATGCCAGAAAACGCAAGATCACCATTCTCCGTTAGGTAATATTCCCACACACAACACAAAAACGCAGTTATTCACTGAAAAAATCTCCACTACTGACTGATTTTTTTACCTTCTTCTTGTTCCCCTGTGAGAACATGTTGAAAAGTTTCCTTGTGAAAAAAGGATATTAAGCTTATTTAATTCAAATGCATTTCATCCTTTGTTAACATCCCTCCATTCGTCTTTACCGAAACTGATGTAAATCTAAGAATACATTTTGCTCTTCCGATCTAATGGACTGATTTAAGATACCCTGGGCGCGGGCAACCACTACTTAATGCAGATTTCCATTTTAGTCAGGCGGCTTGGCTAGAAAATTATGCGACTTTTGATTCAAGCGCCAAACTTTGTAGGAATATTTACATTCCCAGGTCGGTCATTTCCTGATATAGTGCCAAGCTTAATTTTCTAATTCCTGCTAGTTAGCAGCGAATGAAATATTTAGACCCGAGACCCCCCGCAAAGTTATTTTTCTTACTCTTTCTTCAGATATAAAATGCCCATAACGATTTTTTTTATTTTCTCATCCAAATCTACACATCAAGCAATGACGTTCCCGGAAGTAATTTTTTGATTCCGACGAAAACCGATTTTTTATGATTTCTTTTTTAAGTCTTCGAAATTTGCCGCCATTGTTCCACCATTCGCATTAGCCTCCTCTCGGTTGGACTGGAGCCGTGACGTAGGTTCAGGAATTCTTATTCCTCTCAAGCCAAGTGATTCGGTTGTATCTTTCTCGATCGTGGAAAATATACCGTGGAAAATGCCGGATAGATGTGTTGCAGCGCGTTGCAGCAATGTAGCTGACCCTAAGAAGAATGTTTCGATGCATATATACGGATTCCATTCTTTGGCGAGGAATGCCCGATAAAGAAGAAAAGAAGAAAGAGGTGGATCAATTTCGTGTTGGAGAGGTGGAAGATGTGGGTGCCGGGGAAGACGTTATATTTCAAAATACAGGTACATCAATATACATCATGTTTAAATTTGGATACAAATTGTTATTGTTATTTTCTTCTCTTCAGTATATATAAATGCAGGCCATATTTTGGAATTTATCTGCACATGCTTTTTCTCTCTTTTCTCTTGGTTGAGTTAGTTCCGTGGGTAAGAGTTTGTGCTATGTCATTCTAAATATGAATGCGACTCGCATAGGCGTACGGACCGGGGGAGCGAGGGGCGCTGCATCCCCCAAATTTTGCGCAACTCAGATTTTTTGGGCAGCGAGAGAAAATTTGGGCAAAGCCACGTTTCCATGTTTTTTAAATCATTATTTTGAAGAGATAAATATTTTCTATTTTAACCTGAAGTTGGCGTAATAATCCAGTACTGTTACATTCACACAAGACAGTGGTTGCCTAGCACGTAATGAGTTTCTGTTTATAAGGAAAGGGTATCATGTGCTTTTTTTTATTGTTGGGCACTGTACTGCAATGGGCTATTTCCAGTCGTGAATTGATTAGAATAGACTTCCGCCTAACTTTCTAGAATCATCGCCACTCGTAGAACAGTGTATGGCAGATAGCATCAGCAATGGCTCTGAAAGTGAAGAAGTGGCTGACTAATTCTCAGTTTGAATTACGCTAAGAATAGTATTTTTTTAACAAAAAAATCTATCGAGTGGTTTAAAGATTATTCACTAATTTGTTAAAGTAGACCGAAATGTTTACAAAACCGCTAACAAGAGCGCCATGATACATACTAAATACTCAAATCCTTTTTTGGCCAGAGCTATCTCCATGATCTTTTACCCACGTTTTTAAAAAAAATGTTGCTGCAAGTATAATAGGTAATGGTATCATTTGGTTGCTATGACAACTTCGATGTTATTGCAACCCGGATCATAACAAATGTTCATCTTTATCTAATACACCTGTGTTGGCAATTTTTCCCAATGTTTGTTTATGGTGTTGTAGTCTATGCTCAAAACAAACTTCACAGGTATTGACCCTGAAAAACTGTATCGAGCCACTTTCATATGCTAGTACGACCTATGTTGTTGCATCGTCTGGCCCTCGTTTCTGTTCGACTGTTTTGTAAAAATTTGGGCAACTTGCAAGAATTTTTTGGGCAAATGGTTTACCGCCCCCCCGGACAAAAAATTGCCCGTACGCCTATGGCGACTCGGTTTAGCTAGAAAAAAAAACTATTTTAGTCAGATTAAAGAGAAGCCCGTCCATTTAAAAAAATGTAGTTACAAAGAGGTTAATTTGAAGACGAAGGAAACAGGTCGCTACCTCAAGCAATTGACTGGTTACAAGGTGTTCCATGTTATCGAGTCGTTTGCTATGTGGCAACGATCTCGTCGCGATATGTTCAACAGGACGAAACCGGATCGCATTATGAAAAGAAAAATTCCTGTAACTAATCCACAGCATCAAATGTACACGGGGCAAGAATGCGTCTGTTTGCACGGGGGAAAAGCAGGTATTAAAATGATAGTCCATGTGGCTGATGCAGTTGAAAGTTTTCACAAGTCAAACATGATTTAAAATTTCGCCCTTTTTTTCGCTCCATTTCCTCACTATCTTGGAGCCTGGAACAGGCTTCTTTATGCTTGAGGGAATTTTGAGTGTCCTATGGGACAGGAAATATCCTACCCACACTCTTTCCAAAAGTCTTTGGTCCATCTAACTCGACGTTTCTCCTTGTCTTCCTTGCCCTAACAATGTGTGATACAGTCTCCTTCTCCGCTGGTCATAGAACTGCCATTGAAAGGCGGCATATTGTTATTATTAAAATAATCTCAAAGTATGTGCATGTGTTAAAGCTAAATAAACGTTGTGTTACCTAACCTTCGGTAAGTTGTCGTCCTTTGGCCTGAGAAGCGGTATTTAGAGCGATTTTGAATGATTTTGAGTTCGCTGTATACTGTTCCTCTTAATAGAAGGACCCTCTTCATATGAAAGAAGATCATCGCAGTCATAGACGCATACAACTTTTGCAGTTGCGAAAAGAAGGCCTCATTTTTTTTCAGGCTTTCTTTTCGCAACTGCAAAAGTTGCATGAATCTATAACTACGAATCTATAGCTTTGTTTTCTCATTTTTGCGTCTAAATCAGTTGCGGTTCTATGAGCAGATTCGTCGTCATCGTCATCTTCCTCCGACTTCTGCCTTCTCCCATTTTGTTTCGACACGGGGTATTCATTAGTCTCCTTTGCAGCAGTTATTAGGGTCGTCACGTAACGCTCCTCTTGGTGGGAGTGGGGGTAGGGGGGGGGGAGGGGTTAGTGTTGCAGACTACAGTAGGTATTCAGGGAACTGGTCAAGATTAATATTATTGACTATTAAATTGACACATCACTCTGTGATGATGATGATGATACCTTTATTAAAGTGTCAAAACTGTAATAGCGGTGTATGACCACTAAGTGGGGACACTAAGTGGAGGCTGGTGGTGTCTTAATGAGCCTTGGCGTGACTCCCGCGTAATCTTCTCGAATCAAAAGTCGGTATTCACGAAACTTGCAATTAACCTGATAAACTGGTAGAACAGTCAAAAGGGGCAGTTACTCACATTGAGGGTAAACCGCGGTTTTCAAAAGAAAAAAGAAAAAATCTCAATGTGAGAAAAGAACGCTAATGCTCTTAAATCTTTGTATAAGTTACTGGCGCGATTGTAGAGCTTTCGATCAAAATCTGTATTTCAAGTCTCATGCACTAAGTTATCCACGTCTTCGTGCAGGCTACTTTACAAACCCGTACACAAACGCAAGCCTATAGCGCAATTGAGTTAGCCCATTTGCTATAGCAACGACGACAGCAACTGCAGCGCCAAAAACTTCCGTTTGTTCTTTCGTCTCTTTGTTGCTGTACAACATAAATAAGTCTAAAATCTGATAGCAATAACTTGCTGTTCTTGAGTTTTCGTCTAATACTTAACGCCAGATTAATTTGAGCTCTATTCTAGAGAAATCTGCATGCATGACGCCTCTTGCTTTGGTGTCTGGACCAATGTTCTGACCGATATCTTTCATTCTCAGTTGATCCAGCATCCTTTTTATCCTTGGTATCTGAGGATTGACTTCAAATCGAAGCAATTAACGTTTGAGTCACAACGCAGTTCGGTGGCAAGTTTTACAACATCTGTCCTTCCAGTGTTTGAACCGGCAAAACTTGTGGAGCACAACCAACTTGCAAAAATATGTGTCCCTGCTACTTTCAAAACAGTTCTTGGATAATTTTTGAGTTGGTTTACCCCTATGCTGTGACTTTCCTATGAACAAATCAGAAAAAGCTCTGTTTGTTGCGTATTTAGCTTAATTGAAGATTGGGATTCGGAATTTTACCGGAGAACAGCGATATTCGCGATTCTAACTTGGGACCGAAGACAAAATTATAAGGAAGAGGAGGAATGGGACACGATGGGATTCGGAATTTGAAGGGGTTAGTGTAGGTGGCGGGATTCGGGATTGTGCTTATCAAAGAGATACAGGATATATCGATTTTACAACTGATTGTTTTTTTTTTTTTAAATATTACGTTAAAAAAGCAAACAGCTTTAATGTTGAAAATAACTTGTCATGCTTTTCATGTAGCATGGATACAATTTGGGAGAAGTCACAATTAGTGATCTCTTCAGGGCGATCCGTAATCTAAATATAAATGTGTTAGGAAAACTTACCCGTCTTTGTAGTAGGGCACGCCTTGGTGTTGCAGTTCTCGTAATGATGTGGCTTGCCTGCCATGGGACAAGCCCTTGATTTTAAACCACTTTTTATCTCATAACATTTCACTTTACGTTTCCGGGTTCCACTTCCACAAGTAGCTGAACACTGAAACAAAAGGAAACAATATTGGCGTTGTTCAATTTTTATTGAACAATTTATACATGTATCCTTATAGATACTCTTCACGCCCTTACGAATAGTTATTTGGCCGAAAAGGGTTTTGATTGTATTTTACGCTAATCTACCGCAAGCTCAAACAAGTATTACTTCTTTGGATTCTATAGTTCAAACGGTCTCTATTATAAGCACTTTTCAAAATCGAGTGAGTGTAGCATAAAAATCTCAGTATTTGATTGAATATAATGTGGCCGCTAAGAGTGACCACCTAGATTGACAATAGCGTAATTATTAAGATCATGACCGTTTAGTAACGTGAACCCTGTGGTTTAACGGTTGGCGTCCCACCCAGAAGTTCCTGTCAAGCGTTCTTTTCTTTTGGGATCAGAAGAGAGATCAGGTGACGAGCTACGAGAATGCCAGCGTGGTGTTATGGTAAGGGTTGACTTTCAACTATTCTGTGCACCGTCCGACAAGTTACAAAGTTAAAAATACAGTCAACTCCCTTTATAGCGGACACTGTAGGGACCTTGAGTTAGTGTTCTCATTAGCGAGAGTCCGTAATAGCGGGAGTTTATTTCAGTCAAACGCCTGTTTTTTTTATTTTTGCCTGGTATTTAGCTGCTGTCCGTATTATGGCGGTATCCCTTATAGCAGGGTATCCGCAAGGCGAGAGTTAACAGCAGTTGCATTTATCTTCAAGTCAGATTTCACTTACTTCACCCCAAGATCCTACTTGCCAATTCGCACATGGGACCATCGTACATCTCCTTTGTCCAAAAGGTCGACGTGTTTTGTCACACAAAAGATGTGATCCGGCGCAGTAGACACGGCGAACCTGGCTTCCTTGGCCACATGTTGCCGAACACTGAAGTTGATAAATCGACAGAAACCATGACCGAATCAAATGGTTTTTAAAGATTTTTCCCCAATAAAAGAGACAAACTTGAAAATATGTCCCCAAAGACCAATTCACGTCCTACCGAAATAACCTTACCTTACTCCAGTCACTCACAGACCACATCTGGCAGTCCGATCCAGTGCATTGCTTCTCGTTTCTGGCCTGAGTGAAATGAGGACAACGACAACAGAACTTAGTTTGAACTGATATCTTTTATTATGGTCTGTATGACCAGAACCTTTCAAGACATTATTCAACAGCAGAGTGATTCCTAGCGCAATATATTGAGAGTTTCTATTGAGAAAAACTTTTGACAAACTAACTTACCTTAATTTTAGAAGGAATAGCGGAAATTTTAGGACACAGTCCTTTGTTGCAGTAACTCCAGGAAATAGGTACAGCTGAACTGTCACATCCCTCCTTAGAACCCACAGCATCACAGGCTACTTTTCTTCTTTTAATTCCTTGACCACAGGACACCGAACACTGTTCATACGTGAAAATAACAGAAAGGTGAAAAATCTTACAAAATGTTTCAGACTGTATAAGGAATTTGGCTTTCCGCCTGCTATTTAGAATCGATAGGAGACCTATGTTAGAACGTTAGTAGGGTTGGAATGCCTCTGGGTGCTGCAGTAACACTTGACGAGCACTAACAGAGCAAAGAAAAAAAAGTGCCGAGAGAGGATATTTGAGATTTGAAAAAGATCCAGCCTCAAAAGCACAAAGTTCGGCTCGAAAAGATCGACTCCAGAGTTTTACATCAAATATTTCAATGCATGTGGCATGAATAGCTTTTACCTTTGACCAGGATCCCACAGTCCAAGCTAAAGGGCATGCTCTCTTGAAACATGACCTAAAAACGGGAGGCTTCTCCGTGATCATTGCGCATGCCTCGTCTTTTAACGCTACTTGTTCATCATTTCCAGAGCTTCTTACACAAAGCACTGACCGAATTGAGATGCCTTTTCCACATGACTTGGAACACTTCTGCCACTGACCCTTCCACCATCTAAAATTGGAAGATAAAACATTTCCAGCTATTTGACAAGCAAATAATAATATGTGGAGAGGAGGTGGACATAAGGCTCCGCAACGAAATTAAATTTGCCGGTCGGCCTCATAACAGTTTGCCCTCAACACTCCGGCTTCAGCCTTTGTGTTTCGATCGTCTTTGTAGTTCTTACTTCTATTTTACGTTCTTTTTCAGACTTTTTGCCATCGCACTCCGCCCATCGGACAACCATAAATAAAGAACCGGAGCTTTAGGAATGTTTATTTTAGTGCAAGGGCAGGAGTTTTATCATTTTAATACACGATATCTACAGAGCCAGGAATATAGGCTTAAAACAAAAAATGTGAACTTGAGTTATTTCGAAAATAGAAACAGCTGCTTTTTTTTTCGTGGGAAGCGTTAGAATTAATTAGAATTAGCTAGAATTGATAAAACACGTCTGCGAGTGCTTTGAACAGCTCCAAGAACTCTCCCTAGAGTATTGTATTTTTGCTCTTATAGGTTGACGTATTGTTCCTTGAATGCGTGCTTTATTCGAAAGCGCAGAACAAACACCACCAAAACAAAAAAGTTGGTGAACTATGCGTAGATTCATTTACAGCATACGGGTATAGCATTGCGTTTGCTCGTTAGAATTTTTTTTATTGTTTTTAAGCTCAACACAATGAACAATCGCAGCCGACAAACGGGAATGCTGTATGCATATGCCCCAAAAGAATTTACGCTATAAACACACAAACGAATTTTAAAACTGAACCGTACAAGTGGAAAGAAATTGCTCGAAGAAAGTGTCAACAAACGTATCCGCAACTCGATATAATGAACAGTGAAAGTTTCTACAGAGTTGGAAATTGGTAAGAATGCCGTTTTCTTCTCCTTATTTTATGCTTCTTAAGAACTCGTATCTTGTAATGGATGGTTGCTGTTGTTGCCTTGGTTGAGAAAACTTTGTGTTTCGCCTGCTTTATTGAGAATAAGTTTTTCCCAGCCGCCAGTTTAGGCTAACTTTATATCAATGGCTTATTTACATTTTATTTTGAACTTTTGACTATTTCTTTGAATGGTAAATTAGGTATTAGTATTGGTCAAAACGCTTGAATACTGAATATATAAACTATGCATACACTATATACTGAGTTTTTGAATGAACTTGACTACTGAAACCAGTTTGTTCGTACACTAGGTTACATGAAGGCGCCCGCTTATTCCAAGACATCCCTTTGCCAGAAGGCGAAACGATTTCAAGTATATATGGTAAGTTTAATGATGCTAAATTGACAAGACCGTTGGTTTACTCAAGGGAAAGGGCGGAGGAAAAATAGTCCCCTCCCATGAGTCCTCGCCCCCCTGACTGGGTACGAGTCTGTGGTTTACTCACGTAGGTGGGCAGGGGTTTTCGTTACAAGTCCTTTGCCTGTCATCAGGGCGGGGCATGGCCTTGCAATATTTGTCATCCACCGGCGTCCCGCTTTCCTCGACACATTCTACCTCGGCGCGCTTCGTACCTAATAAACAATTTCAAGCACAAGTATTATTATCATCCTTTGTTGAGAAAGAAGGATAGAAAAGAGAAAATTTATTATTGTTTTGGCTAGAGAGAGTATTATAGTTTTAGTAGGCATTTAAGTTGATAGCCTGCGAATGCAGCTGCCTCTCATCGCTCCCGGCCGTTCTTGAAACGGGGAGCAATCCCAGGCAGCTGTTTTCCCAAGCTAGTGAGTTAAGTCCCAAGGGGACAAAATATATAAACCCCAGTGGCATTAAGCACCTTGCGAGTGCCTTCTACGGTTTTAAAACGTAACAGCAAATCCTGTGAGCAATTCATCTAGTAGACTAAAATGTTGAAACTTCTGAAATTCGCAAGTCTGGGTACAGCGTCTTTTGCCAGGTCTTCTTGATCAGTTCATTTCAGCGTCGTATCCGAAACGAACGGCCGGGAATTCTCTTAGACCAAGTGACCCGACACGAACTGGTGGCCCGTAGTGATGAGCCTTAGAGTCTAGCCAATGTCTGAGGTAAAAGGCATAAAGTAAGATCGCTAGGAGGTATAAATATATTTAACTACGAGAAGGCGGTCAATAAAAGAAAGCCAGTAAACGAATTATCACTTACCAATACCACAAGTAGCTGAACATGATGTCCAATCTCTGTATTTCCAGCTGAAGACAAGTTTGTGGGTTACTGTCTGATTCTTTGGAATAGTGTACTCAAATTTTAATCCAGGATTCTTGGTTTGAAATAGAAGCTGAGAAGGAATTGAAGAAACGAGATTATTTGACCGTAAGTCTACTTTCCTGAATTGATAGAAGAATAACATCCACCTGTACTGAGATATTAAATGTTACAAACTAACTTTGCCCCTTTCTTCTTTTTTCTCTTTTCTGTGAGTGCAAAAAGCATCCGTTTTGTAAGTTGTTTATTGCACAAGCTGCTGGTATGAAGTTTAAAGAGCGACCTGATGTGATTTTGAATTTTTACTGTAGATGTAGAGTTAAACGTAAGTGTTGTCGACAGTGTAGTAATTTTGCAAAAATGGGTGCTGGGGTCCTCTGATTTATTCTGTTGTATTTACACATACCGTAGGGAAAATTCGTAAAAACACATAGTTGAAGTTATTGAATTTTGGGTGCGCATTTACATTAAATTTCAAAACATAAAATAAGCCAAAATAAACAGCTAGGTAAATGCCTGTTTAAGTTTCAGCGCACCATGATATGAAGTTCGTCAGTAGTGGGTCCTAGCGCTTCGAAAGTCTCTTTGTTGTGTCTGCGTTTGTAGAATACTGTGGTACCGCCAGCCGTGTATTCACCGCTCTGCTGAATGTACCAATCACCGTTCAGATACCATTTACCACTTGACGACCGCAGGGCTAAATAGTTTGACGCGCCAGCTACTTCTTCAACTCGTATATTTCTTGCACCAGCTGGAATGACTTTTGTCTCTACGTATCCTGTGTTTTGATCGAGTTTTAAGAAAGTGAAATTAGTAAAGGGAAACTGAAAACTAATTTTTCCTGCAGCTTGCACTGCATGCGTTTTCTGGGATTGCGAGGGTATTTCAATCCGCTCGAGCTGTGTGCAAGGTAGCGACAGGCAAGAAACGTCTTCTCGCACTGAAAGGCTAAGAATCAATCAAAGTTGGCGATTACACACAGGAAATACCTAAACTCCTCTCTTCGAAAAAAATAAACATAGTGTACAGCAGATTGATATTTATTTAGGATTCAGTCAGCTTATACTGTCACGGGCATTCTCTAAATTGTACTCTCGTTGAAACAATTCGGGAGGCGTGTGTGGCCGAGCGGTTAACATCTCAAACTGCGGGTCTGGAGGTCCGTGGACCAAGTCTATTGGGTTGTTTCTTTACTCCACTTTGTCTCTTGTCACCCAGGTGTATAGATGGGTACCGGTGACATACAGTACTGCTGGGGGGTAACCCTGCGATGGACTAGCATCACGTCCAGGGGGAAGTAGCAATGTTCGCAGGTATGCTTCATACAAGGAAACCAGGATAAGCTCGTGCCGTTTGGGCCTTTGGTTTGTGTGCTTCTTTACCTTATCTTTATTACGGCTTTTATAATAAAGACAATTTTTATATAACGGTGTTTAACTGCCAGGACAGTTGTCAAACATGTTTTAGCTCTAACGGCGATTGGGGCAGGAGTTATACAATGGCATTTAGAAAGTATTCGCCAATAACAACGAACATTGTTCTTATTTAATCGTCACATACGTTAGGAATCTTAAGGTGGCTCCGTAATTAATACAAGAGCATTTAGCTGTGACAAATTTTCCGTCATAACTTTTTCGATTTTACATGTAACGCAATGGCTGCGAAACTTTGCAAAGAAAAGAACAACAGATATCATTCGACAATAATACGAAATATTCCGATTTCATTGATGGTAAATATTTCTTGAGAAATTAGCGCTTAAAAGGACCCTAATGTTCAAAGAAAATCGCGTCTAGTAAAAACTTTTGCTGATATTTTTTACTGAAATTTCTGGTATCGGCTTTAATTGATATAATAAATATGCTAGAGGAATTTCAGAAAAATCGTTGGAGCAGAAGTCCGTAACTAAAAGTCGCTCAAAATTCAGCGGTGAAATTGTTTTGGAATTTCAAAAATAAATTACTATCAGGAAGAAGGAGACACAGGTTTGAATTTTCGGGACAAGTAAATTCAGTGTTTGCTAATTCTGCAAACAGAAGCCGATTGCCTATCGTGCTATTCTTTAAAAGATAGTTTTCAGTTTTAGAAGCACTATGAATTGCTCCAAACTTTGCTCTGACGTCGAATGACTTGTTCCTCGACATTTTTAAAATATCCCTTGGTAGTTTTGGTTTAAACTCCTGCTACATACATTTTGATGTATTGCAATGCATCCTCAACGGCTTTTCCTACTGTACGTTGTTTCCAATTCAGGAAAAAGGTATTGGGATTGTAAGCTACCTTGTATCGAAGCTCAGATAGAATTGTCAAGCACCTTTGTTTATGACCAGAAAATGAGCACGAGCGGCAGCTCTGCGAGGAATTCGCGCCTCAGCCATGGGGGACGAATGACAATGATGCCCATGTCTGTGAACCGATCTGTATAAACATGTATTGCAGAGCAAAACATAACAATCAAGAAAAAAATACCCATTCATTGAAGGAAGGAGTGACAAAAATTTCAGAGTTGTAAATTTATTCACGGGCAGTATTTTTGCGACAATTTTATTTTGCACTATGATGTTATTCGGTTCACAGGCATGGTCATCATTGTCGTTCGTCCCCCCTGGGTGAGGTGCGAATTCCTCGCAGAACTGCCGCTCGTGCTCATTTTGTAGTCATAAACAAAGGTGCTGGACAGTTCTATCTGAGCTCTGATACGAGGTAGCGTCCAATCTCAATACTTTTTTCCTGAGTTGGAAGCAACGAACAGCAGTAAAAGTCTTTGAAAATGCATTGTAATACATCAAAATGTATGCAGCAGGAGTTTGAGCCAAAACTGCCAAGAAATATTTTAAAACGGTCGAAGAACAAGTAATTCTACTTCAGAGCAAGGTTTGGAACAATTTATAGTGCTTCTAAAACTAAAAAGTACCTTTTAAAGAATGGCACGATAGGCAATCGGCTTTTGTTTTAAGAATTAGCAAACGTTGAATTTACTTGTCCCGAAAATTCAAACTGGTGGCTCCTTCTACCTGACGGTAACTTATTTTTGAAATTCCAAAACAATTTCACCGCTGAATTTTGAGCGACTTTTAGTTACGGACTTCTGCTCCAACGATTTTTCTGAAATTCCTCTAGCATATTTATTATATCAATTAAAGCCGATACCAGAAATTTCAGTAAAAAATATCAGCAAAATTTTTTACTAGACGCGATTTTCTTTGAACATTAGGGTCCTTTTAAGCGCTAATTTCTCAAGAAATATTTACCATCAATGAAATCGGAATATTTCGTATTATTGCCGAATGATATCTGTTGTTCTTTCGAAAGTTTCGCAGCCATCGCGTTAAAATCGAAAAAGTTATGACGGAAAATTTGTCACAGTTAAATGCTCTTGTATTAATTACGGAGCCACCTTAATTCATGGCTATCCTTGTAAATCTTGTCAGATTGGTTTGTTTAGTTGGATAGGAAATCGCCTTTAGCCATTCAAGCGCACACGGAGTAACACATTAGCAAGAACACTGATTGATATCAACTCCCTACCGTAACCAGTTTGTTGGTCAAACGTTGACTTGACGGTCTCACACGCCGTACCATTACCACGACACACGCCGCATTTGTCTTCTTTGGCAGTTGAATGAAGAACATTATCACAACCAACATGCTACAAAAAGAACACAAAAAAATTTTAAAAAAAACTTGAACGAGATCTCCTCCAGTCTAGAAGTAAAAGCTCGATGGTAAACTTTACTTAATCTGTGATGGGAGCAAAGCCTGTTATTCCACCATTTCACCATTACGTTATGATAACAATTGTTCATTGCTATATTGAGATAGAGACAATAAAGCCTATTCTTACGCCTTCGCATGTTGGAGATGCAAAGTGAGGGGAAAATATGTGTTAAGTATAGTTAAGGACAAAGACATTGTTGTTTAAGATGCGGTTGCCGTGACCATGAATGCTCAGTGTACAAAGAGAATAGACCATTTGCATGAAGGCGTCATTTTACTACTAGGACCAGAATCCTTTTCGTTTTCGCTTTCATATTTAAATTTGGTAATCCCAGCGAGGTTTAAATAACGAAAGTCCTAATTTGCACAGAAAGCGAAACCCTGAAGGATTCTGTTCGTAGTAGTAAAATGACGTCATCGTGCAAATGGCCTGTTAATGTACAAACCTCGCATTTTCCGTTAATGCAGACATCACGCCTCGCGGGAGCACAGGGTGTCCCGTCATGCACTTGATCAGCTAACTTCTTGGAGAAGTACAATCCAAAGAGACCTTTAGGTGTACAGTGCAGTTCACATGGAGAAACTTTAAAGTAATGGAACGAATCTGTAAGTGGGTGAATACACGGGGTTGTCTGCGCAAAGCGTGTCTCGTTCTCTAACTCTTAGTGTTTCCCGAGTCGGTTTCGGAAAATGGACGCTAAAGCAGGCACTAGATATCGATGTGACACTTAGGGACGTGCAGTTGCAGACGTGTTTCCAGGTCTCTCTGTTTTCTAAATTAAACAATGTTTATAGAAGAAGTTATCTGGTGGTATTCAACTGAATAACCAAAAACACTATTGATCACAAATCGCAAAACAAACAGATATATGAGGAGATAACGAAGTTGGACAATGAAAGACGTTAAAGACTGTTATAGAACCGAATAAAGAAACTGCACGGGCACAAAGATGCCAAATAGCCGTATTAAATTATAATGCCTCACCTTGTGAATAACGGGGTTTCCATTTCCATAATCTGTTGTTTATACGTTTATTGTCAAACCGAGAACACTGCAACTCACGATAACTTACGCTTCCCTCAGGACAAGGCTGAAGGGAAAGAGTAAAAACTAAATTAGTATTGTCATATAATGCCATGAGGTTTTGTGGCCATAAGGGAAAGGTTATAGAATGTTCCTTTAGACAAGCTATTAACCAGGGGGCTTATCGGTTTACCTGTATATTGCAAAGTTTGTACTTCTTCCATTCACCAATACAGTACTTCCCTCCGTGGGCAGGTCTAAGAAATAACAAGCCTAATTATAAGAATCAACAAAAGTTAAGGGCTTTAAGTATCAGAAACGTCATGTTCTCTCAGTTGGTAAGGATACGCCAAGACTAGCCATTAGTACCCATGGTCTTTCTTTGAACACATCACCTCATCTGTTCTCCTGAGAATGACGTAGGTGATGAGAGAAAAACCATGGGGACGAATGGAAGATATTGTGTTTATTGTGACCAATCAAAATAAACCAAAATGTCTAGATCTGAACTTGAAACGGTTTTGAGAGCTTCGTGGCTCCAGAAATCACTACTTATGACATAGGAAGAGTGATCAAAGATGGTCCTTATTTCCTATTTATGAAAACGTCCAAATTCTCTTGTATCAAAAGTTCATCACCGCTTTCATTGCCTACTTACCGTGGATTATCACAATGTCTCTCTGTAAAGGAAACTCCTCCGCCGCAGGTCCTGGAACATTGACTGTGATCCTTCCACGGACCCCACCCTCCATCAACACTGTCTGGTATCATTCCTCTTTCGATGCAGCTTCCCTTGTAACACCACTGGAGGCATAATGAAAGAAGAACGACATTTACCTGTGTCCTTTTAAGTACAATTGTCTCCGGCCAACTCAGCGTCTCAGACTTTAGTTATCATTAAAACACCCACAAGCGGTATCGCAGGCGAAAGTGAACCCAGCTTCAGTGGTTTTTCAAGAAAAGAGAGTGCCTCACTTCATTTCTCAGGAGACTAAATTATATCGGCCGATTCATTACAGCGCGACTCTCAAAAACATTCAAATCATTTTTCGCCTAAAGGATAATAACTACAGCCTTTTTTAAAACAGACCCTGTAAATCCCGACCCATTGGGCATATAGCAGGTACATACATAGACCTTATTCTATACTTTTCAGAATCATTAATAGTCTGCCACTTAGCCAGTAACTAAATAGTAACTGAAGCAAGCCATGCTGCGTAAAATAAACTCCCACAGAAAGCCAAATGAAATATGCAGTCTCTCACGAGACCTCAAGAAACTAAAATTTCGCACTATGTAAGGTGTTAAACGTAACTACCTCTTTTATGCGATCTACCTTATTATCGCCACACTTTGTTCCATCTGCTGCTGGTTCCAGTTTAGAGTGACACGCCCTTCCTACTCGACACCACAAACGGTTACAGATGTCCTGCGGTAGGGTTTAAAGAAACCATGAAATCGTAAGCCCGAAGCAAGAACTGGTTATTTCAAGGCTTAGCTTCGAAAATCATTGTTGTTTTAATCAGACGGATTGTTTAAAACTGGCTGAACCTTCAAGCATCTTTCTTTAGCAAATGTAACCAGGGGCTAACTCTAGACGCAGTTAATGTAAAGAACCGGATAAACTGGCCTAGGCCAAAAATCTTCATCCGACGTTTAACGATCCTGCCTCTAAGCCGCGCAATGCGTTTATCTGCGGCAAATTAAAATTTACTAAGCGTTAATCATTAGCCGCCGCTTGTTGCATCGGAATGGTAGAGTGCTAATGTTGTTATATCTGATCAATAAAAGCAAAAAAACTCAAACATACCGTCATGCCTGTACAGTGAGAGGAATAAGGGCCGTACTGCAAGCGACACTGGTGGTCAGCGTCATATATCACCCCTGGCAACATTGTGGGAAATTTGAAGTCATGTTTTGCAGGCTCATCATTAAGACAGCGGCCCCAACCTTTGCTGCAATGAACAAGTGATCACATGCAACTTAAAAGGAAAAACTGTCTTATTATTCGCAAAATTTACTTAAATACTTTTTACCCTCGTAATTCTTTTTCAAATATAAATTGTTTCCATTACAGTGACTTATAAGTCAGCAGGGTTTTTATTTTCTCGAGACATTTCGTTATTTTCTTCGTAAATTCTTATTAGCATAGGCGTTGTTGGCGGACTCTAAGAAGTATTAAATTTGGCGATCGCTTTTTCCCTCTGGTAAGACATGACGGTCGAGGTACTTTCAGTTTTTGAATCAGTATGAAAGCACTGTAAGCCTACACAGTCGATAGCTTACTCAAGAAGCTTACTTCAAGAAACGCCTGACATAGTTTCTGCTGCACGATGACCATAAGTGTGCACGACCAGAGGCTTCCAACTGAGGAGACATGAGGAAGGGTTTGTCATGGCGCCATTTGCATTTATTTTCATTCCCATCATGCAGCATTCCAAAGCTAATGATATAAAGAAGACAAGAATCAAACAGTAAGTCAAGAATCAATTTTGCTCACATTGGATAGCGGAATTACCTTCTGCGGTCGCTTTCCGAACTCTCTAACTGTAATTTAATTTAAAGTTTATTGTAGGATTTCCTCCGCTCTTTATCTTTTACCTGGGTAAAATTTGCGGCATCTTAACTAAAAAGGAAGCCTTATTCCAAAACTTTTATCTGGTGGCGCGTGGCTTCTGGTTATCATGTTAAGAACACTTGAATTACGAAAACGATAACAGTCTTGGGCCAGCATTGTTTAAGTATTTAAGTATTTGTCATCTCAAAAGTTTCAAATCAGGCAAGATATTTTATCTTCCCGGTGATCTAAACTGCGCTAAATCCCTCAAGAGCTTGCAAATCAAATTAGTGTCATCAAGATGCCGAGAGCACCTCGTAGACAAACTGGCTGTGTAAGGAAATGTCCTGGTAACATTTAAACTGTTTTGTCCAAGAATTGACTAGAACGTAATGTCTCTCAGCAATGCACGCGCGGTTTCCATCACATATCGTGGGTTATCAGCTGATATTGGCCGCAAACCAAGTAAGATTAAAGAGTTTGTGCGTTGTCTTAGTGAGATCCCTTTCTTAAGATATAAACTGAGGTTATGCCGGAATTTTAAGTGTGAGCTCATACAGTCGAACAAGTAGTTTTCAATAAGGTTGAGAAGAAGTTCTTTACCATAGTCTGTTTACCCTTTAAGTTTTAAGAAACGCGAAAAAGAAATTACTTAAACTGAAATGTATGCATAGAGACCATTCGCATATCACAAAAAACAGGTCTACAATAGATCCAGCGTGATAACCTTATTATTTAGACGGCGTTATTTCAAAATGCCCTTTAGCACCTTTATCCTTTAAAACGATAAGATGCAGTGTGTATACAAGCCTTAAGTAATTACGAGAATACAATCTAGACACTTTGGCGTCCACTGCCGGGGCGCGCGCTCGATTCATCTTGTCATATGAGTATTGAGATAAGAGAAACGCCTTATTAAATTCTTGTAGGTTGTAAACTCCTTAGATGCCCTTCGATACCGTTCACTTAAAAAGCCATTTTGAACCCACTAAAGAACACAAAATTACACAATTCAAAGGAGACAGATAGCGAACGGTTTCGCTCTGATTATCGATAAGTTGTAACTGTTCATCAATAGGATGCTTAAAATGTGTGCAATTCCACATTTGGTTTCGGCGCCATTAAATCAGATGACATCACCATTAGCCAAACTTTTCTTGATGCTATTTTATTTCACTTGAAATTTTGTTTTCTAATTTTGGTCACTGGAACAAAAAAAGTTTGTGACACTTTTCTCGTCTTTCCCGCAACGACTAATCTTGTGAAAGGCTTGTAAAAGGCTTTGATGATAAAATTGTTTCTTTCCGGAAAAGAAAAGTGCATTCATTTCTTAACGATTAGAGAGCGAGAGGATAATATATTACTCTTCTCTCGGGAAGGGAAGAATTCGAATAAGGAGACCAATATGGGCCTGGCTCAGGCCTTTTCGACCCCTAAAGGAGATCATACTTCAATACCGCATTAAACATTGTTTTCTTTCTTAAATATATACGCTAGTTATTTCCTTACGGACGACCATACGTGATACGTTTATGGGCTAAAACATTAGCCTTCCATCCCAAACCCCCCTCCCAAAATCTTTAATTTCTCCATCACTTTTATATGGGAGCCTCCCCCCACCGCCGGGAGTCTTCAATACTCGCAGTTTTTATTATCGTCAGTTTTCTAGACCTTTTTGAAGTAAAAAAGCAAACAAACAAACAAAAAAAAAACAAAAGGAATGAAAACAACGACACTTTTCTCGTTTCTCCCGCCATTGGCTTATCTTTCAAAAGGTTTTATGAGAGAGTTTTTATGCAGAAACTCTTTCCAAAATATTTGACTTTTTCATAGAGGGCAGGATGATCTACATGACTCTGTTAATCACTATACCGGCAGCCAGTCGTGCAAGGGGATCGCGGGGACAGTTAGATTGAGTGCATATATGTATAAAGAATATAGGAAATATAAGAAACGAAAAAAGAGAGTTAAAAGGAAGAGTGTTCCTTTCTCCTCCAGTTTAGCTACCCTTTTAGATAACTGATCAACAGTCACGTTTAAACTTTTACAAGGTAAAGGGAACAACTGGCCACAACAAACTCAAACTAGTGCAACTATGCATTCTTGGTCAGTCTCTGAAATGTTCGTTGCCTATGCTCTCTGCATTTGCCAAAAACATTTGCTTCCTCATTGCATTTTTTTACAAGGATCACAGACCAGTGTTTGGAGAAAGGGCAGGAAGATTGCATGGTTAAATTACAGGCTAACATCCTTACTTGTGTCCTATCTCATGGGCGATTGTATACGCTAACGTAAGGCCACTGTCTTCATTCACATTGCAGCTTTTGTCTCTGGTGCAGAGACCGTTCACCTGTGAAAGGCCTAAAAATGGATACGAGATGAGCTAAATTGTACATTTATGTATAAAGGCTTCCACTGATGTTACGGCAGTACAGTCAGTTTTGTTTAATCCTACGGGGCTCAACGTTTGCGAAGAGACTACATATAAATGACGGAATCACAGCCTCGTGACAAACAAATATGCCCCCACGCTTTATATCAAAGTTACAATAAACAAAGATTTACTTTGAAAAACCTTTCGTCTAACTAGTTTTCAAATATCACGATTTTAAGTCGCTCTATTCTTATTCAATTTTGATTGTTTGTTCGTACCTTTGGTTGTATTTGTTGTTATTTAAACCTTTCCTCCCTCCTGCTTTGAAAGTCTAAAGTGGTCATAATGTACGTGTTTCGCCCAATTAGGAATCCATCGCTCACTTTTCTAGTGTTGCTAAATTTCACGACAGAGTTTTCGTGGTAGATTTATAGTGCTTGCGCGTGTTTCTGGATTGGTCGTTTTTTGAATAATTGGAGAAAAAAGAGACGAGCTCATCTTGTTCGAGTAAAAGTGAAGTGATTTGTTTTCTATTAGAACCAACTTTGCGTTACCTAACAATTTACAATATGACGACTGCGTTATAAAAAATACATATATCTAGTTTCAATAAGACAAGAAACGGGTTGTCAGAATTGCAAAAAAATGGTTGTTATTTTCCTTACCTAATGTTTCACAAGGTTCATTAATTCCTTTACAAATATCATGCCTACCAAAAAAGAAACGTTTGAATATAAACTCTTGCAATCATCAACAGCAAGGACAGTAAGGACACAGTTGCCCTTTTCTCTTTTTATAAGCTACTTAGGCAGATACCATTAAAACTTGTAATGGAAAAATAATTTCGCATTCACATATACCAGGCATCACGGAAGTTAAAGACAAATCAGGGAAAGGGCAGAGATAGTTTTCTCTAACAACTTACAATAATGATTCTTGCTGTAGTTATATTTGCGTATTCCCTTAATGGATGCTAAATTTTAGTTGAGTTATAAAACCTGTTGCTTTGAAAGTAGCTGATATTAACATAAATATATAGCAGAAGCGAAAAAAAGACAACGGGAGAAAGAACAGAAATGGAGATAAGCACTGAAAATTAAAAAGTTAAGATCTTTTTCAGCCCTAAAGTGCCTATTCAGCCCTGCTGGCCAAAGTCTGATTAAGCCCCTCCTGAAGCCATTTGAGCACAATTCAAGCCAAAACAGCCCAATCAAAAGGCTATTCCAGCCCACGCTGGGACCCATTTCAGCCCTTGGGTCCACATCAGCCCTAGATAATTGGACTGTATTGGCCCTGATTTAAGGGAGACAAAATTAGACTCAAAAATTAGACTGTATTTTACTCACCTAGGAAACGGCCCCATTTTTAGGGCTAAAACAGATTATTCTGATATACAGTGTGGAAAGGTCATACAAAGTAACTCACCTTGTGATTAAGACCGCTATGTCATGGTGATTAGGATGGGCCTCTGATTTGGGGTTAATGAGAGAGGCCCAGCGACAGAAGTGTTTAAGTGTGTGCCCAGCATGGTGAGTGACTTTCAAGGAGCTCTGGAAATTAAATCAAACAAACTATCTACCAAGATCACACTTTCAGTGTAGCTCAACGCAAAGTCAAAGAATAAGTCTATTAGTTATACACTGGAAACAGGCTCTGACGGGGGGAGTCGCTTCTGGAGACACTGTATCGGGCAATTTTCGGAAAGTGCAGGGGGTTTTTTTTGGAAATTCCCAAAACTTCGTAAAGTATAGGTGACTTTGGGTACCATAGGAGGTCTTCATAATCGTATCTAACGCGAACATCTAAATTGACAGTCTATCTTATTTACTGAAATACGGAGAGCTGAGGATGTTTTCTGACTGGATACAATTCACGGTCCAGTTCTTACCGGATTTTCCTTGAGAATCATCAATCGAACGAGTACAATGTTTATCGCTGTGCCAATGCTTGGATCTCTAAATATGTTGCTCACCTAAAAGAAATAAAAAACATTTCCAGCTTCAAAAAGTGACCGCATTCGTTTCCGAGCGATGGTCGTTCATGTAAGCTTCTAATTACAGAACCGTGACTGAACTGAAACTGAATCTGTGGTAGCCTGCGCCACAGATGGAAGTATACTTCTGAAGAGCCCGCCTGCGAGACAGCCCTGGAATCCTTGTTCTGAGCCCCCAACTGTGTTTCAGGATGTGAGTACGCCTCACGATTGGCCCGTGAAGAGTACCACTGCCGATTTCCCAATCAGGTTGAAGTAATATATCTAGAATGAGACGCAGTGTTTCATCACCAGATGAAACACCGAGAAGAGAGTTGAAAATATGACTGCAGCTGAGTATTTTCGACGAACTTCGAGGTGTTTCATCTGCTTGATATTATTTCTCAAACAAAATTATTTTAGAGGGAAAAATTAAGGATGTAAAAAGGAGCAGTTTTTCATCTGATTTCCAAACACTTATTAAACTTTAATTTCCTTTGTATTTTCTTTATGAATTATTAATGCATTTGAGAAGAAAAACTCGAATCGTATTTCCCGTCATTCACTGAGTCCCTCGGGGGAACCGAACAAGTATCTCGGCGCTGCTTAGCAGACGTTACTAACGGCGGTTAGATCACGACTGCGACGCAAGGCTAGATCTGTAGTGGCGAATAGGAGGTGGTAGCTAACGAGAAGTTGCACTTGGAGGTCTGACTGTATAAAGTGAAAATAGCGAGAATACGAGGCTTATGCAGCGAAAGATTTCTCTCATCCGAGATAACATTTTCCATTTACACACCTGGCCCCGGTTGTTCAAAAGATGGATAGCGCTATCCACCGGATAAATCGCTATCTAGTGGATAAGTATTAGGAAAAGCAATTGTGCTATCCAGTGGCTAGAGATTTATCCGATGGATAGCGCTATCCACCTTTTGAAAAACAGGGGCCTGAACTGAGATAGGCAGAAAACAGCTGAGCTTACCTCCAATATGCTATTTATACACTCATCGTCGTCCAGTTATTTTTCTAGTATCACTTCCTTGCTTCTAGTACACACTACCTAATTAACTCACAGTAAATAATAACATACCATATTTGCTATAGTTAGCAAGTACTCCTCCAGTCCGTCTTTGTAGAACTGGTACATGGTTTGATCAGCCACCATCAACATCTCAACATTCTTCTCCGTACTAACTGAACGCCTTGTACGTCTTTTCGGCATTACATTCCTTTCCGAGAATGGGGCATGCGAACGTCGTTTAATTGGTGCTGAAAAACGGTAGAAGCAAGTGAGAGAAATTTGGTATCCGTACTGATTGGTTTAGTCCATCAAAAGTGGGCGAGTGACTCAATTGTAACTGATTCACAGTGCTAGGAGAAACGTAGGAGATATATCAAGGAGAAAAAAGGAGATACATTATCAACGCTGCAATTATGAGAGGCCTGAGGAAACCGTCCTTCCTTTTACTCTCTTGTTTCATCGGTTAAACGGACCCCCGAGGGACAAGGTGAACTCACAATAGAATAGAACAGTTTGCATTTCCTTGTGCTTTTACGCAAACACAGAAAAAGTTAAGCAAGAACAATGGTACGCTGCCATATTAATGTTTAAAGTGTAGACAGAGAATATATACCTTGGTCATTGCAGAACGTTCCATTCTGTTTCCTTGGTAACATACGAACTCTCACTGGGTTCTTGTACACCACATGAGGATGTTTATCGACCGCGTTTGACGAGTTTCTTTCTTCTACTGGTTCAATAAGAAAGTGATCTCCATCTTCAGTATGGATGAGTCCTTTCTAGAAGCAACAAAGACTCTTATCATTCACGCGTGCACATGTAACCTATTTCTATGAACTAGCTCAGGCTGTCTTTTCATAAAAAATATTGCGTCTTCAGTGTATGGTATTTATCCGTCCGTCGTTTTTCCAGGTCTTCACGGATATATGCGCTAGGGTGACCTGTCCAAGACAAACTCCTTTGATAATATTCAATATAACCACGTGACTCGAACCCATTCCATGCCGCATAGAATTATGGGACATAGGGGCAAGCCAACTTCAAACCAACCCCTTCTCACTCCTTAGAGAGAGAGCTTAGGTTTTACTCATACATTAGTTCATTTGTTTATTTGTTGTTGTTGTCATTGTTGCTGTTGTTTTAAGTTCTTCTTACGGTTGTTGTCGAACCACCACTGTACTTCAGAAAAAAGTACGAGAACGAATCAAAAAAAATCTTGCAGTAATTTTATCAAGTTATGTCATAGTACTTTACGTAAAAGCAGACAACTTGGTCTCAAAAATGTGATAATTAGGTAGGGCGTTCTTCAGCATGTTATGTTCGTGAAATAAGCGTAACCTTTGATAATACAGTTAATTTAATTGAAGGTTATAAACCCTCGAAATTGCCGCAGTCTGTTTTATTGCTTTGGTGATTGAGGGTCATTCAACATGTAATGTCTATACGTCTTAAATAACTATATAACCCCAAAAGAGGCATTGTCGTTTACTTTGCTCGGTGCTGAGGAAACAAGGTCTTTACCGCGCATAATGAATAGACACCAAGGTGTCATCATCATGAGTTAACTAATAAAGAGAAACTGAAACATTTATTGTTAAACGAAACTCCGTTTAGATTTCTATGACAACATAGTGTACATCGACAAAGCTATACTGACAGCAAATACCTTTCTAATAAATATAAATCACTTGACAAAGGAAAAAACAATACACTTTTAAAACAGCTAAAGGTCATGGCTCTGTTTTGAGGCGCTATTTTGTTAGAAAAGTCGACATCGAATTCATCGATCATATGATGGCACTCCTCTCTTGAAATCAGTGCGCTCTTTATTTTCCACAAGTTTCGCGTTTTCATGGTAGGGAAATTAAGCGGTCTTGGGGTTTTTCAGCAAAAGGGCTCAGCATGCCTGCGTTTTACAAGTGCTACAAACAACTTGACCTTTACGAAATTAACTGTTAAAAAAAATAAAAACATAATGAGTCATTCCCTAGACCACCTGCACGCTATTCGCACTATCCAAAAAATTTCACCTTCTGAGTTCACTTTAGATCACAGGGTCACCAGTTTTCCTGGCGAGTAAGGCGCGTGCGTTAGAATATGGGTGCACTCGGTGCATTCGTTTCCCGCGGCGCTCGGTGTTCGCTGTAACAGCTAGTAACACAGGAGTCGGCTTTCTGTCAACAACGGTAGAATTACGAAGGGACAGCCGACCCACAAAATGGCCTTTGAAAAATATGGCAAAAACATTTATTCATCTTCCAGTGTGTGAGCACCACAAAAAATGGTTTTCACGTTCGATTATAGAATAGGCCAATCTTAGAGAATTCCACTATTACAAACAGTTCCCTTGAATGTTCAAGTAGCATGGCCATGGCGGAATGGGTGTTGTGTTCATTGAGTTATAATTATGTTCCTACAGTACTTCGTTTGTTTTTAGGAATATTCTGAGTAAAGTAGACAATTTGGAAAGGTTCAAACTCTTTAAAGCCGAATTCACACTCTTCGGCTGACTCGAAGACTTTTCGCACTAAACATTGTCCTGCACACTTCTTTACTGATTTGCTTTCATATTGTTTATCCTAGACTGATGAAAACTTATCTGATGATCAATACTTGCCATATTTAAAAAAATCAATTAGTGTTTGCACCAAATCTTAAGTTTGGAAGTTAATTAATTATTTACCAGCCAGATTAAAAAAATAATCTCCAGAATCTCTCGAGCACGGAAAACATTTCCACCTTTCTTCCACGTCATGATTTCCTAATTCGATAACTAGAAATAGATACTGTTACCAATTAAGGCTTCCCCTCACATCTTAATCTTGTTGATTGTATAAAATGACGATTTGTTTCTAATCGACGAAGAAAGATGGGCATTTGATAGTGTCCTCCGCTTGATAAAAGGGCGAATCTTGCTTAAGCAAACAGCGTTGAAAATCTCTATTATCTAAGTAAACATTGTTTCTCTGTAGAACTGTCGGAAGGTTACGGTATTTTCGTGTCACGATATCAGTTGTCGTCTGGGCTACTCACTCTGTTGTTACTTTGATAAGGGACCGATGAAAGAAATAGCGATCCGCGAGATAGTACTTAACAAAGGGAGTACACAGAAAACCTTGTAGTTTGCCTCAGTTTAAGCAACGAACCTTTTTTCGCGAGAGCCTCGTGATGGATGACACAAAAACAGTGCAAGTGGTTTTGTGGACAGGAAATTCACTTAAATTCGAAGCTTCTTAGGCAATCATAAAGACAAAAGGCGTTATTGATAGTCTGAAAATAAGACGTGCGTAAAGAAGGTTAACAACTGTTATTTCCATCAAGATGCATTAACGTCTAAACCTCATTTATAATCCTTCCTCCCAAGTTGCTCCTGGCAAGGCAGGGGGAAGGAGGAACTGTGTATGGCAGGAATACGGTGAAACCCCGATAATACCGACACTGAGAGGGGCATAGAAAGAGTCCGTATTAACGGGTGTCCATATATATTAAGCGGGTTGAATTTTTATAGTGAAAATGTAAGGGTTTTCTTTCGCCAGGGACAAAGCAAACTGTCCGTAATAAAGAGCAGGGTTTGACTGTATGTGGACAAATATTTTGTACGCGAGTTTTGGGGTTTCCCTATTGTCGCCATGTGACAGATTTGTTCAGATAAAAAAGAAAAATCTTGACCCTCTTAAGACAAATGAAAGAAATGCCGCGCGGAGGCAATCAACTGGTCTTACTGTTGGCGTTCGAGTAGTTTCTTGGGACACGCAAAACGTTTTCGGGATGCACATTCCGTTGCAAATGTTGATCACAAAAAGACGATTTCGCGAAAATTCCGCAACTGGTTGAATTTTGGTAGCCTGCGTAGCAAGCGTTTCCGCGCGAGTTCGTCGATAAAATTGGGACGAGAGACGAGAGCAAAAAAGAGGAATGAAGGGGGAGGGGGTTACTCTTTTTTTGCTCTCGTCCCAATTTTTTCGACGAACTCGCGCGGAAACGCTTGCTACGCAGGCTAGAATTTTGGAAGACATCGATTAGCAGCCAGAAATGTAGACTTGTCTGATACTGTATTTAGGGGAAATAGCCTGTTTGCAGTTTTTGACAGCTGTTACTCGCACACACCTATTGAATTCATTTCATTTAGATGGTTTGCGCTCTTGTATACGATCACCTTGCCTTTGGATAGGTTGTGCTTGTTGTTTGCTCAGTCTGGGCTAGCCCATCCAGTATGTGTTTTTAGCCTTACTTCCTTTTCTTTAAGTTCCCCTGCAAAATGTTTGTAAAAGATTGCTAGGTCTTCAGTACCGCCTGCCAGAGCTGCGGACAGCAAAAACTAGATATTTAAACTCTTTAATTGCATTCCGCACGCAATTCGCTCGTTGCCCCTTGAGTGTTTTTAGAAGCCCTGGAGCAAAATACCATACACTTTTAAAACGTGTTCGTACTAAGTATTTATAATTTTGAAACGGAAAAGGAAAGCTTAAGCAATGTGCTGACAACCATATTACAACAAACAATTTTTACGACCTTTACCGATACCGTGGGAAATAAAAACGATACTTCTTTTTTACTGAGTCTGTCTTCATCTGTACAGAAATCTTATTTCTGAGAATTAAACAAAGTGCGCTTTCTTATAATTACACATCTTTGCATTTTTTTCACTGCGTGAGGTTTTTATACAGGACCCCTTTGCTGTCAATCAATTTCTTTTACGTCACAGGCATATGACAAAAGGTACGTTTTTTTCTTTCAATTATAATGTATCCGGAAACGTATTCTGTGTGCCGGTTATAAGACCTGAGAGGAAATAAGCTTAGCGTTCCTGGAAGTAAATTGTCATGTTTGTGTTAAGAGGGCAAGGCTGATTCTACTAAAGCCGTCTTTCCTTTCCTGGGGATATCTCGAACTTAAGGTTATTAAAATTCTCCCAAAAGATGCGTTTGCAATCTCTTGCTGCCACTTAGAATTAGCTTTGAAGTGTAAGTTAAGGTGGCTAACAGAAAAGCACTGTGTTTCTTTTCTCAACCGCCAGGTTGATAACTGTAATGAATGAAACAGAATCAACAATCCGTCTCACTGAATAATCTTGGGTCTAATTGTGACACACGCACCCTCTGCCCAATCTTGTTGCTTTTTTTTATGAACAAAAATAAGACAGTCTTAAAGACTGAGACATATTAAAAGCTTTGGTGCGCGGTACTTACCAGACCCTGGCAATAGCTAAGAGATACTCTAGAATTCGGTTGATCTACGATAGTGCCTTGGTAATGACAGTTGGGATTATGATGTCTTAAGTGACCATCCTTCTCAATAACCAGTCCTGGAGCTGTAAATTTCTTGCTCTTCGAGAGGCGAAGACGCAGATTTTTGCCGCCGAAAGTAGGCACTTCGATGTGCAAAGGTTCCTCTTTATCAGCTTCTGGTTTTTCATTGTTGTGCGCTTCCTCTGAATGGTGTTTGCTACGAGCCACATGTGCGACAAATTTCCCATTGCTATCTAAGACCGCAGGGAATGTCACAAAATGAATGACATTTCCATTTTCTGTTTGAGTTTCTAAGAGCAAAGAACAGAGAAATAATTACGATTCGGCCGCGGGAGACGGGCAGTGTTTGCAACATGTGAGTAATGCCATCATCAACGAGATCAATTCACGTGCGACCCGAACATTCATCATAAAGAGTTTAAACGATTACTTGCATAAATTTAACTTACCCGGCCTTTTTCCTTCGATGCTACTTAGCAATCCCGCTAGTTTTACTAGAGCAACGAAAACACCTATCGAAAACATCTTAGTATTATCTGTGGCAATCTACAAAAAGAGAAGAGATACATTTATATAGCTATATTTCTATGAGTATTGCTTGGTAGTTAAACATTACACAAACTTATACACAGCCCCACAACCTTACCTTCTACCCTCCAAAATGCAATAATTTGTTTCCAGTAATACAGTCGAGTCCCAGTAAGACCCAGATAGTGCGACAAAATATTAGAGAATTTGGTTTCCACGAACAAGAGCGACGGATAATATGCAGACAGAGTGAATTGGTCCGGCTAGAATGTTATTATTCTCTGACACTTATCTTTCACTTAAGCACATTATCAAAATATAGCAAAAAAAATCTGAAGCCTGGAGATCAGCTCTCCAGACAAGAAAATGCGAATCAGTGAAATATGTTTACCCAGGATCACGAGTTGTACCATCCAACCATTGACGCAGTCCGTGCTCCAACAGTTATATTTTGCGAAGTATTATATGGACCACAAAAGTAGCAAAATATTGACGAGACCTGGATTCCCGCTAAGTGACAGATATCTGGTTTCAAATCTCGAGTTATGAGAAACAAAACACCTAATAAATCTGCCAGCTCGTTTGTATCTCGATCTCAGCGTTCCGAAGCAAACTAAATCGTCAGCATGGTGGGCACATTTCTATGTTAGTAACTCACAATTAAGGAAAGTGCTATTGTTGAAACCTTGTGTTTTATTTTCCAAGAGTGTTGACGTGGAAGATTACAGTTCGATTACCTTTTTTCACATTTTTGAGGGTTTTTTTGTTCCACTTGTTTGAATAGCCGTCATTCTCCGTCACACAAATACCAAAAAATAGCAGTGTTTGACAGCTACATTGATTAAATTCAAAGAAAGCGGTGTTTATTTATTTGTTGTGGAGAAAGAAGAGTACATTCCAAATTTGAAACACTTCCGTTTTAAGGCGAAAGAGGCAAACAATACGGAAGGATTGAAAATGTTTTCTTTCAAAATTTCTCTATCGGCTTGTCGTACACTGTCGATGCGAGTGTCAATCCGCGTACCTTATCATGAGCTGCTTTACAGCTTGATTGTATTTGTTTTTATGTATTGTTTTAAACAAGCTTCGATTTCCTTTCAAATCATTTTGACAAGAGAATGCTGCGATTCTTTTCATAATTGTTTTATCATTGCTATCTTGATTAAATAGTTTTTAAACTTACTGTAAATAGGATGGCATTTGACTTATCTCCATCCCGTGGTCTCACCAAATGTTATCGATCGTGAGGAACGCGCCCGGTCTTATCCATAAGAATTGCTCCAATATAGGTATGAGTGCTGAAAGTTAGGATTCCGAAAACTTCTTGTACTTCGGACTTCCTAGACAAAATATGTCTTCGCTTTATAAACGTTTTGTCTGTCGTACCTAACCCTTACCCCTAAAAGCCAAAGCGGACTTATTCCATTTTGTCTTGATTAAAAACAAGAACAAAAAAGAAAATAGCGATTCACTATGGAAGAAGATAATTGCTAAAGAACTTTTGTAATCGGCTCCTGCCTTATGTCGAAAACATAAACTCAGGCTCCTGGTGTTAACCAGAATTGAATTCTTTTACATCGGGACGACGCTATTATAAAATGGGATACCCCGCTCTTCCCTGTGGGGCATAATCAGTAGCTTCGAGGTATCATTCAGTGTCCATGTGGTAGTTCTGGGGACATATGGAGAACAATTTTTGTCATAATTCTTATACCCATCTTACGAAATTTTCGTTATGGCGAGTTAACTACCATTATATGGCAAAAATCACCCGAAACTAACTACAAGTACGTCCAACATTAACTACGTAGACTGCATCAATCAACACCCACTGATTGAAGGACCACCCCGAGCTATAGATTTTGAGCAGCTAAAATCGGAATATTTTTTAACAATCGAGGCCCAATCATGCGAGCGCCGAAGGGGCGAGCCGCTAGGGAGGCCTGGGGGCATTTTCCCCGAGAAATCTTGTTCTTCTAGACGCCATTTCTAGCCTGAGAGGACAATTTTTGTCTAAAATAAATGTTCGCTAAATCGTTTGTCATTCTTATGCTTATTTTTTTTCGTGTGGCGTCGTGTACAAGTATTCGATTTTATTTACATTTCGTGCGGTTTTTAAAAGTATTTTGGCTATCAGTTTCAGTTACTACTACTTTTATGTGTTCTTGTATAATAAGTATCATAAGTTCATTTGAAAATATCAGAAAAGATTTCAAAATCGAGATTTTTCCTATCCCGATCACATATTGGTCGGGATTCGGGATTCTCAAGCAAGATTGGGATGGTTCAGTGAGCCTGAAAATAGGGCGATAAATGGCCGCCCGAAGAGCCAACTTTATATGGAGGGTGCTGGAGGTGCCCCGAATAAGACGAATAACAGAGTTACTGTACTTGTAACGACATTCACATAGCCTGTTCCAGGCGTTCAGAATGTGGGGATGGCTCAAAGAGATGTGAGCATGAAAAATCAGGCTACCCAGCCTCGTTCCCAGTCGTCCTCGGCGATTTCGGATGTGACGTCACCTGTCAAGCTTGTCGGGAAAATTCGCCTCGGTTCCAAGCCTCCTCTGGTCACTCGGATAGCGCGAACAGGCCTGGGTACGAGGCTGCAGGCTACCATATACAAGGAAACACCGGTCGGAATGAACTGTCCCGTTGGTGGTGCTAAATTCTACGAACGCGATTCACTGTAATGAGTCCTCTTGCATTGGCCTGGACCTTTCAACAAAATAACGTAGTTCTTTTCGAAAAGCACGGCAAAATAGACTTCAAGGGGCGTCGGCAAGTGTGGCTCGATACACGGTACAGACATTTTCCGAGCATTCTATTCACTTATGTCCAGGATTGCACTTGACTCGCAAAAATTTGCTAGCTATTTTTTTTCGCAATTTTAGCAAAAAAAGGTGTAAAGGGAAACTGCTTGCAGAAATGCGTCGACGAAGTAGCACTGAAATATAGCAAGAACTGAACAAATTCAACTTGGAAGAACTGCAAGCTGTAGCAAACATTTGCTAGCAATTTTTGTCGCAATTTAAACCAAAAAAAAAGGTTAATGGAAACTGCTTGCAGAAATGTGTAGACTAATGGAAAATAAAACAAGATTACCAAATTCAACAAGAATTGCGAAGTGTAGCAAAATTGGTAAAGTCATAACAAGAATTTGGTCTGCAGTGTTATGAAAACTTAATAACAGAAATCGAAAACTGAAACCCAAGAACAACTACTTTAAAACAATGATAAAGAAAGAAGGCAAAGATGAACCTCGAGAAAGTCGCCAATTTGGCAAAAATTGCAAAAGTAAACAGTATTTTTCATTGCAACAAGAAAGACACGCTATCAAATATCGCATACTTCTGTTTAAAGAAGCAAGGTAAAGAAGGCCCTCTAAACCTCCGCAAATTTCAGTTTCGCAAAAACCGCAAAAGTAACAAGAATTTTCCATTGCAACGAAAAAAACACGCTAAAAAATAACGCGAGGATAACAAGAATAACAAATTTGGTAAAAGCTCAGACTTATAAAGAAGAAAGGTAAAGAGGCCCTTGATAAGGCCGAAAATTCGTAAAAAAAAAAAAACGCAGAAGTAACAAGAAACTTTATTGCACCAATAGACTTGCTACAAGTCGACCTCACAAGTTTCTTAGCGAGCGGAGGGAGCTTTTTAGAAAAAAGGCAGAGGAGGCCCTCGAGGAGGCCGAAAATTTCGCAAAAATCGCGAAAGTAACAAGAAATTTTATTGAAAAACACGTCGACAAATATCGCAAGAAAAGCAGAAAAAGCAACAAATTTTCAGTGACTGGGATGCTCGTCGTCTCGCCTAGGGTTGTAAAGATTTTGGTCTCACTTAGAGTGTTTGGAACGGAAAGTCATCCATTCAGGTGTCGCTTAGTAGGTCTTAGTATTTTGCTTAAAGAAATTTACGAAAAATGCCCGGCCCTGACACTTAACACACAGAAAGGTATCAAGGAGATTGCGTAGTACGGAAAACTAGAGATTTAATTTATGACAATGCTGTTTTAGTATGGTGTTAAGCTTGAGCCACACTCTCATTGATCTCCGTTAGGGTTTAATTTATATTTTCCGACCAGCCTGTTCCAGGGAGTCTCCCCCGGGAGCCACACAACGCTTAACCACGTGACGAGGTCGTTGACGAGACTCTGGAGACGAGAATGAGCGGTCGCTAACGCAAGTATACAAAATGGCGGACAAAACGAAAGCTTCGTGCGCGGGCTTTTCCTCGTCTTGTGATACCAAGAGCATTGAGGTTCAATGTCATTCTGTTCACCAGCTAACACTGGTAAGTGATACGCAACAAAATTTATTCTCTATGATGACTGAAATTCATAAAATTCATACTTGGCTCCGGGGCTTTTATAAGGGAATAAAGCAAAAGAAATAATCTTGACGCTCAACGATGAAAATACATTTCTTTTGTTTTATTCCCCTAAGCCTAGTAGCCCAGCGTCAATTTTAATATATCGAAATTTGACACCGCCAATGTTTTCGCGGTCTCCCTCAGCTAGCGGCAGCTGTAACGGGGACAAAAAAATCCTTGTCCAAATTGTTTACATGGCAAGTACACGGGCCGCCACAATGAGGTGGGATACCCTGTCTTACATGGGTTTTCTAAAAAGGTATTGAAGGTTGTGTCAACTAGTTAGTTGGCTAGCTTGGTATAAACTCTATTAGTTGGGCATGCATCCTCCATCCAACCCAGGCCCTTAGGGAGGTATCTGCAGGGCTGTCAACCACCCACATCATCAAATATTGAGAATTGATAGGGAAGAAATGATAGATTACGTCATGTCGCACGAGAAATGACGTCATTTGTTCATAAAATTCTCCTCGATTCTGATCGATTCATATAGCACATAAACATAAACATACAGTGGCATACCAGAATTTATGGGGAAATGTTCCATGTTAACAGTAGCTCAAACAATGCAAAATATTTGAAATTTTATGGTCGGAAAGTCTAGTCTACAGGAAATAGCAACTTTGGCTGGAGACCGGGAGGTACGGTCCAAAATCTGGACTCTCCCGGATTATCCAGGAGACTTGACAGTACTGTATCTGCCCTTCAGCAGGGGTGCATAGCACATGAAAAGGTATCCTTTAATTTAAGAAATGCCAACTTTCCTTACCAAAGAAGAAAGGAAGAGTAAACCTCTGCATTCATATTTGTTAAGAAAACATTATTAATAATATGAGGGGAGAATTTAGGAGATGCTACAGAAGGCTGTGGCATGGACTGTTGTTTATGTTTAACATCATGTTATTGATGATTACTGATTTTTTGAAATAGGTTTGACTATAAAAGTTAACGTTAAAGAATGACATTTTGACAGTCCGATGGTCATTTTCAAGTTCAGAATAAGGAGTAAAAATATTACCATGTGCTTTTATAAAATTGTTATTTGAATGAGACTTAATTTTATAAAAACTTTTTATTTTGAATCATTGTAGCTGTCGTCCCAGTTAGCACCATGATGTGCTAGGAAAACCAAACACTTAATGAGGTTATGTTTGTTAAAGGCGAAAAGGAGTTATTGAAAAATTGATCATATATAATAAAACATCAGGCCACACTATCAGGCCACACCAGTTGCTGAAGAGTGAATAGCACTAATCACTAGGCCCAAATTCAAAAGGTGAATAGGACTATCCACCAGGCCCTGGTTGTTCAAATGCTGGTTATTACTATCTAGTGGATAAATCACTGTCCAGCAGTTAAGTTTTGGGAAAACCTATTGCTCCATCCACTGGATAGATATTTATCCAATGGATAGCGCTATCCATCTTTTGTACAACTGGGCCCAGATGAATAAGTATCCACCACATTGGGTTTCCCTAATACTTATCTGCTGGATAGTGATTTATCTGGTGGCCAGATCAGTAAATTTTTTTTAAGGAGGCTTCTAGTCACCGACTGGCAGCAGTCCCTTGATTAGATTGATGTATTTGCCAGTGCATTACATGCAGGCAAATCAGGCAAAAGTTTTTCCTCTGGCCTCTCTCCGGTTCCCTTCCTGGCTCATTTTGCTCTTGCTAGTTCTGCCAGGCTTTGACTCAACTGACTGAAAAGGGACTGCCTGTAGTCTACTCTGGTCAGATATGGTAGATTTTTTCTTTCACATCACTTTGGAAAGGTAACTAGACAAAAAGGCATAACCAAATGGGAAAAAAGAAAGTCTAAAATATAACTTACTTGTGTCTCCTGTCTTAGTAAACCAAGCAACATGCAGTTAAATAAAATATAAATACATACTGTGAGGATGAAGGTGAAGTTTGCCCAAAGTTAATTAGCAAGACTAGTACATGAAGTCTTTTTCAAGATTTTATTGATCAACAAGCATATTATGACAACAGACTGATTTAACTATGTATAAAAAATCTGACAAAATGCTGTGTAGTAATAAATCATGCAGATAGAAAAGTGATGTTTTTTTGCCTGCATAGCTAGATATTTCGTTAATTCCACTCTTAACTCATTTCCAGTTGTCATGTAAATCACCATGAAATTCTAAGTTGTCATGTAACTGATGCTTTTTTTACCATATAGCCTCTGAAATACATTATTTGTGAGAGCAGCTAACTCCAATGTCTTAATAAACATTTTACTCAGAACGAGTTCAACAATATCATCATAGGTTTCTTCTCAAAAACGTTCTTGTAATGGGTGTAGGTCAATTTTAAGGTCGCTAACTTCTAACAACTTGATTTTTAATTAATAACGATAACCGTATAAAAAATCAAATTAGAATCAACTTTGAAATATCTTAGTAGTTCCTCTTTGACCGCTTTCAAATTCCCTGATCGCCTTCAATGAAGCTGTCAAACCCTGTTAGTTATGCTAATGAAAATTACGTGCATACAAACAAATGGAACAAGAAAGATATTCTACTAAGAGCTACCGGAAAACGGGAAAGCGGAAAAGTGACCGCAATTGAGGTTGTTCCCTTAACAATAAACAATTTGTAACGTTTACTACAAAACTGAAAAAGTTCCGCGTAACAGTTACTACTAAAAATTTGCCAGTATTTGATCTCTAATCCTTACCGTGTTTGTGGGCGACGTAGCCGGAGAAGGACCAAAGAAATGTTTACGTCAAGAACTTAGCCTATATTATAATTTTAATTAATCATTTCAAAGGCTGTTTGTAACAGAAAATCAATTAAAGAGAGCACATAAAGCGATTTCTAAATCAGTAGCCTAGCATGAAAATTGCCTTATAGAGCTAAAAAAGAGAGATTTTTATCAAGCTGCTTGGTTCATGGATTCACTGGGGTTTGCGCTGTTTTGCAAACCGCACTCTGACTCCCGCTCAGACTCTGAGCCAGATTTGATGCCATTTTTTCAGGTGAGCAAAACAACACAAATTGGTCCCGGGTCTCCCGAAACATTATCGTCCTTGTGTTCTCCAATAAAATAGAACTATAGTAACCACGGATCCCACGGAAACAAAGAATGTAATAATAAACCATTTGCCGCGTTTTTCCCTCAAAGTGGAAACGAGAACGATCTTCGTGGCTGTTTCATTCTTAGAGGCTAACAAGGCCCCACCTGTTGTGTCGACGAGTTTAACCCATATCACGTTCCCAGGCAGTTTCTTGATGTTATTGGCAACATTCACAGTTAAAGAACCACTCCACTGACCATCAGTCATTGACAGTGTTCCAGATGAGGGCCATATAAGGTCACTGATGTCTGTTGAATCATTGTGATACAGGGACCAACGCACTGTGATGTCACCCTGAGAACCTTTGGATCGGCGAACTGGTAGTTCTAACTTGCCCGTCTTCTGCGTCAGCGTGACTTTGATGTTCCCATCTAAAGAAAAAACTGAAAATGGCCAAAAATGTCACTTAACCTCGCTTATTAGTCCTATTAGCATGCCTAAGATCGTACTTTTTTTGTGATTGGCGAGAATGATATTACTCTTTGTAAAGTGATAAGACCAGATATATCGTAATCAATTAAACGTAGGTCTTGAACTATCATGTTATGTGGTACTTTTTGCCTATATCACTCACTAACATACAGCATATGTACTGAAACATTATGTTGTCGATTTAACTAATACAGATGCTAATTTTTAACGAAAAAAGGAGCTGAATTAGACACAAACACACAGAGAAATTTTGAAGTTGAACTGAGCAAATAGAAAAATGGGAAATGAGTCAACGTAGTTAACCGCTCAGCATATTTAGAGTTGTTTGATGAGGCCGACGAGTGTACCCCTAAGATCTCTGATTATTGCGAAGTCGCTATTACTCTTGTTAATGAGCTTTCATAAAAACAGTATTACTCATAAGTAGACCTTCAATAACGTAGTGAGGAGACTTTTTGCCAAGATACCTACTTAAATTTTTCTTGTCAAACAGGATCAAGCCGTTCCGCGCAGCGAAGGTCCAGAAGAATGCAAACTGAGTTAAGTGACAGACGTTTACTTCCAACAGCTTAATGGATCGGTTCACGTGACTCCAAGGTTCTGGACATGTTAGGGCTGCATCGAACCTTAAAAGGTAATTGATTAAATTATTTAGAAATATAGGAGGACACTGTTATGGCTGGCTGACTGTTGTCACGTGTTTATTTGCGTCAGATGGACAAGAGCCTCACATGACCTGCTAATCAAAGTGTTTGCTCTGGGCAAAAACATCACATCTCCAGCAAGCAACTCATTATATCTCTCAGTTATGAACTACGCCAAGCACCAAGCGTGGGAAATGGTGAATGGTTTTGTAAACCTCGGGCCAGGGCTTTTTCCTTGGAAATTTGAAGGGTAAAGACCGTGGGACGAGTTTATAAATTTTGATTTTTCTTCTGATTAGTTGAGAAAAACCGCGGAATTTTCAATCAGTCAAAAAAACAAGTAGCAAAGCAAAACTAAAGATTGCACAAGGCGACCTTGCACATTCATTTTTAAAAAGTTTTTTCGATGTCAGTAAAAGGGAACATTTTGGGCCAGGTGGGAACGTGCCTTTTCAAACGCCATATGACTGTATAATAGAAAGAAATGCCTAATAGGAGCCAACTGGTGGCTGTTTCCGTGAACTGCATCCTTTTCTCCTACACCCCCAACTCCTTACAAGCCGCTATGTCGTACAAAAATAGCTTATAGACCTCCAGTGAGCTCAACAATGAAACGAGGTCGAGACTTTGGTGACGGCTGCGAAGAAAATCAGTTTATTCTGTAGTAATATCGGAGCACGATCCTTATGACGCTGACCACAAGGTTTGTCATTATGAGGAAAAGTCATGTTTACAGTCACAAGCAACTGTGATAAAAGCTTAGTTCGAAAGTAAAATTTTCACTCTTGCTGTTGATGAAGCTTTTTGAGTAACTGTCTACCTTCTGTCCTTAGCATGGGTGTCTTAAAATGTATCTTATGTTAACGAACAATATCATTAAATAAATAAAAAGTACTTTTGATATAAGAGACGACTTAGCGGCTTTGGTACTTTCAAGCCCCCAAAAGAGAAATTTCAACTGTACGGAGGGATTTTCAGGATCAATTTAGAGCGTAAATTAAAGAAGTAAAAGAAAACAAAAAAGTAAAATGTTACCAGGTTTGGTTATCTGGATCCCACAGATACAAAACAGGATCTACATCCTCCTTGGTAAGATCGTTGTTCACGTGCTTTCCATTAGCTTTTACCAGGTTAGCAACGTCATAGAACATGCTGATCTTGATCGGCTTAACAAATCGATATCCTTCTGTAACGGTGTTTTTCAGTGGATTCAGTGCTTTGATCATGAAACTGTAGTTTCCAAGCAAGAATTGCTGTTGTAAAGAAGAACAATAATTTGAAACTGATGTAAGGACCAGAAGTATTGCCTTACGATTATAAACTACGTGTTTCACCACATCATTTTGTTTGCCCGCAAGCTTTTTTCTTTTGTTAGCATAGCTAGGCGTGATGCGATTTTATTTACCAAGTGCGCCGGAGTCCTTTCCTTAGCGCCACTATTCCACTGCAACTGAATTTTTGCCACATACCTTTGGTTTCGTCTTAGCTGGATCACTGAGAGGCCCCTCTTCAGTCTTGTTATTGCTTATTGCCTCGTCGTCCAACCTGTAGCATCGTAGCTTCACTTTCTCCTTAACAGCACCCTCGGGTATGGTCATTGTCCCATATGTCTGCCCCACACCCTCGTCCTTGCGCGTGCCATCATCTTTGACATTTACGGTATCAAAGAAGAACGATCCTTTTGATGAATTTTCGAAGGTAAATTCAGTTTTCCCGACTACTATTCCATTGGAAGATAACTTTTCTGAGAGTAAACCAGCGCCATTTGTCGCTCTTACGGTGGCATAGTACTTTTTTCCGATCTCAAGTACAGCATCATTAAGCTTGGCGCGCCATACCGTGGTATTGATGACTTCTTCATAGTCTGATATGTCTGTCACATTTGGTCCAGTGCCCCAGGCAACCTCGTATGACGTCACTCCACTTTCTGGGTCTTTTGCCAAAAAGTAAGCAAAAATGATATCGACAAAAACCTGACAAAAAATAGTAGTTTGGGTATAAATAACGGTTATTATGGGCGGAGTCTAAAATATTTTCATGTTCACAAATTCTTCTTTTATTCACAGCTCTAAAGTTTTCTTACCGTTTTCCTCACAGAACTGCTATTTTTCCAGTTATGCGGCAATGTTAGTTCTAACTAGAAATTCACCTTCAGACCTGTGTTCAACTGTTGTAGAACATGCTTAGACAAAAAAGGGAGGTGCATCAGAGTGGCATTATAGTTTTACCTGGTAGTCTATATCTGGTCCCATGACCCCGTCTCTTACATACTTCATGACAGGAGGTGTGACGTCTATAGTAACACCGTCACTATGTGCAGCTGAGCATTTGCGGGCTCCATTGCAGGCTACGACTGTGACGTAATAAGAATCACCGTGCTCTAATTTAAACCCATAGTGACTTCCGTTGGGTCTAATTCCCGTGCTTTCGCACACTCGAATGTCATCTCTCATTGGCTGAGACCCAACACACCAGAAATAATCGACAATGCCACTTTCGTTGTCCAGGAAGTTAATCCATCTAGCGTGAATCTCATGCTTATTACTGGTGAAATCAATATCTGTCTCTTGAAATTTTCGAGTAGAACACTGGCTGTTTTCCCCAAATGTTGTGTTCTCGGAACAGTTTAAGTTCTGATCGCTGCCAAGACCATCATATACGACTCCAGTTTCAGGAGCCGTAGAGTCGATAACGAATGATTCCGATATAGAGCTTGTGGACTGATTGGCTCGCGTAGTTTCAAGAAACTCTATAGTGTAGACTTTGTTGGGTCCAGGAATAAAGAAGGATCCATTTCCTAGGTGAAGATTGACTCCATGGGTGGTATTGCGTCCGTTTTTTGAAGTAACGTAGCATTCATTATCGCAGATACCTGTTGTTAATAGTACGTAAGGGTCATTAGATGAAGGGCATGTTGTTTTGGGACACTCTGAGCAAGTTTCACTAAAGCCACCAAATGATTTTCTGCCCTGTTTGCAAGGTAAGCATGATACAGGACGTACGCTGTGCAGGCCAGAAACTCTACTGCGGAAGTGATTTAAGGGACAATATGCTGCCATAAATACTCTTCCTGTGCTTATCCCAGTCATTTCGTTGTCAATCTTAGGCCACGTAAGTACGCCAGGTAATCCAAACAGGATGGCATTTCCTTTGAACGCAACTGTTGTTGGAGTTCTTAGTCCATCGACTCTCAATCCGCTGTCTCGGGCAAGAACCGTCCCTAGGTTAATGCATTCTTCAGGCACTTTTCCGTGGGAATCTTTTGAGTATATTCCTTGAAAACCAAGAAGCTGTACTCCTTCTCCACCACCGCCAGTTTGGATACCTAGAGCGACAATAAAGCCTTCCGTTCTGGCGTTTACGTCCAGATGCCCACTCAAGTCCTCCTTATAACCCCACGCACGGTACTCACAGACCACCTGGTAGGTGCTGGAAGTGGAATGCAACTGATAAACGTGCAGCAACCTTAACGACCTTGAAAGGACAACGAGAGCATTAGTCTTGGTGAGGTACATCGCTAGTGGTCCCGTGTGGCTTAACGATGGAGCTAAACAGATGATTTGGCGGAGAAGCAGTGTAGTAGTGGAGTAAATTGCAACGCAGCTATTCTTTCCATCTCCTGTAGTTATTGCTATAAACCGTTTATTTAGAGCTATGGATCTTCCAAAGTGCGGATCTTTCATGTCTTCACCGAGTACTTGGACAAACCCCCATGGTCCATTGTTCGCCCGGAAGACCGCCACAATGCTGTTATTTGAGTTTGGCATCGTTCCGGCTACTGCAATAATGTCCTTGTTGCCAGCAAACACCTCACCTACTGCATTTGTCCATGCTTTATTTTCTGAACACACTGGCGTTGTTAAGTTTCTACATCTTCCTATCTCGATTGCCTTTCTCAATCCAATAGTGTCACTTGCATGTTCGTACAGGTAGACTTTGCCGTTTAGAAGAAAAATAAGTCTGTTTCCATATGAGGCTATCTTAACTCTTGCATTAGGATCTGATCCGCTCTTCAGTGGAATAGAATGAGAAGCAGTTTTGGTTCCAAGTGACTGTATGACTACCTTATTTTTGCTTCCAATGGCTATCCAGTCATTTGGTAAATTAGCGATGGAGACTCCAAAGTCTTCGCTTGGTAATGCTGGCTTCAAGTGCGTGTCACTGAAGACGGTGGGTGTCTTTACAGACCTTCTGGCGCAGCACGGGCCTTCTGCATCAGAGAATCCAGGGATAACTTTCATCGTTCTGGACTGGACGGTCGTGTTTGTGTTATTTTCGCTACTTGAAGCTCTCTTGACAACGATTTTATATTCTGCCGTTGGGCTAAAAAGACTATCAGTTTTGTTGGACGTCCTGTTTGACACACCACTCCTAACGATAAGGTCCAAGTCCGCTGGAGATGACATGTATGTGATATTCAGAGATGCTGCACTCTGGTTAAGAGGGGAAAGTCTCAGATTTGGCCACCAGCGTAAATGCTCAACTTTGGCAGCTTTGTCACGGATTTTAAGACTGCGTTTAGGTGGGGGACTTGGCTCGATTCTTACTCCATCGCTTGAAGCTTCAGAGTATATACCACCCTCGTTCCAAACCTTGACTATACCACGGTAGCGGTTCCAAGGCTGAAAAGGAATACTTTGTATCGTAACATTTTGATACCAAGGTAGTACTTCCATGTATGGCTGTTTAAGAAGCTCACCATTCCAGGATTTTGTGTCAATTAGTCGTGGCACAGAAATGTTAGAGGATGAAGTTGTCACAGCCACTTGAATGCGCAAGCGAGAAACTTCACGAAGGTATTTCCCTACGACATTCCAGCTAAGTGACAGGCCTTGGATGGTATCCTGCCAGTCAATATCTTTGAAATTGCTTGTCTCTAACTTTGAAGTATCGATAACTTCCACTAGTTTTGGTGCTCCTGTTATTACCGTGCAAGGTTCTGATATTATTTGTTTTTTAAGCTTTGCCCCATTTACACCATACACAATGGAAAAAATCGTCAACCCCGAACGAAGTCTATTTACAATAGCGGCGCCTCTGGTTTCCTTTCCAACCGATTTTAAAGGCACCACGTCACATGACGTCTTTGCCGTTCCGACACACCATTTATACTCCGCTACTCCGCTCTCAAGGTCCTCCAATTCATTCCAGCCGGACATTAAGTGTTCTTCGGTGCACCTGAACCGGACCGGGGAGATCTCTTGGTTCTTGCCTTTAAGCGTTGGCGGTGTCAGATCTATCAAAACCCCGTCAGTTTTCGTTTCAGAGTACATGCCAATTCTGTTAATACCTCTCACAATCGCGTGGTAGGTTTTTCCATGCAAAAGCTGTAATCCATCAATTGTATAACTTCTGTTTATTCCAACATCAATGAAGGACGTGACTGAACAATTCTGAACAAAAGAACTCAGGCACACTTCATATTTTTCCATTCCACTTTCGAGGTCAATAAAGGTGATCCAGCTGAAATAAATGAATAAATAAATAAATGACCGATGTTTCGCGCTATCACCTTATGTATACGTCATACATTTTGGCGACTGCGCTCCGACTTAAGCTACCGGAAAGGCGTAAGTTTGTACTATTCTTCACGCTTTTTTTTCCAGTTTAACGTTCGTAAATGTCATAAGTAGGTTGACTATGATCGCGACTATACCGTACCTCAGAGGCACTTCTGAAACCATCGCCACGTATACTACAACCTTAAAATATACGTGTTGTACACAAACCGATAGCCACTTTACGACGTCTACTAACTAATGTCAAGGACAAAGACAAACCGAAGGACATCCAGGGAGCAGTATACAAGATCAAATGCTGCGACTGCTAGGCTACTTACATTGGTGAAACCGGCAGAAACCTTGGCACGTGACTGACCGAACATAAACGAACGACGAGTAATGGTGACGTCAACGATCACATTGCTGAGCACCATTTACAGGCGAAATATCAAATCGAATGGGACTCTCCGACATGTCAACGACTCACTTCAGAAAGCTGGTTTTCTAACTTAGAACAATCGCCACTGAATCGTAGACAACAGTTACCAGCAACGTACAAACGACTGGTTGACGGAATCAAGCAAAACCAACCACGAGAGAACGACTAATAACATGGCAAATTAATTGACCAATCAGGTCAATAAACAGAGTTTAATACCATCAAATGACGTGATACATTTCACATTGACTCTGACGATGACTACCGCACAGGTGGTCGAAACGTCAGTAACTGACATCAACAAAAGTCCTGTTCAGGACTACGTTCACCCAGACGATCAAACTCAACCTACTTATGAAATGACCCCTGGGTTCAAACCTTTCACAGCTTCTTTGCCGTTAATTTGTTACCCACTTTGTCAGATTCACTGAGATTCCTTAATTTAGAGCTTGAGAGATCAGTTAAGCGTGCGGAAATGTAATAAAAACTGTCCAATCTTTTCAAGACAAATTTTCCTACTTGTGGTGTGTTTTTGACTTCGTATCCGCGCTGGCAGAACTTAAATGAAAATTAAATAAACTTAAAACGTTTCTTGTGATAAAGCAGTTTGTTTGAGATCGGGATTTCACACAAACAAACATTTTATGGTTTTAGTCCAGTCTGAATTGTTACCCCGCTAAGCAATTGCCATAGATAACCAGACTGACAGTTTTGTCCATAGAAATAAAGCAAACTGGTACTTTCTGAAAATCCCTTTGACTCACATTATCTTATATGTTCCTGATTTTCTTCACACTGGACTGAAATACGTAGAAGCTCATAGATTCTCTCTTAAAATCCTCAAACTAATTTCATCAAGCTTTCCTACACTTTGTCTATAACTATATATAAACAGTTCTTTCAGCGGAGGTTATAATGACGTTTCGGTACCTTACGGTTATCCGACTGGAATCTGAATGGTACAGCAGATTACTGGTCTCATTTCCAACCCATGCTTTGCTTATCGTAGGAGGAGTGAAATCAACCGTAAAACCGTTGGAGAAAGCGTCAACTTTGAGTCCAGCGCGATTTACGGCTGTTACGATAAACCTGTATTGTGCGCCGCTTTGGAGATCTAAACCTGTCAAAATAAGACGTGAAAAGTGTTTTGTCCACATTACAGATTTCAATATATGAACAACTTGTACTTATCTTACTCATTGTAGCACTCGTTTCGTACTTTTTTCGTTTTAGATTTTGTAATTTAAACCACCCTCCTTTGGCTTGGCCCTAACGCAGTGTTCAATATGAAGACCCCTAGCTAGATGGATGACGTAAGTTATTCTTTGCTAAAAAATTACAAGAGGCCACCCACAAAAAATATTTATAATTATATTTTGCATACTTTTTGCGGTTAAGTCTTGTAGTTAGTAATTGTTCTAGAGAACTCCAAACACAGCTGCCAAAACAGTTAGATATTTGCTTAAACCAGATGTCCTACTACTGGATATGTATTCCAAATATGAGTTCCCTACCTGTGAAGGTAACGTTGGTTGCCTTTCCAACCCCGGTGAATGGCTGACTACAGAACGACAAGTTCCTAGAATCACATAAAGCGACTTCATAAGAGTCGATGCCAGATTCCAAGTCCTCAAAGCCAACCCAATGTGCTGTGATGTCATCTTCACCATTTAGATAATCCTCATCTGAGTCAACTCCATCGATTACAGTACCAGCTGAGGGTGGTGTATCGTCAACTATCACGCCATCTGATGTAGTTGAAGTAGTCACGCCAGCGCCGTTCGTTGCTGTGACCGTCAAATAATACTTCTCACCAGTTATGATCGGCTTTGTTAGTACTTTGTCAACAGAAGTACTACCAGGGTCCATTTGCGTTTCTTTGACGACGTCACAAGCACCTGCTGACAGTCCTGCGCACCATGTGACAGCAATGACGTCACTTTCTAGATCTTCAAATGCATACCAGTGTGCTGCTAGTTTTGTTCTGCTTTGTTGAACGTCGATATCTTGACTTTTTATATTTCCATCTCGTACAACACCTTCATTAAAAGGTCCTTTAAGATAAAATGAGAAACAGGGTAAGAAAAATGTGAAGTCTTTGTTTTACACACCGTAACCGATTTGTCTTATGGTAAGACCTTCAAATGAAAATAAACCATGCAAGTTTCGTCTTTTTTTTTTTGTTTTTAATTACAAATGTCTATGGGATAAAGATAACCAGTTTTTAATGCCAGAATCTATTGTTTACTCTACCTGTCTTGTCAATAACAATCGCGTCAGATGGCTTAACGTCACTGGTCAGCCCAGCCTTGTTCTCTACCTTGACAGAAACAAAGTAAGTTTCTCCTTGATTTAGCAGCAAGTCTTCAAAAATAAAAAAAGTATCGTTCTTCGCGTCTGTAAAGTTCTTGATGTTGCATTCCCCTGGGTTAGTTCCAAGACAGACGTAACTCGCTTGAATGCCACTTTCCAGGTCCACGAAACCATCCCACTGGACAGCAATTTGAGAATGTGTATAAACTTCAGTCCCCTTCAAAGATGCCCATGAGTGGTGAGTATATACAACCTCGCCTATGAATGGAGGAGTGGTGTCCACTGCGAACCCGTCTGAGAATAGTTCTGTGAATAGCCCAACCTTATTCTCAGTGCGAATCTTGGTAACATACTCGTAGCCTTCATTGAATTCAAGGTCAGATATACAGATGGATGTTTGATTGCCAACGTCAAGACCCTTGACCAAACAGTCCTCAGGGTTCATTTTAGAACACACCGACACTTCAGTTGTGAGTATACCACTCTCAGCGTCTGCGACACTCCACTTAACGCAGTAGTCTTCTTTGACAGTGAGGAAGTCGATGTCATTGTTACCTGTACTGAGCTGCAAGTCCTCCACCTTTAAAAATAATGATAAAAATACTGCAAACTGTATAAACTGAACCAATCTGTAGATAACAGAGAATACAAAGAAAAAGAAACAAGAACAGAAGCAGAAAGAGAAGCAAAAAGAACGAAAGCGTAAATGAAGAACGACGGCTATAACCACTATAACTAATTTAAAACTCTAGGGAACCTTAACGAGATATGAATAAAATTGAATCATACACTTCTAAAACTCTTACGGGAGAGATTTTGAATGTAAATTTCGTGCAAAATAGCAATCAAAAAAATAAAATAAGAGTTGACCCTTGGAGGAAAACTGTAAAGGGGTTAAACAAAGTTACCTTTGAGAAAACTGGCGGACTGCTGTCTACTTGAAATCCGTCCGAAAATGAAATACTGGATATCTCTGCGTTGTTTAAGGCGTTTACAGTGACGAAGATCTCTATTCCTTCGGGAAGTGGCGGGTGAACCTGCTGACTAACACTAGTGCGATCTCCTTCGTCGGTTTCCGTGACGAGGTCACAGATACCTTTTCTTGTTCCTGCACACCACGTGTAACTTACAACTTCTGATTCATCGTCCCTGAAATCATCCCAGTTAGCATAGATGTATTTGTTATCTGCCTGGTAGTCGATATCTGTAAGTGTGTTACCGTCTCTTACGTTACCTTTGGCAGCAGGCGTATTATCGACTGTAACTCCATTGGATGTTGCTGTTGTTGTATAGCCTGACTCACTCGTTGCTCGCACGGTCACAAAGTATTTTTTGTTTTGCTGCAAACTTAGACCGCTTATTATTCCTTTGAGTTTAATACCGACGCTAACAAAGTCACCCATATCGCAGACTCCTAGTTTCCCTCCCACACACATTTTATACTCAACAATGTTACCTTCACTGTCAAGAAATGGAGACCAGTTGGCTGAAATTTGACTGGTAGAGCTTTGAAATTCGATGTCCTTCCTTCTCTGCTTCCCGTCATAGACTGTTCCAGTGGATGGTTCCTTCCCATTTACTATAAATTGATTCGAGCCAGCTTCTGTTAACAGTCCAGCCTTGTTGAAGGCTCGCACAATTACAACGTAGGACACGCCGTAAGAAAGACCGAGAGCATCGATCTCCAGGATAGTTCTAATACCTACATTCACAAACGGACTAAGGCATTCGTCTGTGTTACTTGCCTGGCATATGGCCCACTCGAAGTAGTTCAAATGACTCTCATTATCAACAAAACCAGTCCATTTGGCTGTAATTAGATCACCATTCTTAAAGTACTTGGTTTCGAAAGTATTTCCTACTGTAACGTTCCCTGGCGTTGGTGGTGTGGTATCAATTAGCAGAGGTAGGGAAGTTACTTCCGTTTTCAAACCTACTCCATTTGTGACTGCTAGCATCATGAAAACAACTGTACCAGAAGTCAGTGATCTAGATAGGTAGTGGTTTCGTGAAGTAACTTTTGGATCTTCTATGAGCGTCAAAGGAACTACATCACATAAATGATTAGCTGTACCTGCACACCACTTTACATATGAAATTCCACTTTCCACGTCATAGGGTTCATCCCAATAAAATGATAATTGCTCACCGTCGTTTTGCAAAATCGCTTGATTCACATTCTGTTCTTCCCTTTCGGCGCGATGATAGATCCCCGCTATCACGGGTGGAGATGTGTCAACTATTATGCCATCAGAGGTGGTTTTTCTTTTAAGACCAGCTCCATTGATTGCCTCGAGAGTAAAGAAATACTGGGAGTTCTCTTGAGGAATGATTGTGTGTTCCACGTATGTGCCAATTCCGGCTGAAACCATGCTTCTCACGTCACAAGAGCCTGAAAAAATATAAAGGAACCATTAAGTCTTCTGTTGCTGATGAGTGTAAGGGTGTACACCTTAAAACTAACCTTTGTATTATATTTTTCGGATCGGTACAGTTTATTTGTCTCCTCGTAATAAAAAACGAAGTAGACCCACAAATAGTCTGTTAATGAAGAGCTTCATCCCTGTGAGATCAGCGTGACAGAAGCCACATAGCTCGAATTTAGGAGGGAAGGTTTCCTGATCGACTCTTAAAGGCATAAGGGCTAGTTGATGATGATTTTTCTTGTTGCAGTGGTGAACATGTTTGGTGTAACACTGACTGGTTGTATAATTGTTTGTAAGCCCATTTTTCGCGAAAGTGATTTATGTCACAATTTAGCGCCAAGACAGATATATAGAGCGCGCTAAAGATTGCCTTAAGTGTGCCTACTTCCTGTATTTTACTCTCGTAAATGGCCAGTGACCTTTTTCTTGATATACAGTTTCCTTTCTTCAAAAAGGTGAAAGTTTAACCCGTCATTTTGCGGCTGTCAAGTGTAACATGTGCTATCGATATCGTTGAAAGAAAGAATTGGGTTTACAAACCAATTAATGTTAAGTTTATTATACTTAAGACTGAAGTTCGCCGGACGCTCGCCAGTGTCCGCGTGATTCAGGTTCGTTCACAGAAATATGGAAAGAAAGCTTAGAATTACGGTCTTTCGTTTTACATGAGGTTCTGTTAAATGCAGTTTTCCACTATAAATAAAAAACTATATACAGTTCCTACCTTGTGATGTTCCCAAGCACCAGCGATACTCCATAACGTCACTTTCAGAATCTTGAAATCTACTCCAGTGACAAAACAGTGTCGCTTCCTCTCTTTGGTCATCGCTGTGGTTTAATGCTTGGGACAGTTGATCAGTCAGTTTGCCTTCTATGATTGAACCAACACTAGGGGGTGACCAGTCCATCACGACCTCCAGTGAGACTAGAGAGGTCTCCAATCCAAGCATGTTAACACCAGTAACAGTTACAAAAAATGAAAGGCCTTCATGAACGGTAAAGTTTGCGAGGTTTAAATCTATAGAGTGACTCAGTCTGTCAACATGCTGAATAGATAAGAGGTCATCCTGAAAAGGCAAGCTACCAATGGCGATAGTAAAGTGGCTGATACCGCTTTCTGGATCATCAATCGACCAGGTAACTATAGGGGCCAATTGTGAGGTTATAAACAAGGTATCCTTGCCTGATGATGGTGAGATCTTTATTGCTTTTCCGATTGGAGGTGTCCGGTCTATAACTACACCATCTGAAGACGACATTATGGTATTGCCTCTGGTGTTTTCAGCCTTCACTGTCACGAAATATTTGTTTCCATGCAAGAGTGTCAGGTTGTGAAAGCGGCTAGCGCTTGTTTTCAAATGGGCGACTTCTGTGAAAGTCCACTTACATATATCTGACCCAGGAAAACTTGGTGGGTGATCTCTGATACACCAATTATAACCTTGGATATCATACACCGGGTCCTCGAAACCATCCCAATGTGCCCAAATTGCTTTGTCGTCCAGCTGGAAGTCGATGTCATCCGCTGAGGTTATTGGACCGTCACTTACCACACCAGCCGAAAGTTGACCCAATATGATCAGCATTCCTGTCGAGCAATCTGTTTTATGAAGTCCAACTCCATTTGTCACTCGTACACAGACAAAATATGTGCTATTTCCCCACAGTGTTTGATTTCGAATGATGACTCCGCCAATAGACTCTTTGGGAACTACTTTGGTGTAACGATCCGAGTCCGCTCGTTTCAGTTTTAAAAGATTTGTTCCGACAGCCCAACTGGTCATTTTTATTCCACTTTCAAGATCGGCAAAGCCTGTCCAACTAACTGCAAGAGTAGAATTTGGTACTTTGTTCTTGCTTCGATCATAATTAGGCGGAAAAGCGTAATATGCAGCTACAACTCCAGGATCGGGGGCGGAGCGGTCTATGATTACAGCGTTCGACGAGCTTCTGCTTGATAATCCAGCGTTATTAATCGCCAATAAATTCAAAAAGCAAGTTATCCCCTGTGGAAAAGAGAATGTTAACACGGATACCTTTGTGTTTATGGGTGAGATTACTGTGTAGTTTCTGATGTCATTTGCTTCTGGAGTTGTCCCAAGTCCCCACGATAGAGATTTCAGGCCGCTTTCTTCGTCACTAACTGACCAATCTGCTGTAAGTAATTCCCTCTGAGAAAAAAGCGTGAGATGAAGACCAAAAAGTAAAGGAGATGTGTTGTCAATCGTGACGCCATTTGTCCAGTAAACTGTTTTCATACCAACTGAATTTTCGATCTCAATTCCACTACTGTAAATGTGACCTTTCAAAATTTCTCTGGTAGTTCGGCCTTCACCCGTGATAACTGCCGATCCGGAAGAGTTAACGCGTGATTTCAAAGCGTGAAATGGAAATAGATATTCTGATTTATACACCTCTTTAACCGCAAATCGATACTGTGTTATAGACGATTCGTTGTCGTAACACACCCAGGATATTTTCAATTGACTTGAACTGGTAGCAAATTCCTGTTCATCCTCAGAATCAGCATTTCCATCCCAAACCTTGGAGCATGCCGGAGGTGTCATATCAACGATGAACCCGTCTGACTGCTGTGTTGCTTCCAAGCCAACGCCGTTCACAGCTGTCACGTTAACGTAATATGTTGTCCCAGTAATAAGTTCTTTATAAAGCTGTAACGTTGCACTGGTAACGTTAACAGGAATTGTAAATGAGCCATATGAATCCAGCGAAGAGCCAGCAGAATGTGTCCACACTTGCGCTTTATATGCATGGACACCACTTTCTGCATCAACAAACTTAAGCGTTATAAGTAATGTCCTGTTTGAGCTCTGATAGTCACCATCTTTCAGGTAAACTAAAGTGGGAGGGGTATCGTCATATACAATGCCATTCGAGAAAGAAACAACTGCGAGGCCAAGTTTGTTCGTACATCGAACAGTGGCAAAATACCGATAACCCAGCTTTAGTTTGTGACCGATTATGAACGAAGTTTGTGAAACCGAGAGGCTTGTAAAATTAACAACGTCTGTTTGCCCAGGCTGCAAACCAAAGGCAATTTCAATTGATGAAACATTAGTTTCTGGATCTAGGCAGGTCCATGTTGCCTTCAAGTAGCTCTGAGAAGTGTAATTACGATCGCTGATGGGATCTTCACCATCGCGAGTTGGCTGAGAGAAAATCGGAGGTGTGAAATCCACTAACACCCCGTTTGAAGAGACCATGGAGCTGGGTATTCCGAGTATGTTATAAGCTATCACTGTCGCGTAATAGCGTTCGCCATTTATTAGTTCTTGAACCTTAAGTCGTGAACTTGGTGATGTGTTAACCAGTCCTACGTTTGTAAAATCTTGGATGTCTTGGGCTCCTGGAGCTGATCCAAACGCCAGATGATATGACGCGATCGTTGTTTCGTTTTCTGAAAAGTTGGCCCAAGAAGCTCTAAGAACTGAACTATCAGTCTGTACGTCGACATCTTGGTCCAAAGGCCCATCATTAACAAACCCTGTCAGAGGAGGAGAGGAATCGACCACTACACCATTGGAATGAAAATACGCAACATTTCCTGCTCTGTCCACAAGTTTGAGACATGCGTAATATTTCTTCCCAGAAGCCAAAGATAATCCAAACAAAACGTAAGCGACTGAATTACTCGGCACCAGTTCTTCCTGTTTTACATCACAGCTACCACCTGCTTTACTGGACAAACCCAAATATGTGGTTTCAATTCCCGAGAAATCCGTAAACCCATACCAGTGTGCTCGGTAAAGAGATGAGAAGCTTTGATATTCAGTATCGCTGGGGCCCCATCCATCCATTACCAATCCATATTTAGGAGCTTCAAAATCAGATAAGATGGGAAAAGAGGATTTTATTGTTAAAAGGCCGGCACTGTTTCTGGCTAATACGGTGATAAAATAACGTCTGTGGTTTTCCAGAGTTGTTGGCACAGAGGAAGTCCAGTTAGCACGCAACGTTGAGGTGTGTTTACGTAGATAGAACGTTTGAAATTTCACGACGTCGTCTGCACCAGAATAGGTTCCAACCCCAATTTTGCAAGCTGTTATTACAGAGAGATCGTCTTCGAGAATAAAATAAGAGCGAAACTTGATAACGGTGGTGTTCACAAATTCCACTGTTTCACCAAAATATCCATGTTGTACAAGTGTTATTAACGGGGGACTGCTGTCAACAATAAATGTGTTTGAAAAACCTTGGGAGGTAATACCTGCTTTGTCTGTGGCTTCAATAGCTACTGAGTACACTCCATCGTCCATGCTAATACTACGGCCACTATAACTCTGAGTCCCGACTGGCCTAAAAGGACTAAGAAGCTTTTTATTTTCTTGAGAAATTACCGATATACTAAACATGCTTATTCCACTGTGTATGTCATAGAAGCTGTCTTCGCTACACCTGCTGGAATTCAAGAGAATTTGACTTCTTCTCTCATCCGCGGAGCACCATTTCCACCGCGCCCAAACGGACTTTGATATCCACTGATATAAAACTGGAGGCCCTTTTAGTCCCGTGATTACCTTTCCAGGATTAGGAGGAACAAAATCAACGGTCATACCGTTGCTACTGGCGTTGACGCACATACCCACCCCATTACAACCAACAACTGTCATGTAATACACCTGACCGCTTTCTAGGAGAAGTCCTGATACTGTCACATTGGTTTGCGATCCTAAAACATGCAATGCCTTAACATCAGCTACTCCAGGTTTTGTTCCGAGTCCAGCACGATATTCAACCACTCCGCTTTCAGCATCGGTGAAGGCTTGTTCCCAATGTGCCGTAAACGTGAAACGTTCACTGGTAAAGTTTCTGTCCTTTCCACTTTCGCCATCTTTGATATAATAAGACGCAACAGTAGGGGGAGTTATATCAACCAAAATGCCGTCTGATGTGATCGTTTTCCTCAGGCCGGCCCCGTTGATAATTCTTACTGTGACGTGATATCGAACTTTTGGTAGAATTGTCACGTTGTAAAACTTTACGTAGAACATTTCACTTTTCTCTATGGTTTGCGAAAAGAACGTTACATCTTCAAATGCTTTTAGGTTATCACCCCCCGGGTATGTTCCTATACCTAAACTTTGAGAGTTGATGCCGCTTTCACGATCAAAACACTTCCACTTTGCTTGAATGATTTCTAAATCTCCCGCAACATCTACGTCATCTGTGTCAGTCTCGTTCGTGACGTCGACTACATTTCCTTCGCAAAAAGGTGGTGTAACGTCTGGTTTGAATCCATTCGTTTCAATTATTGATTGAAGCCCCGCTGCATTAGTTCCACGAAGTACAAGCCTGTATAAAGTGCCAGGAGTGAGAGAGAGGCCTTCCATTAGCGGTTCCTGTTGGGTCAGAGGTATTCTGACGAATGGAGTGATATCTTTAAAATTTCCAGACATGTTTGCCTTAATCTTCCATTCATACTCTATCATTGGGCTCTCTGGATCATTAAACGGTTGAAATTTTCCACGGGCACGTGATACTGATGGAATAAACTGAGCATCGACATCCCCAGTACCGTCTTGAAATGATACTGGTATTGGTGGAGTTATGTCTATTAAGACACCATCGCTGCACATAACTGCCTTTAGTCCAACTTGATTCATCGCATACACACGAGTGAAGTATTTTTTTCCATGTTGAAGACTTAAGCCAGATACTTGAATAGAGCTATAATCTCCAAGGGATGACAATGGTACGACGTTTGTCTCTGATTCGTCAAACGTGCACAGGGCCTGCGAAGAAACTCCCCATTTCAGATTTACAACCTCACTTAAATCACTTTTAAAAGCATAATTTACTGCCAAGGAATGTGTATCGGACTGATAATCAACATCTTTTTCTTGTATAGTACCGTCACGAACAAAACGAATTTGTGGACTCTTCCTCCTTGCTTGGAATAATGAGCAGTAAGCCAGAGAGCTGTCCATCCCTTCTTCATTCGTTGCCATGACACTTATAAATACGTTTCTGGTATGCATGATAGAAAGTTCTTTGACCACCAAGCTACGTGATATACCAGCCCAGGTAGAGAAGTCATCACCCGAGCCTTTTATAGATCCGATATTGACAAAGTAGGATTTAATCATTGTGTCTTCATGAAATCCATGCCACTGAACAAAGTATGTCTTGTCTGCTATCTGCTGTGCTTTACAACGTCCGACTTTTGGGCGCGTCATATCTTTTTTTCTCTCGCAATTAGTGAACATAGTTAACTCTATTTGCTGTTTTGACCACGTCCATTCTTGAAATACTCTTTCTCGCCCCCAGCCGAAGGAAATGTCTATTCCAATAATCCAAGCATCGACTTCAACCGATCTAAATCTATACCAAAGGTATACTCTTATGCTAAGAGGTGTCATGGCCAGTTTCAGTTCGATACATGCTTGCACGGGCCACTGGCTAACTTCTACGCTTAATGTCGGTACTAGATAGGTCTCGAGCAGTCTAGCTTCAACGGTAACCCCAACTTTAATTAATACAAGCGACAAGCTTGCACCGGCGTAAGCTCTAACCCACGCCCCTGGTATAAGGCCCAGTTTAATCATTTTGCTCTTCATACACAATTCTGCCTTGTAACCAACACTATAATGGCCACTTGCTCCTGCAAAAAAACTAATAGGTATTCCAAACACAGAGATAGTTAATTCCACGCTAAAAAAAGTAACAGAATTGCTTAACAACGTCGCCTCCATTATGCTCTTACAGTAGGCTACATCTGCAAGGCTTCTTCGTATCCTAATAGTTGAATGATGAATTTCTTCAAGTCTTTCGTGATAGACATCTGATTCCATTAGCTGTTCAAAGATACTTCGCTTGCGTTTTGACCCACATTTAACATCTCCAATAGGAAAAATTTTTCGTGGACGTAAAATGTTGTCACCGAGTAATCTGAAGTAAAGGCAATTTTCGTTTATTGCTAACATAGTCTTTAAGATTGGCAGCCTCAGTTTGAAGTACCTGTCTTCATAGTCTCCACCTGTGAGTTCTACGTTCTCTTTCTCAGCGAGGGTACCGCTTGAAAACGCAACAGCAATCACCTCGTTATCAATTCTTGTGACAGATTCTAAGCCAGAAGGAGTTCGCACCACTCTTGCGAGAGTGTTTTCACTCGTTGTGTCGCCTCCGTTAAGGTCGTGAAACTCAAGTCTGCATTGAAATCCAGCAATTAGTGCACATCTTGAGATGCATGCGTACTCCCCACCAGATTGCCTCACAATGATCATTCCTTTTACGTTTTTTCCTATGTAAATTACTCTGTATAGAGCTAAGCCAGAAGAAGGCATGTCACCGTTTGCAGAAAGTTTATAACCATACGCCTTCCCTTCTTCATCACTGGTAATCCACAAGATATTGCTTAATGTATCATAAGAAACAGATGTCGCCGTTCCTTTAACAATTTCTCTCTTTGAGATATCAATCCGAGAAGGTTTAGCTGAGGTTAAAGTGGATTGAAAAAGGGATTTTTTGATAGAAATGATTTCATTGCTTTTGTAATTACTCACCCATATGTAATTTCTAGCTAGGGCAACACCACCGATTTTTACCGGCAAAGGATGGCCTTGTTTAAAAAGTTGAACGATTTTCTTCACACCCCCGCCAAAGTTTGTGACAACAAGGAGAGATGCTTTTTCTTCATTACTTGAAACACCATACATTCCAAGCACCATTTGGTTATTGGAAAGTTCAGAAATTCCTTGCACTTTATAATCATCAAACAACCCGGGAGTTAACCAGCGACCGGCCTTCGGCATGGATGAAAGATCATCAAGATGGGGAAATTTCCAACGAAAAATGGTCGACAAATAAAGGTTTGATGATCTTCTAATAGAACGCAGGCAGACGTCTTTAGAACAATAATGTATGCTTTGCCATCGCTTATACTCGCTGGGATGTAAACCTCTCTGTCTAGTTTGAATCTTGTTTAAAAAATCGCTGGTTTTGTCTACAAGCCCGTTCACTTTAGCAACAGCTTCACTGGCCTCTGATTTATACTGGTCAAGAAAGGGTTTGACACGTTCAGTGATCTCTTCTGTACCAGTCAGCAAGCTGATAGTTGGGTTTGCAACCAAAGAAGCCACTTGATCGAACTTTTCGGCAAATCTAATTGCGTTTTCACAAGCGATTTCTAAGGTCCGCAGAGCCTTGTCCACATTTCGACTTTTCTGCCACAGTTGATAAGAAAGCTGAAGCCTGGAACGTAAAGTTACGAGTGTTTTAGCGTGCCTGTCTATAGCGTCGTCATGCACGCTGCGCAGCGTGTGAAACGTACTTTCTTGAAAAGCTTGTAATTTAATGTTGGTCGTCCTGGCTTTTTTTATATAGTCAGAGATTAGATCATTTGCAGCTTTTTCATTTTTGAGGTCCCTTTTTTGACGGTAATTTTCACTTTTTCCCGGCTTTCGACCTGCGGTTTTTTGCAACAAGGCCCTTACTCTCTGGAAGCTATCTCTGTTAGTCAAGTTGCGGACCTCTTCAGCAATTAGCTTTATGACGTGAAACACTGCCGTTATGGTGTCTACATTTTCTTCACATGTTTTAAGTGATTCAGAGTATCCACTAACTTCGTCAAGCTTTACTTTTATAGAGTTTGCTTTCTTTTTCACAACTTTTCCTTGTTCTATGAAAACTTTGGAAATGCAACTACCACCATTTAAACATTTCTGGATTTTAAAGTTCTTCCACACATCTGACACCAGGTTGTTGAGTACCTCTATTTCAGCTTTTAAGTCTTTGTACTGATGTGATAAGGTTCTACCAAAAACTTGTGCTTTATGAACGCAAAACCTATTATTATCCAAAATCGTTTTTTCAATCTCCTTACAATCTGGTAGCTTTTGTAAAATTGCACTTAAGGGCAAAAGATTCTTGTTAAATGGCTTTAAATCGCGTAGAACTGCGCTAAATTCAGTGATTATAGAGCGGATTTTTTTCACCTCCATTTGAATTTCGCTCACAGAAACTATTACCGCTCTGAGATTTGATGAAGCCCTGTAAATAAATATGTTGGATTCTTGTTTAAAAATGGAGTTAACCTCTTTCCCCACATCTAAGTGTCTGAGTTTCTTCAGAGTTTTGGTAGCGATGTTCTGAAACTCACTACAAGTACGCGTTATTGCTTTGTCGAAGTCAGTTCCAAACTGTTTTCGCAAATCAAGCTTCCTAATTTCATCGGTATATTCTTGGGCTCTATCTGCAAAATGTATGACCTCGTTTACGGTTTTCCTTGTCTTGGATGTGAATTGTGGAATTTTTTTTAGATGCTTAAACGCTTTGTTGATGGAAGAAGCTATTTCTTCAACGTTGTTAACAAAACCCTTTTTCGTACCTAGAACTGAAAGAAAGTCTGATAGAATTTGAGCAACGCCGGAAATCTTTCCGTCGCGACCTGCCATATTTTCCTGGTACCAAGCTTCCACGTTCGTAACAGCAAGTCTTACGTTTGTTCCAGCTGTCTTCATCTTACTCGCCACAGGTCCAGTAAAAGACTTAAGCTCTTTAAGTGTCTGACGGACGCTAGCTTGTACCTCATCGATTACGTCGACTGAGAATCTTGAAGCTTTGGTGCATGACCCACTCACTCCCGATTGAGTACCATTTGTAAACGTCGAGATATTATTGGCTAGATCCTTAATAAAGGCCATTTTAACGGTAAGTTCCTGCATTGAGGCTGAAAGTAATTCTTTGGCAATAACAGTGAAATTACTTTCTACTTTGTCTACCAAATTTTCCACCAGCATTGTAAAGTTATGCAATTCCTTAAGGGCCATTTTAGCTGCCTCCTCAACTTCCTTTAGATCAGAGATCCCTTCCCTTTGGAAGTTTTTATGCTCATTAAAAAAGTCCAATACCGACTTGCGGATTCCGCAGGTCTTCTGGATACTCCCCTCAAGAAATTGCGTGATAGCGGGTCCAAGTTCTTGAAAGAAGTTTATAATGGCACTGATATCAGACACATTCGACATGTGTGAGTTGAATTGAGTTGTTAACGCCAAAAGAAATGCTTGTAAAACGCCGGCAGAATCAAAATGATTTATTTTCTTTGATTCTTCTTTTCTCAACAGATCAGGAAAGTAAATTTCCAAATCATATTTTCCGCCAGGCAAGATTTCTCGAAAGAACTCTTCGAGATCAAAAGTAGCATTTGTAAACAGATCAAAAAAATCAGCAGCATTACCAAGAATTGCAGCTAATTTCCGAAAATCAGTAGAATTTAACTGGAGATTGAATTTTAAGCTAATCCTCCAGTCAAAAGTGAGTCCAAAATTAAATCTGTTTTGTAATAGCGCTGGGGCTCGCCGTTTAAGGAAACGCAGCTTTAATACAGGTAGTGTTACGTCTTTGAAGGAGTCCAGCAAATATGACATGTGCAGAACATTGCTGCTAAATCGCTGAAATCTATTTAAGACCTCTTGAAACTTCTCAAGTGAAAAGGAAAATTGATGAGTTAGAGTGAATGGAAGATGTGAAATGAATTCATCAGGAACAGACGACCCCAACATGAGAAAATATTCTTTGATCTTTGCTTTTTGTTGACTGGCGGAAGTTTTCCAGAGGATGTGAAGAAGTTTATTTATGCTGAATCCTTTAGGTAAATTGTTTGGCAGGTATTTCCGTACCCCAATAGCAACTCCAAGACCCCAATCCAAGGTGTCAAGAGCTTTCTTAAATGGAACGTCAAAACTTCTAATTTCTACCAGATTTCGCTGTATTTTAGAATTTTTTTCTTTTAGTGACTTCCATCTGTTTACATGAGCACGCATTTCTTTCGAATAACTAACAACCTTTCTGGTACTTTTAACTGCTTGTAATGGAAGTTTTAAGTTCTGCAAAAAAATTTCAATACTGTTGACAAATTCTGTAAACTCGTCCACGCTTAATGGGATTACTCCTTCAAGTTTCTTTCTAAACTCCTCTATGTGCTTGGTGATGACGCTTGTAATACTGTCGAACTGCCTAGAAAGATCGTCACCAGCATCAACAACAGTATGTATGAGGTCTTTAGGAATGTCGTTTTTGAAGCTTGCTGATGCCCTAAAGGTGGCTTTACCTCTCCCTATGTCAAAACTATGCTTGAGAATATGACCTTGAAATAGTGCAGAATTATCAAGATTAACTTCAACTTTCCCGTCAAAAATTCCAATTCGCAGGCTAAGTTTGTTAGAAAAGTCAACCGCAGTTTCAGCTCCCAACCATTCTCCTCCCACAATCATACCCCAGTGTTTTGAATGGCCTAGGTTGAACTCTCGAGGGCGGAGTGCTGGTATCAATGCCCTTTTGCGGCGATTGATCAAGCTACGCCTTATACGTAAGTACTTTGCTTTGCTATCATTACCATGGTTTTCTAGGAAAACGCGTATTGCTGAATCTAACGCCTCTCCCTCTTTAGCATGCCACATAGCATGCTCTAAGCCTTCGACTACAATATCACTTAAATTCTGGTGGCGCTCTATGAACACACTGACAACTGCCGCCTTGACGTCACTTTGTTCGTCATGGTGCAAGACTTTTATCAGATGATGATCTGTGAACTCTTGAGGCATTTTGCGCATTGCTGAGATAACCGCTGATCGGATGCTAGAGTCGTCATGGTCAAGGTGGTCCAGGATTACCGGAAGTCCGGAATGATGGCCAAGATTCCCAAACGCCCAGATGTGGTCTCTTAATTGCATTTCATAATCAACACTGTCAGGATGGTAGATAGTTGATTTGTTTTTGTACCTGTCAAAAATGACATTTACAACGCTTTTACTCAAAGTCTCATTATATCCTGCCTTTCTCGCTCTTTCTGAAAGGCCGGCTAAAACCATCATTGCCGTAGCTGTGATGCTTTCTTCTTTTGTATAGTCAAATGCCAGCTTCAAAAGGGCATCAAAGAGATTAGAATGCAGTGGTCCGGTTGGTAAGTAATATATTGCAACCAGCAACGATTCATATTCTTCAAAGCTGAGAGACCTTGGCTTGCTCGGGTCGACCGCATCAGCTAGAGCGTTTTGAGCTTCGTATTTCCCATGAGCAGCAAGAGCAGATACACAGACACTCCAAGAAGTTAAGTTTTGGTGATTCCGGTTTTGAACGAGTTTCGTGATCGCTTTTAGTGCGCTTTTATCATTGCGAATTAAGCGATGTAAGTCGGTTACACAATAAGCAAGTTCTCGTTTTTGAACGGTTTTTCCAACCAGGCAGCGTAGCAGTTCATACAGAGGTCTTGTTTTCATATCATTTCCACCCACATCCGACCAGCTTACTTTTTCGTTATCGTTAAACAAGATGCTATCTTTGGTAAGAGTCTTTAAAATATCTAGATGCTCTTTTTCAGTGACAGAACGCTTCGAACGCGGATGGTACGGATCAGAACAAGACTTCAATCTCAGCTTGCTGTAGCCACTGGCTGATACTTCTATATCTTGGTTTTCGAAGTTGTCCAAATTTTCTGCCCTGGGGTGACCATTAGGAGGCTTGAAAAATGCTTTCATCGATCGATGCACCTGTTCTACTTTGCCATCTTTCAAATGGACATGTGCACTGTGACGAGACTGCACCTTGTGTGTCCCCTTAACTGGAGTGCCATCTGCAAATTGCTGATAATCATGGTTCGTCCAGGTTCGGTGAAGATGAGCGTGTGTATCATTATTATGCAGGACATTGTACTTCGTTCTGAAAATTCCAGAGTCATCTTTTTCTTGCACTTCGTATATTTTAAATTTGTTGGCACTTAGTAGGTTGACTTGAAAGGCTCCAGCAATGCCTATAGTTCAAGAGAGTTATACTTAAGCAATAGAAAACGTTCTACGTGTTTGCATAGCCTGATATAAACACGAGAGGGGCTGGGAGAATTCGAGACAGTTATGCAAACCCGAGACGAAGTTGAGGGTTTGCATAACCGTCGAAAAATCTCATAACCCCTCGAGTGTTTATATTAGGCTATGCAAACACAGGAAAAAAGTTTTCTATTGCTTTTATAAAATAACTTTACCGAGAAAAAACTCAAAAACTCCAGTCCCAAAGCTTGTACACGAAGTCTTGCACGCGTAATCAGTTCTTGTTTTGCAAAAAGATGCTTTCCAAAATATGGATTTTTTCGCTTAAAATGTCAGCTTTAGCGAAAAAAAAATTGACACAGCTTGTTTATAAAGATTTTCCAAGTTTCAGCCGACGAAGGAATGGGTAAATAAAGTAACCTTGTCGAGTTTTGAAGTCAAAAACTTTTTCAAATTCGTGCTTACGTGATTAGCGCGCGAAAAGCAAAACATCTTGACGTCACAACCATGTTTACATACTCTGCAAACACGCCTCTCGGCCAATCAGAGCGCGCGTACTATCTTAGTTATTTTATAAATATTAATAATACCTCGTCTGTCAACATTGATGTATCGAGGCGGCAACGAGAACAATTTAAAATAAGCTGAAAATAATGTTTAATTTTTGTTTTGTACACTGATGTAATGATAACGTGAATCGAAGCTCTTTGGTGATCACTTTGAAACATCCTCTATTAATCGGTCCCTTATATGAGTTTTAAACAGTCAGTCAGGGTTTTTCTGATTTTGTGCGTGACACGCTGGATGGGCTGATAAGATAACAGGGAAAACAATATCTGCAGCTGGTTAGTGGAAATAGATGAAATAGATAAACCTCCTTCTATACATCATCTTTTTGTATTCCCAATTCAACTTACCCGTTTACTCCTATACGCCTAGAGAAAACTTTAGATGAGCCCCCTCTGATTGGCAGTGGGGAAGGTTGTGATATTGCAAACCAGCAAACTAACCAAAAACAGCAACGGTAATTAATTTATGATTTTCAGGTCTGCTTGCGTGTACTGAAAAACTTAGCTGTAACTAGCCACTACACAACTGACATGTTTTAATTAGATCAAAGTGTTCACGGTTTTCCGCCTTGCACAGTAGAAAGGGAAAGGTGTTATATCGTCGGTTTCTGTTATCTCTACGGGCTTGCGCTTGAAAATACATTATAATAAACAGAGAACAGAGTTGCCGTGTTGAGTACGGTTCGTTTATCACTTAGTTTTGTCCTCGGGATTCTCTAGTTATAACGACAGTCAAAAGAACATTCAGACACACCACTGTGGATTATCGTTTTGGAAACACTGGTACAGATTGAAGCCAATCACGTAAGCTAGTTAGCTTTAAAACCACATGTAGTGCGAAAAAAATACAGTATGTTTATTGTGTCAAAATAATAAGGACCGAGTTGGATAAAGGTATATTTTGGTGAGAGAAGATTCCAATGTCGACGTAGGCTAAAATTGTGGTTTTGTTGCAATCTAATAGGGTGACTGAAGTATTTTTTGTTACAACAAGATTAGGTGAGACGTTATCAGAAAACATGTGCCAACGCTTTGACCAGGCTTTTAAAGTTAAAGATGGCGTTCTTTCTGTTCGAGATTACGATTTGAGTTGTTTTAGTCTTTTAAAGAGGGCGGTCATTATTAAAAGGGAGAGGGCCGGTGACCACGTTGGTTGGCAAGACAACTTCGTAGAAGTTGCATGAAGAGAGAGTTTAGTTCCCAGCAGAGGGAAATGCTTTGTGGCCACCGTGAGGTCAACTGCAAACTAGCAATAGGAGGATATTAGATGATTTTCATGCAGGAAAAAAAAGGGGGGCAGAGAGAGCATAGATTTCTGCCCTCACGTCAGTGAGATTTGTCGGACAAAGATGGTCTGACTGAAAAACATCTTTCTTGTGGTCTCTTTAACAAAATCAATAAAGAAACGTTCAAGATATCAAGGTGAACATCTAACAACGAAGTGTTATACACCTCTCCATCGAACACGTTTCGCCTCTTGTAAAACAGTATACAACTATTTCTTATACGCCTACGTATCTGTTGTTTTTTTCATGTCTATCGTCACTGTTTTCGATAGCACTACCGTCGTCTTCATCATCTTTCCCCTCACTTTAGCCGTCTTTCATTTTTAATGGTAACGTCATCGTCATCGTCGTGGTCATCATTATCAGTATTATTTGTTTCAAGCTCCTTTGTATAATCTTTTTTACCATTGTGGCTGCTTAGAATAGGCCCCGACCTACTCCTGGGAACAGCTTCACGTAATAGAAGGTCTGTCAGATGGATCTTCGGTAAAATTTACATCAAATTGATAAACCAAGCTTCCTAGTGTAAGTTATGACTATAACCCGAGAATGGTGCACCTAAGAATGGTTTGCATGTTCTTAATCCCAGTAAGATTTTAAGTCTTTTTAGCTTGTTGGTTAGCGGAGTCACCAAACATTAGGGAGCTTAAGATCTAATGACGGCGAAGGGTACGTAAACGTCACTTAAAAAGTGAATGCTGGCTGCTTAACTTTATGACGCTTATTCCATCTCGTTTAATTTGTCAAATGTTTGCAAGTTTTTTTGGAGTTGAATTGTAAAGGACTGTATCAAAGTTCAGGAAGAGAAAAAGAAAGTTGTTGTCTTCTGTTCCCGTCCTCGACGAATGAGCGCTTTCGCAACGGCGGCAAAGAAATGTACAAACAAGACGCTGTGGGACAGTATATCTGGGCGTCGATGTAATAGGCGTGTGTTAGGTTTTTTACGTCTATTAGGGATGCAGGAGTGGTGCAGTAGAATTGTATATTTTAGGGGTTGGTTGAGGTGTGAAGTGGAAGGCGTGGAGTTATATTGGACGTGGATTTGGCAAGATAATGGCTGTAGTTTGTTAATCAGTGCATAATTAGTAGAGGAGAGTGGTTAGGAAAGCCGGCAAACATCAAAGTCGAAAACAACGGTGCTGTAGTTTATGTTGGGAGCTCCCCGACCGTGCACAATCCTTTGATTTTGTTCACAAATTGTGTGACTGAATAAATTAATGCGATGTTTCTATTGGTCAGTAAATTCAAAATGATTGGAATGCTATTGAACGTTTTGCACGGTCAGGTTAGAAAAAGCTAGCAAAAACATATAGCAAAAGAGTCTAACGGGTTTCATAACCGTTCCACTTTAATTCCTCGGGCTCGCCAAGAGGTTTATCATCTCGTCGAGCGCGATCTTAGAGAACTGCAAAATCGGATGGCCCGTAAATCTGACTATGAATATATCTTTTGGTGTCCGCCCTGACAACATTCAAATGACGTCACGGAGCATTGTGTTCCCTGGCACATAGCACTATCATGTTTTATTGCGAATGTTTACTAAAATACTGGCAGTGAATCACGTGCAATTTTTCCTGCGAACGACACACAAAAGGAAGCTCAACAACGCTGGATTCACCAAGTGGCTGGAAATCCTCGCCGGGGAAGATTTTCCATTGAAATTCCTATGACGCGAGAACTTCGATTTGAAGTTCAGTGCGAGCAACGCCAAAGGCAGCAAAGACAACGCTGTCAACCGAGAGACAGAGGCTACAGCGACTGCAAACATTTACGGAGACAGCGACAAAATACTACAATTACACTGCACACGAAACCGATGAAGAGAGGGATCACCAACTGCTGACGCTTCAAGACAATAATAATTCGAGACGAAAGCGATGAGGAGAGGCAACGCTTGAAGTTTAATTTACATTCAAACTTATCTTCTTCGATACAACGATAGACAGAAAAAATTTACAACTACACGACCAAAAAATTCACATGAGGAATATCTTTCCAGCGGACTGAGGACAGTCGATCAGCCTTTTGACCGCGATACACGCATCTCTAGTAACTATGATCAGTGAAACTGGTTTCTCGTAAAATTTAATGTGAAGTAACAAAAAATAATTTTTTGGAAGGTAAAAGTGATTTTAGGTGTTGCAGTGAGGTAGTTGTGGGAGTGCTAATTTGGTTATGAAGGGATAGTGTAGTTTAAGTCTGTTGAAATGAAGTGGTGGTTTTGTAAGATCTTATCAATAGCAAAATGTCATAAAATGTCAGGGATGGAAAGGGGGAGAGAATCGGAGTAAATTGTGTAGCTTGGGGCGGGTTTCAACACTGGCTCTAATACTGGAATGTGAGATGTACTTAATCTCCTTTTAGTTGGAGTAAATTTGAACCCAGTGCTCTGTCGTTAAAAAGGATGTTCCGGGATTTTAATGGGGTTGGTGTTGTTAAAGAAGGGTAGCCAATGTTTCATAGGTCCCGTGTTCACCGCATTTGACTCTCCTACGTGTGTAATAAATAGTCCAAAAGAAAATGGATGTGATAGTGAATAACCGCATAAAAGAGAGGGGAATATGCAGCTAACCCATGCTATCTTTAATAATAAGTGTAATAATAATTACTTGTGAAGTGTGTCATTAGTAGTGCATTGAAAATGACAAGTAAATGCTGGTAATTGACGTAAAATATATATCGTTAAGTGAACTACGGCAATGAGAGTGTTTGCACTATTGTTGTAGTACATAATCCAGACTGATGCCAACCTCTGGAAGTCTAAAATCTGGAGACTCTTTCTTTTGCATTACCCCCCCCCCCCCCCCCATAAGCACAATTGGATCCAGTCCCTAATCAGCTTAGGACATTATATGAAGTCTTACATGGGGTACAGAAACTGCGGCTCCGGGCTGGCCCTTTTCATGTAATAAAGCGTTTTCACGTGACGTTACGGCGGCCATATCGGTGTTCCAAACCAATCCTGTGGGAAATGAACTTTTTCTTATGTAAACGCTTTCTTTTGTTCTCATAAATTTGAATAGATGCTGGTCACGTGAGTGAAAACGCTCCTTACCGGTATAAAAGTCACTTTGGCAGAGCTAGCCAGGCTAGCTCATGTGATCAGGCCCTCACTGTGTTTTGTATTTTCACGCAGTTTGCACGTGAAAACTTAAGAATTTTCCGCTTTCGTGGTTCGTGTATGAGAGAATACGACTTAGGGCCTGTTTACATGGAGGTGGGGGACCCCAGGTAGGTGAGGTAACCTGCTTAGGTGAGGTAAAAAAATAACCCCCCTTTACATGCAATCTTACAACCCCGCCATCCCGGGGTGCACTTTCTCAAGATTATTGAATGGTCGCTAAGCACGTAAACAAGAAAAATGCTGGCAAACCACGTGTTTTGGCGATCAATGCTCTTCTTCACTCACTTGTTGCTCTTGATGCAACCCGTCAGTGCAATGGCTTTCTATTGTTAACTTTAATAATAATGCAGAGCCACCGCCAAAGTGAATTTTGCGCGAATTTGATGTATCACGAATCCGACCCCGGCCAGGCGGGTTACCCCACCTTGAAACGTTTACATGGCAAAATTTTACCCCGGCTGAGAGGGTAACCCGGTCTGGTAGACTGGGCTACCCGCCTTGGCGGGTCACCCCACCTATCATGTAAACGTGATCAAATTAAAATGAGAGATTATATGGACAGGCGGGTTACCCCACCTAAGCGGGCTACCTCACCTACCTGGGGTCCCCCACCTTCATGTAAACAGGCCCTTAATCTATTTAACTCAAGGGATTTAAGAATAGCTGTCACGCACGCAGTTTGCACGTGAAGATGTTGGACTCTGGACTCTGTCCCTTTCATGGTTTGAACGTGAAAGAACGCAACTTGTTTACGAGATCATTTTGCTCAATAAGATTTTAAGATGTCACCTCCTATCCGAAAATCTGCAATGAAATTATGCATCATTCAGTGTTACCCTTATTTATCGCATGCACGATCACGGAATTTCCCGTGACATCTTCTTTGGCTCTCAACAACTGAGGGCAAAAATATTGTCAAACTCTTGGCAAGAAGCCAAACCCGTGCAAAGGGCAATGACCGGAAGCCTTGTGGTGCGAGGACAATTATTTTCCAAAGGGAAACTTTCAATTATTTAATAGTTTGTTTCACTCATGTACTTTGTTTTTGCAATACGTTTGTTTTCGATTGCTCATTTGTTTGCGCGTTATCTGTGGGACGTACGTAACGAGGATAAATGCTGTGTCGTGACACATCGCGCGGTAGACATTCGCGTCCCCTGGCTTGTTTACTTGGTTTGTTTGCATTCGCACGTATTGTACTCTGTTTGGACGACGCCCAAATAAAAAGCGTGATGCACTTGCAAAGTTGTTGCTTTGCTAATCTAAACCTATAGAGTGTTTTCACATGACGTCACGGGGGCCATATTGGTGTCCCAAAACAATGAAACGGCGGCCATATTGGTGTCCCAAGCCAGTCCTGTGGAAGTTGAATTCCTTTCTTAAGCAAACGCTTTCTTTTGTTTCAATAAATTTGCATAGATGCTGGCCACGTGAGTGAAAACACTCTATTGCTTTTTTACCGTTCTCGTTGCCGTTGCCGTCGTCGGATCTTAAGCTCCCCATTGTGCCCCTCCCCTGAGAATTCGGACATCCTCCCTCCATTTGGACCAGCCCTCCCCCTTCAGATGATATCCGGTTCTTTGTATCAGCTTCAAGGGGTCAATTTTCCCGCAAATAAGCACATGCCATTTTCTCGTTTTAAAGTTGCGTTACTGCTTCCATATATGAGGCCTGTTTTCAGTTTGTAACATGCCTAAAATGCGATTTCCTCCTTTTACGGTTTAATCACAAGCCACGAGTAAAGCTATAACAGGTATCGCCCTTCAGCATTGAAAGTCTTTAAGTTTATGGATTTTGCCGTCGAACTGCGTAGCTTCTTATAAGCGCGTTATCACCTTTATGTACATGGGCTAATCATTATGTTACCTTTCTTCAGTGCGGCCACTTGTGCTGACTCAGTGGCTTTGGGAAATAGAACGTCGAGCACTGGGCCATGGTCCCATTGCCGGAAGTAAAATGGCTTTGACAACTGCTCTTCAAACTGTTCAATAACAGGATACCTGGTGACATGCCCATGAATCATGCGTCTTAAACGAGGCTGGCGCACGCTTAACTTGCAAAGGTGCAAAAATCTCTCTTTGTTGATTTCACGAGATACGTGAATTACATCAACCTAATAAGTTAAAAAAAACCCTTCAGTTACCGTGAAAAGGTATAAGTAAAGGACTGTGCATATTTGAAAGGGATACATAGCTTAAACGAATTCTTTTTACTGATCCTGGTAGGGGGATAAAAGAGACCAAATAAGGATTAGTCCATATATCGTTGCATGACAATCGCAGCTCATCGTTCTGCCCCAACGGATAAATACTAAAAAACTGTTTTTGGATGCAAACTCCAACTTATAAGTCCGGATGAATAGATTAGAAATCTATTGTGTACATTTAGGCAAGCCTAAAAGCGGAGCCTTAAAACATGTTTTGAAAGCAATAAACTTTACAACATAGCCCTCGTGCTGGCCCTATCTTAGATCCCTATTTACTAAAGTCAGGTGGCTAAAGGGTCAGATATATACAGAGCGGACAAAAGTACCAAACTTTGCATGGTTGTAGCTTAGGGCATGTTAGTCAATAGTAGGATCGGTGCCCACAGCTACCTCTTCAGGATTTGCAGCAACTGCTCGCTGAAGTTCTTAGACAACCTTCCATGATGGGTACCCCGTGCTGAAAATCGCAATCCCTTATTCTTTGCCATTTTTTGATGAACATCACATAAAAAGGGAAATAGATGGAAAAAGAAGCTATATTAATACTATTATTATTGAAACCAATTACTAAAACAAGTCAACTTAATGATATAGCAATTATGATATACCATGGTGGGTATCATGTGCTAAAAATATCAATTCCTTGATTTTTGCCATTATTTTGATGAAAATCACATGAAAGACACGAAAATAAAAAATAATTGTATTATTATTGAAACCAATGACAAAAACAAGTCGACTAAATGGAAAATCCAAGGAAGATGTTTTCAGACGCGTACTCAGTCCCAAATAGCTTTTCAAGATGGCGGCTTGAAGGTGTCTTTTCATGGACTGTAGGTATCTGCTAGAATAAATTGCCGTTTTTTAGGGGAAATTGTGTACAATTTGAATCACGACAGGTTTAAGTGAAGTTTTAAGCTCTTCTCGGTGTTAAATTTGTTATCGAAAGCCACATTTTCGCTTCATATTTTGTGCCGATTATGAATGACTATACTGAGTTTATTAACTTACTGGTTAGTTAAAGGTTTCTAAAGCTGAGATGTTTTCTACACACCAGGATGGATATTAACTGGGATCGTTGTTATATTTTCCAAGAATCAACAAAAGAAGATCTGAGAAGTCTACTGGTTTAACGGTACAAGCATTAATTTATAGAACGCTCCTTGAAAATGTATTAAAAAGGCTGACTTGCGAAATAGGCATACATGTCAGAGGAACTCAAGAAGAAAAGTGGAGCAGCTTGGAAGGCCGAGAAGACGAGAAATTAAATAAATCAAGAGCATTTGTTGAACTCACTTAGTACACAGCAAATGCAGTGGAGAATGACACACATTTCTTTATACTTGCCGAACTTCATATTAAGCTGTATTCGTTACAATCAAAGGCACACACTTTGCAGTCCCACTATAGTGTCTGTCTTACAAGCTCGTTTGGTGCCACAATCTACAACTTGCTGTTTCTGATCTGCTTCGACATGCTTGTTTCTCTTTTCTAGTTTGCTTTTTCTAACTTGGACGTAAGGTGACAGGATTGATGCCACTTTGCACTTCAGTAACGTGTTTCTACTGTAGTGATTTCAATATGAAACTTAATTGCAACAAGACGCGGTCCTCTTTCTTGAATTCTAGTAAATTGTCAATGAGCGTTCCATAAATAATTGTTCCGTTAAATTAATGGGTTTCTGCGATCCTCTCTTTTCGATTCTCACCCTAGGTAAATATGACAACGATCCTAACTGATTTCCATCTTGGTGTGTAGAAACGAGTTTAAACTCAATCATGATAAGACTGAAATCATGCTTATCTTTTCGATGTACCGTACTCGTCCACCCTTTAGCGACGTCATTATGGGTAATGCAAGGCTAAGAACCACCACCAACAAAGCCTGGGAGTAGTATTTGATGACAACGTGCTGTATGACGCACACGTCTCAGCATTCTTTTGCAGATTATCGTTTCACTGACTCAGGAACTTATCAAAGATAAGAAAGTGTCTCACACAGGAGTCTAGCGAAATTGCAGTGCATGCTTTTATTACATCTAAAACAGACTATTAATTGCCATTCCTCGCTCTGTAGTTGTAGGAAAATGCACTTGAAGGATCTTTTAATAATATGTTCAGAACACTGCCCCCAGGATCGTTACTCGGACTCGTAAACTTTGAGAACACAACATTTATTTGACCTTCACTGGCTTCCTGTTAGTTATCATGTTGTTTTTAAACTTGTTTTCTCAGTTTTCAAATCACTTAATAACCCTCCACCTTGCTATCTAGAGGACAGACTTAGTTATCGAAGGCCTTCCAGGAACTTGTGGTCCGAATCTCAGCAGCTCTTAGAACAATCTCGAAGACTCACGGGGAAAAGACTTTTTCACTGTGCCCCCCTAAACTGTGGAACTCACTACCATTAGCTAGATTTGCGCAAGTCACCATCTTAAGCCAGTTGAAAGAAAGGACTGAGAACATATCTTTTTACGCAATTTTTAGAGAGTAAGTCAATACTTTTGTAAAAAGTCTTTAAAGTCTCTGCAGATCATATACCTATACTTATAGAATGTATGTTTAGTTTTCTGCATGACTTATCATTATGTATAGACTTTAAAGGCAAAATAATTTTAAAACAGATGAATTCTTGTTTCCTTCTCTTGTTCTTTGTGAACAATAACTATGTTATTTCATGCTCGAGATATAATTTTTTTCCCTCTTTAACATTGTAAAGCACCATGTGCTCAGGATATAAGCGCTATAGAAAGAAGCTATTTTTACTATTATTAATTGTCACCAGTACGAAAATAAACTCGGTATAGTCATTCATAATCGGTACAAAACGTGAAGAGAAAATGTGGCTTTCGATAACAAATTTATCACCAAGAAGAACTTAAAAATTCACTTAAACCTGACGTGATTCAAATTGTACACAATTTCCTCCAAAAAGCGGCAATTTATTCTAGCAGATACTTACAGTCCATGAAAAGACACCTTCAAGCCGCCATCTTGATAGGCTATTTGGGACTGAGTACGCGTCTGAAAACATCTTCCTTGGATTTTCCATTTAGTCGACTTGTTTTTGTCATTGATTTCAATAATAATACAATTTCTTTTTTATTTTCATGTCCTTCATGTGATTTTAATCAAAATAATGGCAAAAATCAAGGAATTGATATTTTTAGCACAGGATACCCACCATGGTATATCATAATTGCTATATCATTAAGTTGACTTGTATTAGTCATTGGTTTCAATAATAATAGTATTAATACAGTTTTTTTCCATCTATTTCCCTTTTTATGTGATTTTCATCAAAAAATGGTAAAAAAACAAGGGATTGCAATTTTCAGCACAGGGTACCCATCATGGAAGGTTGTTGAAGAACTTCAACGAGCAGTTGCTGCAAATCCTGAAGAGGTAGCTGTGAGCACCGATTCTAATATTGACTAACATGCCCTAAGCTACAACCATGCAAAGTTTGGTGCTTTTGTCCTCTCTGTATAGATCTCGCCAAAATTTTGCACTAAGCCACCGGACTATAAGATAGAAATCCTTAGATACACGCACAGTCGTGCGTAAATAAAACGTCGTGATGAGTTGTGTTTATTAAACTTGGATGTCCGTCACTCTTTTGAAGTCTGTTGAAGGAGTTTTGAACTTTTTTGGAATGAATCTTCTAGTGATTCAAACGCACAGCAAAAGCGAAGAAACTGAATTAAGTAAATACAGTGCGTTTTGCAAATTTACCATAGCTCGAGTTGTAGAACATTCTGGCCGGAAGGTAGACATTTCGCTGGTGACTTCTGTATCGTCAGTTGATGTAATTAAACTAATTGGTCAACAAAGTGGCGATGTTTTTGGTCATTAATTTTGTAAGTTAAGCCGTTGGTGTGGTGTTATTGGCTAAGAAGGATCTAAACGTGAGTGGTGCGTTTCGATCCGTCTCTTGTGATTTATTATGTGGTACTATTGTTGGTCGAATTATCGGTTTTGTTCTGTCGTATACTGTTGTTCGTTTAGTTTGAGTTCTCAATAAGTCGTTTGTACAGTGGCAGCGCTAACAACAGACCTATTCAGGACAAAAATCACCCTGATCTTATTCCGCTCACTTATGTCTTGGAATCCAGTGAAGTGAAGTGAAGTTCAAGCCATTTAAAATATAATTTTTTGCTGTTTAGAATGGTAATTTCCTTTTGTTAGAATCTTTCATAAACTGTAAGACTTTTAAATTGTATTTTGTGCATCTCAAAACTGTAATCATTTGTATGTGGCTTAGTCTGTTTTCACCCTGCGATTGGTCAATTTGCGGTTCATAACTTCCTGTACCGACCAAAATTTTAAATGCAAATGCTCAGTTTGCAGCTCTAAATCGTTTTACCTCTAAAAAAAGGATTTAAAGAAAGTTATCAGATGTCTGTAAACCCTGATGTTTACTTCGTCCTTCCAAATTTTTAACCTGTGTTTATTTACGAACGAAGCTGATGAAAAAAACAGTATGGCGGATTAGAAATATCCTCGAGCGGGTTCGAATTGGCGTGGAAATCTGTTGTTTTTCCTGTTTTTCCAGCAGTCTTTGCTCGCCTTTTAAGTAACACAACAACGAAGAAGAAATATTAAAAATTTTCGAATAAGATGACGGACAATGGATTTGAAATGTTTGAGAAAGCAAGATTTTTCTTTTGACGTATGTGTCAATTTTGCTTGTTATTACGATCCGTGAATCATCTTCACTTTGCAATATCTCTCGTAAAAATTTTTTTCAGGTCTTGAAAAAATTACTGCGACATTCTCGAGATATTCTAGTTATTCATGTGGGACGCGGAGATGGGCCGCACTTCTGGTAGACGGGCGGCGAGATTGTTTTGTGAAGCTATCGTCTGTGGCAAAATGACCGCCTTCTGGGAGGCTGAGCAACACGAAGATTTAACACTATATGCTTTTATATTTTGGACGATATCAAGCGTTTTTTCCCGGCGTTGTCCACCGAATAAGCACCATACGACAACTGCCAACAGAAATGGGAATCGATATGGGTTTGGTTATTGTCGCCAATGACCTTTTACATGTTATTCGTGCGGGATTATTTTACTCACTGCAGTGAAAAACCTCTGAAACCTGAAGGCGTCGGTAGTGCGGTGGATCCGCTGCACGAGTTTTATCTCATGTTTATACGTCATTTTTTCAATTCTTTTCTTTAAAGAGGGTAAATTGCGGCTAAATAACCTTAATGTAAAGGTTTTAGTTTCTTTAGATTTCTCTGAAATGCCTGGATCGGAATAACTACGTGATTTTTTGTCCGCGTACGTGATAAAATCTCTGCTAAGTTTTGTCACGCTGGGCCCACTGTAAATCTTCACATGGCTTCGCCGCGACCGAAATCCTCGCTAAACAGTTCATCCCGACCAGTAAAAAATATTATTACACTTTTGTCTAACAACGTTCGCTTTCCTAAACTGAATCAGGTCCTTCCTGGCTAACAAGGCGAGAGTGAAATAACTCCGCGTGGACAGGACGGATAGATCGGACTGCTCTATCGCTATTTAGCTCATGCAAACAGATATTAACGACACGTTTCTCTTTTCCTGCAAACGGTTCATCCCAGCGAGTTGTGAAAGGGTTCATAACTTCTTTTAATATCAGAATTTGTATCATCGCGTATGCTTGACCACTCTTGACTCTTGTATTGACTGTCATAAGCCTCGCGTCATGTGACTCCAAATTTGCTCCGTTATTGGGTAATTGCTTGTTTTGGTTCGCGGATCAAAACATTTCCATCAGTGAAAAGCTCTGGACTGAAAAGTCAATCGTAATCTTACCGAAGAAGAGGATTTTAGTTGGTGATCGAAAATTTAATCGCAGGTCATAGCCAAGAAGACGAAAATGGACTGGCGGAGATTCAAGACGTTTTCGAAAGAAGAACGAGCAATTCCATCATAAATGAAATTTACAAAAATACCTGCACCTGATCATCTCGACAAGCTTCTTTTCCATTTGCAGTGTTTTTTCAAAGATCAACGAAAAAAAATGGGAGCAATAATAATAGGTACATATCCGCCTTTTACGGTTGTAGTCTGCAGTAAAACATGAATCTTCGGGCTAGCAATAAAAGCGCAGTTAAAGGGACAACATACCTTTATCGACTGAATAAAGTTAGCGATATATAAGAAAAGTATCGACTGCTTTGTGCAGAGCCTTTTGTCACTTTGTTTTCAGTAACAAATCAGAAATGGACTGAGTAAGCCGAAATTGGCGATCAACCCACAACCAAAATAAATAAAAACAGAAACGTTATGGAAAGTTTATTTCTTGAGCTTCCATTAGAAAGTTTCTGTGTGATTATGCCAACTATGAAGGATTAATTAGCGTAATTTAAGTTACATTTGCTTGCAAATGTTTCCATCGACAGTTTTGATACTCCAAGCCTTATAGCTTGAATGTTGGTCTATCGTTCTCTGATTCTTTTCAAGTAGTAAACCAGTTTACTGGCCTAGTTATTTCCAATCATACAGTGACGTCTCAAGGCGTGACTAACAAATTTGAGACCTAAGTGAATTGCTTCAATCTTTGCATTGCAAAAAACGTTTAATGTACTCACGAGCGCATGAAGTTGGTATCCATCACTCTCTGTAGACTTGGATCCCCTTGCAGTGTGCACAGCTAGCTCGTAGGAATACGTGCATTTTGAGTTCTGGAAAAATGCCAGTCGTTTTTCTCGAATTTGTGCGACTACTGCTGCGTTTCTGATTAACTCCAAAGCTGAAACGTACAATAACAGAAGAACCAGGCGGTGCCTATCCATGGCACCCGGTTTTTGTTTCCTATATTCACAGAAGACGAAATCTGCGCTTGCTTTCACCAAACACTTGGGCACAAAAATTGGAAACATGCCACTGGAAGTAGAGAAGGGAGATTAGCGGTCAATTAGGTCAGTGTCTACGCTTCGCCACAGATTAAGCTTAATTATTATACGGATATCTCGGGAAAAGAGATTTCGCTCTTTAACAAAGAGCATAAGGCGGTATAAAATCGTACTTTTGACGTACCTGAATGATAAGGGGACAGAGGGGGAGATTAACGGTTCATTCAGGTCAGTGTTTGTACTCCGCTACAGATTAAGCTTAGTGCAAATATTATTCAAACACCTTGGAAAATGATTTAACTCTGAAGCAAAAACCACGCTATCAAATCCTAGTTTTGACTTACCTACATGATATTAATACTCACCGGCAAATTCAAAGCAAGCAGCTGAGAATTCAAATTGAACATCTGGTGCAGTTAAACCAACAGAAAGTTGGCAACTTAGTTGTGCATCAGAAGCTAAGGATTAATTTTTTTTTAAGTCATCATTATCGTTATTCCAGGTTATGTAAATATATCTTTTCCCAGCCTGAATATCTGTTCAGGTCTCCCTGGCTTGTTTAAAAAAGAGCGACATTATGGATGAGGTTAATTTCGTAGACACGCAAAACAGACCAAGGCAAGGAAATTATTGATCCCTTATCTGGATAATAAAAATTGCTTTTAGAAAAAAGAACAAACAAAAGCGTTATTTTAATTTAATTTAATTATTTAAATAAAGCAGTAGAAACAACAAAGGGAAAAACAGATTTGACCTCTTAAAATTTTCACTATGACTAAGAGTGTTGTAAAAGCCTCATGAAACGGCTTACACTCCACACTTGAAGCGGAAAATTGCGAATAATTCGTGGAAAAATTAATAAGGAAAAAAGTGGTACGAAAAAACACAAACACATAAAGAAAGCTTAGTTTTGTATCAACCCAAGGCTACCAAAATTCCAACAGGGCCAGAAATTCAGAAAATTATTGTCATTGGCCCATTGCCTCAGATCGCGTCTACTTTCACTAGGTTATCACGAGGTGCCATCCAACGAACAATTTGTGATCTCTTGGGTGGACATTTGCTTATCAAACTTAGCACGGTATCTCCTCCGTGAACATTCAAGAGAAGAAACTTTAACTCGCTTAATGGCCCAATTAAAAATCCGAAACGATCACTTGCATCCTAAATCATCCAAAGGCTGCTCCATTTCCTGCAAGCTTGCCTCGATGCTTGAATCATTCAAGAAGGATCAGTGAACCACTCTGGGATTACTTTGCGAACTACCGCAGAGAGAGCACTTAAGCCTCTTTTAGGGTAACCGCCTTAAGTAGTAGCTTTATTATGTGGAATGATGTTTGTTAGTTGTAGCGATCTAGTTGCGGAGCTAGAGTATACTTGTTTTCTTCATGCCTCTTTGTCGTATCATTTCATTGAAAATAATTTTTACGTTATCTAGTCAACTTCGTGGGATAATTTTAAGAAAGTAAGCAAAGGAATGAAGAGGCTGTATGCTGTTGCTTTAAACGGCTTGGCGTTGTGCCTTGGCTTGCCGTAATGCAAACAAAGGGCGATGTCACGGGGTCAAACGTTATTCTGAATCCCAAAAAATAAAGTTGATACGTTTTAGAAGGAAACACTTCCTGTTTAGATCGATTTGAGCACGTCCAGTGTAAGCACTAACAGACATACCTCCCTTAAGAATAAATGAGGACCAAAGCGACGACAGAGTTTTTCTTCGTGCTCTGCTTAGCAGTACATTTGTTTTCTAGCGCAGCCTGGTGGAACAGACGACGTCGATCCCAGTCTCCGCCACCCCGTTGTGTACCTCGGCCATGCTCAGTCACTTGGACATCATGGAGTTCGTGTTCCTGCCCTTGTGGTTACGGTTGTACAAAAACAAGACATCGAAGGATTACTACTCCAGCAAACTCTTGTGGAAGTTGTCCATATCTCTCTAGTGATACAGAATCGTGTAACACAGATTCATCACTTTGCAACTACGGCGTGCAACTATCTTATGGGTGTCGCTGCAGACAAGGGTGGAAAGGAACTTGTTGTGGAAATGGTGAGTACAACGCTATCCAAATTCTCGTTTATTGTTTCAGTGTTGTTTATAATTTTTTACCCATTCATTTATTCATTATTTTGGAAATTTAGGTGCGATATTGATGATAGTCATTTGTGTAGTTTTGGTAACTATTTGTCGTCCCAATCTTCATATTCCTGACCTTTCCTGACCCTGCTCCGCAGCATCGACTTAGTTTGAAGGAGTGAAAGTTCTCGCTACGTAACAAGCTAAAAATTAGAAGCTCGTACTCCTGTTCATCGTAAGATGATGTTGATCTAAGGCTTTCGATTTACTCAATTGTATCATTTCCTTAATAAGCCACGCCTGAAATTTTAATGAAATGGCAGGTGAGGCTTCTCTCCCTCCAGTGTATTAGAATCAATGCAACGTGAATTCTTTATTTGATCTGAGGTACAATGTTTGCATTATACTATATGTAGATTTAGCCTAGCCTAAAGGCGGAGCTCATCATAGTTATCTGCATTTTATTTCAAACAATAAACTTAAACCATTGTGTTTTGAAAAAGAGAGAGAATCTGATATATTTTACTTACAACCCATTAACTTATCACAAACTTTAATCTAACACAGTGACGGTCAATGGATTATAATGTTTTTCTTCTGAGATTATCCTAATGCCGTAAAATTCCGAAAATAATCCCCGGGGCTTATATTTAATCAAAGGCCCTTTTTGAGGGGCTTATATACGGAGAGAAGTTTGCGTTTCAAAATCGGCTAGGCTTATACTTGGAGGGAAATTTGCGTCTCAAAAATCGATTGGGCTAGCTTATAGTTGAAAGGAAATTTATGTCGATAATTTGCAGAGAGTTTTTACTGAAACTCGCCTTGAGGACCTTCCTAAAACCTAGCCGTGCAAGTACTTTGTCTGTATGGACCGAGGAAATCCAAGCCAAAAGTGAAGAGTGAACTACGCAAACAGCAATAAACCGTGACACTTTGTGACTACAAACACTTGGCACACGTAATAGTTCTTTGGCAAATACAAAAATGTATATGTTACTGTACCGTGTTGCTTTGTTTTATTTTGTATTTGAGAGCACTTTCCAAGTACAAGCCCCCGGGGGCTTATATTCGGAGGGGCGATTTAACGGAGGTGTTTTTGTGTTACGAGTTTGAGGGGTTTATATTTGTAGGGGCCTTTTCATACATGGAGGAGCTTATATTCGGAATTTTACGGTATATTATTACCGCAGCTTTAATGTATCAAGGCTCAAAACTCGATTTCTTAACATTTTATGTCAATAATTCCTGTTATGTTCACAGACTGTTGTACCGTGGCAAACGAAACAGTATTAAAATATTTCCCTCTACATTTGCTTGTTTGAATGAGGTTGGGTCTGTTGAACAAAATTGGCTACAACGTGATTTCGTCAAGTTCACGCCTGCCTGGCGAAGCGAAAGAAAGTCTTCAAAATATTTATTTTCTTCCACATTCTTTTCCAATCTTTGATAAGGACCAGTTAGCGAGACCCATTGAAACTGCTTAAAAGTGCATATATATCATACTCACGCCGATACACTGCAGCTCCGCCAAGTTGCGAAATTCCAGACTTTTTAGGGTAAGGCACAAACCACTCACAAAAGAGTCGCTGACGCAAATTGCAGTGCGGGGAAAGGACCTCATTAGCACTTTGGATGGGATGTTGGAAGTACTAGAATTAAATCCTTTGGCGTCAACTTTGGCCACTTCTTCACAGCAGCTCCTTCCAAGAAGGAGGACGGGTTAAAAATGAGGTCTTCTATAAAATGAAACATTGTTTCTGTGCAGTAGCTTAGGCATTTCATTTAAATTGCCGTAGTTTTCCACTCCAATCTACTTTCGTATGGACGTTATTAAAATGTTCATCGTGGAAGGCCAGTGCCAACAGAAATCGATTCCTAGGCTGCCTCCTGTACAGGAAGTTTTTTGCGCTCCTAATTTTCCTTGCATCGACTTTTTGTCCCCCTCCCCTCATGACTTTTAATCGGTACACTGTCCCCTATGGCAAGGGTTTGAACGCTATTAGTTGAGGCTAGTCTCAATTATACCTTTATAGCGGCTGCGGTTCGTGAATCTCCAACATGTTGACGATAATATATATGACTGAATTTGTCAGCAATAGGGATGAGAGGACAGAAAATGTCGTCAGAAACGGGCGTCAATTCGTTAATTAGCACTACTGTGTAATTTGTAGTTGTTTTTTTTTTGTAGAGTAATTTGGAGAGTTTGATAGAAACAATAAAGTTTAGGGGTTGGAATGCACCGGTATTTGAGGGAAAAACGGTACTCCCGAACCCAGATTGTTTCTAAGGGAAACACGCAGCTGGTAATAATAAAATGCTTTGAGAAGACATTGTTCAATAAACCCAGTTATTCAATCAAATTTGCCAATTTTAATATACCGAGGGACTATAAATTCGAGAATTTCTGGTTTGATTTTCTTTTTCTCATTTCTTACATCTTCTAGATTTATTAAAGTTTATTATCATAACAACAACAACATAAGCTTTATTTGCATGACTATAATTATGTAGTTACGGAATTGCAAAAGCTTTAAGCTACAGTCAATCAAGTGTCATCAGCATGATTTGATTACAAATTATTGCGTAAATCATTACATAATGAAACAAATTTCAACAAATGTGAATTTACGGAAAAATACCTTGAATTCATCAATTTAATTATTAATTCTTTGTAATTTTGTTGGATTTGAATGTAGAATTTCTCCCTCGGGATTGATTATTTTGGACAATGGAGGAGAAAATGAAATTCGTCTTCAATTATACCAGAGTTACAAATAGGGCAGAATCTATCGTTGCGGGAAGTTTGATTATATCTTCCAGTTTCAATCATGAGTTTGTGGTTACCTGTACGAATTTTCACTAAGTCTTTCCTATTGGCAGAATTTCTAATTAAGTCTAGATAACTTGAAATTATATAATCATGTTTAAATAAGCTGTAAAATTGTAGTTTATTAGAATGATAACTATGATTGTATGTTGTAAATTATTAGGATCAAAATCAGGCAGGTCATAATATTCAGATATTTTCATAAGATTATGGTAAAAGCTATTTTTACCATTACAGTGAAGTTCTAGCGAGGTACGAAAGGCTTGTTTAACAATAGTATCCTCGTTTTTACGCAGAAGATACAATATGTAATAAAGGATGTTTTTATAAATATTAATAATTAATGAAAACCGTCCTAATTCACTTCTACTTGCAACATTTGAAGCTTTATTTATGAAAGTATTGGGTAAGATTTGTGGATTTTTTTGCATTGGTTACTAGGTCATTGTTTCTTGTAAACAAACAATATTAAACGGGAGCTCCTCTTTCAGGCTTGCCCAACTCTAAATTTTATAACAATCATGATTATTTTGACCTGCGGTAGACATAGATGAGTGCTACACCTCAAGTCCATGTCAACATTACTGCCACAACACGCCTGGAAGCTACACTTGTAGCTGTTATTCCTGTTATTACAAAGTCGGGACTCGATGTGAATTAAAACAGTGCAGAATTGGAGGCCAATGTTATTCATATAACGAGGTGAACCCCCGGAATCAGTGTCAGGTAAATTTTATAGATACTTGTAGCAATAACATCTTGTCTTTTGTGGATTCAGTTCTGGCTATAGTGATTTTACGTGCTCTGAGACAACTGAGTCACGTATCAGTTAGGTCCTTTAAAACCAATGATTATAATTTTTTGCTAGAGATGTGATAGGAGATACAAGAGAAGTTGGACGAACTACAATTTTCTTCGATGCAGTGATAGTGATGCTTGCACTAGAAATGACCGCTGCTTTAATGGCAGATGTATTGGTACACCGTTCACGTGTCTCTCATGTGAAGAATGTTACAATGACGCATGTCGCGTCAAGCCAGGATATTGCACGATCTCTGTGAGGGGCCGCTGGAGCTGGACGAGGAGAAAAACGTGCTTCACCCATGGGAGTCGTAGGCGAAACTATCCATGCCAGGTCACTACCTCACATTAGAATAACTTAAAATGCCTTAAAATAATCTATGATATACAAAATAACCTTACAATTAACAATCCGTCTTTGAAATGGCGGTAACTATCGCGAGTGAAGGAAATTATAAAGTATATACACACGTCCATGTGATTGACTGTCCGATTCATGCGTGAAAAACGCGCTTGAAGAAGCTCAAAGTTGCAATGAGTCTTCGGGCAAGATTGGGCATGCAAAGCCAGGTCGAACCTGCGAGTGTAAATTTGCAGTTGCCGCTTATTACCGCTTGAAAGCTAAAAATTCGTGTGGCGGTTCTCGGGGTATGACAGGGCGCTCAGATCATGTCGTTTGTCAAATGTGACAGGTGATATTGCGTTTTTTTTCTTCGTTGTAAGATTTTTTGAGATATCTCTTAAATGTAGGTCATAAGGACGATGAAATGAAAATTGTAAAATTTATATCCCGCGATAGACTGGAAAACAGTCGATTTTTTCTCCAAACTGTTTGCGCTTACTTGAATACGCAAAAAGACGGACTGTTTTGCAGTCTACCGTTTTTATTCGAATAAGCGCCCAACCTCGAATTAGCGCCCACCTCGAATAAGCGCCCATCCTAAAGGCAGAAAAAGTTAATAAGCGCCCAGCCTCGAATAAGCGCCCACCCCACCACACAATCCTCCCACTCCCACTCAAACTCAAATTAGCGACCACCCCTTAAACTGAATAAGTACTAATAAGAGACTTTCCCGAAGACGGAGTTTTCTTCAAAGTATTTTACAGGAACCTTGCTTTGTTACATCTTCGCGTTTTGTTATTACCATTTATTGTTTTGTCGCAAAATACACATACTACACTTGCTGAAAATGTTGAAAATTTAATAAGCGCCCAGCCTCGAATAAGCGCCCACCTCGAATAAGCGCCCACTCTCAAGGTCCAAAAATTTAATAAGCGCCCAGGGCGGTTAATCGAATAAATACGGTAATTCCTCGAACAAGCTCTCTGTTTGGAGGAGATCCAGAGAAGTCACGCGCGCGCGGCACGCGAAAGAAGACTTTGCAACAGGGGTTGGAGAGAAACTCTTCTTCGCCCCTCGCTAGTGCGTTTTTTTTTTTTTCGCGGCTTCGCCAATCGAAATGGAGAGCATGTTTGCAGGCGGTATATTTGTTTGGGTATTCGTCCGTTCATTTGCTATTCGGCGAGCCAGTTCATTTTAGGAATTTTGGGAAAAAGTCCGATTTGTCCCTTCGCAGCAACTTTTACATGCTGATTTGATATTCAATCAAATTCATTCACTTTATTGATTTGAGCATTAGCATTGTTGCGCAAACCTCTAAATATAAGGATTTTGGGGAAACAACGACTGTTTTTGTAACCTAGGTTTATGACGAGATTTAAACTCAAAACGGCTTCCGATATTTAAGTTGTGTGTTTCGTTTTTCTTGTGTGGTTCACGAACCGATTTATGCCATCCTGTTAACGTTTATTTTATGGAAGGTTACGCTACAAAGCCAACACATATTCTGTGCTACAGCTACCTGTGAAGTAATTTGTATGTCTTAAGTACTTTTAAGGTAAGGTAAAGAGAAGCAAATTTATATCAACGCGGATGGACTCATTGGTGCGCTCAAGTATACGCTCCGCTTCTTGTTTTTTTTTTTTTTTGCTTTTTTGTCTGTGTATTTGGTTAGTATTTTTGTTAATTTTGTAGCGATAATGTCAATGATTTTTCTTTAGCAATGTGATAGCAACAACATACATCGATGGACCTATAACAACAACCTGCGATGCAGTGACTACAACAGTTTGACCAAGGACGACCGTTGTCGTAATGGATATTGCAAAGGAACACCTTACAACTGTCTTTCATGTGAACAACATGATGGACGTGGCTGTCCAATAAAACCAGGGTACTGCATCATTCAGAAAGGAAACCAAAGAACGTGTTATGCCAAGAATCAGTATAAACCAGGAAATCCTTGTCAGGTAAAATATGGTTTAAGTTAGGGTTTACCATTACAGGTATATCCAATTCAAAGTATTAGCTGTCGACAATTAATGTTACTCCTCTACCGGTCATTATACAATGATGTGAATGCTACTGTGCTGTGATTGGTCGTTGTCCGTGATCTAATAGAGTTCACATATATGGATGACGTCACGAGAAACTTGTTTTCTTTGTTGTGTTCGACATGGCGCGCGGTTTTGTGAAATTATTTCGGATTAAAGCAAGTGAAAGCCTCGAAAAGTTTAGAAAAAAAGTTTAGAAAAATGGAGAAACGGACACAAAAAGAGCCCTTGACTAATTGAGAATGCTTAAACTACCAGGAATCTTCACAAAAATTGCCATCGTGTGTCATCGCTACGAGAGACTCGCTGTTTTGCAAAATGTTTTCGCCATTATTCTGCTTTGAGCAAGAAAAGACGTTGAAAAACTTTTAGAAGAAACTGTATACAAATACGATAAAGGAAAAAAGAAGAAGCAGGGACGAAAAATAGCGTTTAGGACTAAAAAATGATGCCTAAACTAGCACAGATCCTTGAACAGTCAAGCGGTACGAGGCAGGTATGTGTATCGGTCTTTTTTTCTTTTCTGATCATTGTATAAAACAAATAGATTCCATGTTGCCGTGGGTCTGTTCAGTAATATATCACAGAGGACGTCAAAATGTGCTAAAAACATCAGTGACACACTCGCGTGCGGTTCGTGAGCCACTTCTTTGTTTTTTTCCACATTTTGACGTCATTTGCGATCTACTACTGAACAGACGCACGGCAATATGGAATCTATTTGTTAAATACAAATTTTTTCTTACCGTAAAACAGTCCAGTTTCCGCGAACGCAACCTCGCCTCTCCTTATCGGACACTTTGTCTGGTCCCAAAGGTTTATCTTGAATTGTGAGGCATTTACCATAAATCCTCTAATAGACCCCTCCCTTTTTCAAAAGTGCTTGAAATTGATAAGCCCCCCCCCCCACCCCCCGGGGGGGGGGGGTTGATATAGGATTTACGCTAATAAAACTACTGCAGCAAGTCAGAAAACATTCAAGTAAATGTTCTTATTTAAAAAACCTGGAACATCAGTGGCCCTTATTTTGTTTGCTTGCTTGATCCTAATTAGGATTAAAACTATGGCATTAACTATATTTAACAATTTTTGACCTTAAGTGGTGTGACCCAGGAAAAAGCACTAGTACGTGGACAAATCGCAAAGGCGTGGCTTGTGATGATGGTGACAAGTGCACACGTGGTGACACGTGTCGCGGAGGCCAATGCATTGCGACGCCATTCACATGCAATTCAGTGTGCCAGTACTGCAATGGCTATAACTGCAGTCTGAAAACAGGATTTGGATTCGTAAACAACAAGTGCACGTGTAAACTAGCAGGTAGATGTAACTTAGTAACTTCCGTCATAACTAACAATAAGTTAGGTTCAAATTTCCACCTTTTTCTCGGTCCCTCTCGAGAAGAGACGGCTGGACGCGTGATTCGCCGATCCTGTCTGTGACGTAAATTCAAACTTTAATTTATGCGTCGTTACCAAGCAATAGAAACGGAAAAAAGTCATCAGACACTGAACACTTGTTGTCGTTTTTGCCTTTTCGTCGCGTTGTTCTTCGCCAATAAACTCAGAAGAAATGCCTACCATTGATCATGCAAAAGTCAGGCGTGAAATTACAACAGAAATGGACTTGAAAGTCGTCTCTTCCAGGATGGCTTGCAACAAACATCGATCGGTACAGACTAAAAAATAATTGAGAATCCAGATCCGGTTGGTTGAACTGCAAAAACATCCTCACCATTAGGAGCTTCTCTTACTCCTTTCGTTGTAAATATTTCAGGTATTTAGACATGAAACGCTTTAAACCTCAATCGCACGCCTCATTAAAGAACGCCTTCGCCTTCGCCGTTTTAAATCTGCTTCAGGAAAAATATGTTATGCTCCCTTTTTGATTTGAGCAGACAAAGATCTGATGGATGGAAATATCGACAACAGCAAACTTACGCACGTCCAGGAGCGCAGGCTCATTTCCCGAACAGCGAATGGTAGTCGAGACCAACAGCTGGTCTTTAGAAACATCTATATCAACAGATCAAGGATTTTATATACAGGACATACTTTTGCCTCCGCCAAAAATAGGTTCCCTCTGTCAAGTGAATATCAAACGTCTAAAAACTGAACAAGCTATTTTATTGTCAAGCCAATGATGTTTTTTGTGAGTTGGACCTCGTAGAGGAGCTTTCTCTGTGAGTTATCCAGGCCTCTTGGCGAAGCTTGTAAATAAATAAATAAATGATTTTAGGGTGATGAGAAATAGGTATATACCCGAAGTACCAATTAGTTTATTTTCATGTTTGTGGAAGCTCATTTTCAGTATAAAGCTTAAAAAAGCTTAGTCCGCCCCCAGGTTGAGTACTGCTTTAGTGTTTGGGACTCCGCCCCCCCACCCAGGCGTTGAGAATACCGGTTCATATAACATCGAAAGGATACAGCACCACGCAGCTCGATGGTGCCTGCGCCGATACAACAACACAGCTAGCGTCACCAACGTCCTTGAAGATCAAGGATGGCGTACCCCAGGGCAACGTCGGACTGACAGCCGGCTCACAGCCCTCCTTAAGATCACACGGGAGCTCCTCTCTGTTAACCCTCACGGGCTTCTGCGCTCTGTCATGAGCAGAAAACGTCGCTAGCATTCGGAAAGTTTCATCCCGCTTGAAACTAGCCTGTCCTCTGGGTAGCTATCCTTTTTTTCAAGAACATTTATTTAGTGGAAGAGTTTACCCGCTTCCGTCTTTAGCGAACAATGTCCTTTAAATACTTTCAAAGCCGAATCATCTACCTGTCTATTATTTTGTTTTGCTGACCAACTCAGCCAATAATCCTCAAATATGAGGGGTAGGCTGTACAAGGTGAATGTAAATGTTTGATTGTACAAAGTGAAAAAAAAAATGCATTTGAACAGAAAATACCACATAAATCTATCACTGCGGATGGCGATCATTAAGCCAAATACGTGTAATAATTGAAAGTACATTTTTGCTACAGGCACGGACTATGGCCACCAGACATTAAATCCATCGAACCAGTGTCAGTGGTGTGACCTGTATGACTCAACAGCTCGTGCTAACAGTGTCTGGTCAGATCGCCCTGCAATAGCTTGTGACGATCAAGATGCATGCACCAAGAAGGACACTTGTGATGCAGGCAGGTATGTACGAGTAAGCGCTTGTACTCGTGGTTCGTTGGTGGTCTACTATTTAAACAACGTATTTTGCCTAGTTTTATCTAGTTGTAAATCAGAGATGACACAAAAATCGTACATTATAGGAAGCGACCAATTGCAGCCTGCGTAGTTTTCAGTACATTGTGTGGAGGACAGTACACATGGTACGGTACCTTAAAACTGCCATAAAGTTTTAAACTGAAGAACACAATTATTTCTGTAGCTTTTCCTGAAGCATCAGTGTTCACATTGCTGGCAGTTATTAATTCTCTTTAAGAACGCTTTTGGAAGCAAAAAATTCGATATAGCTTCGATCTTTATTTCATTCGTGATCCTTTCTTTGCAGTTACTGCAATAGTGAGTGGTAACAAATTAACAAGTAGATTTGTGTCAATGGTTTTTAAGGCAGCCTCTTCCCGAGATTATCGTACGGCGTAAGTTACATTGTACGTTACAATGTATCTTAAAACTTCAGGTGTCTTGGTCAAGGATACTCTTGTCAATCTTCTTTCCCATCCCCGAGTTGTATCCAGACGTCTGTGTGTGTTGGTGATGGTACATGCCGCTTTACAATGAAGTCAAATGGAACAGTATGTCGAGCAGCTACAGACAATTGTGACACACCAGAGAGGTAAGACTTCAAAGGATTATCTCAATTTCATGAAAAAATCTCACAGATGTACTCATTCTTAGAGGCGAGTCCCCATTTTAGTTGCAAATATTTCTTATGTAACTCACTTATGCCAGACAAATTGGCGGTGATAAAATGGTCAACTCAGGTTTTCTGAAGGGTTAACCAGTAGACTGGGGCTTCATATCGGGGACATTGGTTCAATGACGTGGCGGTTTATTAAACCTGTCCTGAGGTTTTACGACCTTTTAAGTTAATTGCTGATTTATGTTTGATAAAGGTGTAATGGTGTCCTTATGACCTGTCCTGAAGCAGTGACCGATAGCATCTTGTTAAAAGCAGGCCAAGTGCAGTTCATGGACTCAAGGTTTCACTCAATCGTCACTCACCAGTACTTTACTGACAGGGTGTATTTGGAGCTCTCTGGATTCTCTGTGTCTTGTGGAAAGATTCATTTTACATGGTTCCTTCTTTCTGGAATGTCGTCTTGTTCTTTAAATTCGTCCTTTAGTGGCTCTTTACCAGGCACCAGCAGATATCACACTATAAGTGGATTGACAATGGAAGATTACAAAAACTACAAATTTGCCTTGAAAGCGTCTGACATGCGACTGCAGGTATATAAAGTAGTCTGCAGTGATTTAATAGTCATAGATACATCAAAGCCGCAAGATGGGTGGATTCGGGATGGGTCTGCGAGTGACCTGAGTTACCAAGCTTCCAAATTATTGCAGGTAAACTGGGGTGGAGTACTAGCAAGACACGGTGTTGGCAATTACGACTGGAAAGTTCTCTTAACCCCTTCCAACACAAATCAGACCATGGAACTTATGCCCTTTACGAACGTTTATCAGAACACTAGCGCACAAAAAACATTCAACAACATCACAGACGGTTCAAAAGTAAAATTCGTTGTTCGAGCTTACACCAAAGCGGGACTGTTTTCAGACCTCACGAGTAACGGCGTTGTCATCGACACGTCAGCACCTGTTGCAGGAAAAATCTTTGATGGTGATCAAGTTGGCTTAGATTTAAAATTTGCTCAATGGTCGAATACCCTCAGTGCAAACTGGGACCGCTTTATTGATCCCCATTCTCCCATTTCGCGTTACACTTGGGCGGTACAGCGACTAGGCACTGGATTAATTACCTCATTTAAAGCTACAGCACTTAACCGCGCTCCTACAGCAACTATCCTTAACCTAGTTTCCGGCGAGAGCTACTGCGCAGTTGTCAGAGGCTATAACGAGGCTGGTCTTTACACCCAAGTCAACTCAGACTGTGTGTTGATAGACCACGATGTACCGCTAGCTGGTACTGTAAATGATGGACACTTCCATGATGTAGACTACCAATCGGAGGACACCATGATAGCAGCTAATTGGCATGGTTTCACTGATGGGAGTAAAGGAAGTGGAATTGTGGAGTACAGATGCAAAGTCACAGAAGACGGTGGAGCTACAATTGTTCCCTGGACATCTGCTGGCAATGCCAGTAACATAACGCTTAACGGGTTGGTTCTCAAGAATAACACAAAGTACTTCGTTACCGTTAAAGCAGTCGATGCAGTGGGACTTAGTACTGACATCACTACGGATGGTGTTACTTTAGACACAACACATCCTGTTTTCACAGGAAAAGTGATCGTTACCGGAGAAGATGACGTGATAAATGGAACTCCTTGCGTTTACATTTCAAGTGTATCCTCAGTAACTGTGCAGTGGAATGGTTTCTCTGACGCGCACAGTGGTCTTCAGCGATATGAATGGGCGATTCTCCCCACAGACAAGTCTTTCTCAAACTCTGACTTCAAAGAAGTATCTGGATCCAGTCTTCCGACATTTGCAACATTTTACAATGTAGCGCTTATTCAAGGAAAGGGGTATTATGTCATCATACGAGCCTATAATGGCGCCAAGCTATATAAAGACGCGTTCTCAGTCGTTGTGATACCCGACTACACCCCTCCATCCCCTGGAGAGGTGTTCGACGGACCAACATTCAAAGTAGATATCGACTATCAGGCTGAGATTCAACATGTTTATGGGTCTTGGTCAAGTTTCTCTGAGCCTCACAGTGCAGTCAAGCAGTACTACTATGCCGTAGGAAGCTGTATATTTGGAAACTATCATATTACTCGAAACGGATTCACTCAAACCGACCCTCCAACGGCTTCTTCATTTTTGATTTCAAACGTTTCACTTGTTAATGGCCAGCGATATTGCATCAAGATTAAGGCTGAAAACAAAGCTGGGGTGATGAGTTACGAAGTATCATCAAATGGTTTTGTCGTTGACGTAACACCTCCAAACACTCGGAGAGCTCAAGTGCGTGACGGAATCACGGGTGCGGATATAGATTATCAAGCTAATACCACAGCAATTTCAGCTGAATGGGATGGTTTTGCTGACCTTGAGTCTCAGATACAATATTATGAATATGGAGTAAGCAGAAATCGTGCTGGCACGCCTAATGTTTATCCATTAACAACTAATGGCCTTAACACTTCAGCGACTGAAGGTGGCTTATCGCTGACTGATGATGTCTACTACTTCATAGTTTGTGCCGTAAACAATGCGGGGTTACGCAGTTGCATCAGCTCTGATGGAGTACTTATCGATTTGACTCCTCCAAGTCATGGTGTAGTGCACGACGGCATCATTGAGCCAGATCTCCAGTATCAGTCTTCCTTGTCAAGTATGGCTGCCAACTGGGAAGGAATCTGGGACTTGGAAAGTGGAATCGAAAAATTTGAGTGGAGCATTGGAACCAGTGAAAATGATAAGGGCAGTGTTCAAGACTATGTCGATGCTGGACTCTCTACTCACGTTAGAAGTCAAGTGGCCCTCAACCTATCCAGTGGGACAAAGTATTATGTTCATCTTAAGGTACTCAATCAAGCAGGAGCTGTCAGAGAACTTGTTTCAGATGGTGTGATTGCAGATGGGACGCCACCAATACCGAGCAAAATCCATCCAGGATTTGGATCCCAAGATGGGTGGATATTCCGTGAACAAAAGAATGCCTTCTACTCTGCTTCGGGCTCAAGTATCGCTGTTTACTGGGACCAGTTTTCGGAACCCGAAAGTGAGGTCTGGTACTATAAATGGGCCATAGGTACAAGCAAATGCAGTACTCAGGTTCAACCACTAATTAACGTAGGTCGGTCAAACTACGCCAACACCACAACGACAAACCTCGTATTTAGACCTGGTGTGAGATATTATACGTCCGTGATGTCAAGGAACAAAGCTGGCCTAGTGTCAAGGGCATGCTCTGATGCGCTTGTCTTTGACAGCACTCCACCGCTTCCAGGAATTATTCACATAAAACAACCGCCAGGAAGCAATATAACTAAAACTTTCATCTCTAACAACAGTGCGGCTATTAATTGGGAAGGTTTTAGTGACCCAGAGAGTGAAATACAGCGATGCAATATTTCAATCATTGACCAAGATGGCGACATTAAGTTCATGGAGACTTCCAATTCAACTTCTGGATTTATGATGATACCTGAAAACGTCCTCTTCGTACGTGGTCAATACAATATTAGCGCATGTTGCGTCAACAATGCAAATCTTGCTTCCTTCTCAAAGTCAGTTTTTATCGTTGATAACACGCCACCAGTTCAGTCTGGTCCTGTTGTAACGGGCATATCATGCGATGGCGCTTTACATTATCAGTCCGATGATAAATCTATTAAAGGATCCTGGCCACCGTTCACGGACCCTGAAAGCGGTATAGAAAGATATTATGTGGCAATTGGTTCACAACCTTATCAAGGCGATATCATTGGTTTTGAAAACGTGTACCTCGCCACTCGCATAAACAAGACCGATGTTACTCTTTCTCTAGGTGCTATATACTACATCACAGTCGTAGCAGTAAATCGTGCTGGATTGAGCACGAACGTATCATCTCTTGGCCTTTTGATAGACAAAACGCCCCCTCTTGCCGACAATACTCATATCATAGATGGTATGCATGGTGCAGATATCGACTACATCTCTCCTGATACTGTACTATCAGCCCACTGGGAAAAGATAGCAGATCTCGAAAGCGGTATTATGCAAAGTCAGTATTGTGTTGGAACCAAACCACTTGGTTGCCAAATAAAACCAATGACCAGTGTTGGTAGAAATTTGTCTTTCACTTGTCCAGATTGCATCATTCAAGAGGGTTTGAGATTGTATGTAACAGTGCGGGTGACAAATGGTGCTGGTCTTAGTGAGACACGACACTCTGATGGAATGTTGTTGGATGTTAGTCCTCCGCTAATGGGCAATGTTCATGATGGAAGTCATGTAACTGGAATGGACTACAATGTAGTTCTTGAGGAATGGAATATTTCTATGACTTGGTTTGGAGTGGAAGATGATGAAAGTGGCATACGATCTTGCAAATGGACCATTGAAAGTAACAGTGGGAGCATATTTCATACCGATGAAATTGGCAATAACACCATTTATGAAGAACGAAATCTATTCTCACTCAACCAGACATACAAAACTCTCCTTGTCATTCCTAACGCGACTTATTTCAATGTTTTGACCTGCATCAACAGAGCAGGCTTACATTCCACCGTGCGCTCTAATGGTTTCCAAATAAGGAGCATTTGGCCCATCCCAGCTGTTGTAAGAGTTGGTGCAACCCGAGGCAAAGACTCAGCTTATGTAACAAGTTACAAAATCATAAGTACCAATTGGGATCCATTTTTTGACGATGAAAGCGATCCTGTTGTCGACTACGAGTTAGCTGTCGGGACAGTAACAGACAAGGAGGGTGTCCTTGGCTTCACTAGTGTAGGGTTGGGAAGGATTGTTGAAATAGACTTGGCTCCGGGCATTCCAGATCTTGAAGTCCTAGAGACTGGTGTGACGTATTACATCACCATAAAAGCGACTTCTTTGCGTGGTCTTAGTTCTATGAAGCGCTCCACTGGCTTTACTGTAGACCCTAGCCCGCCAATGGAAACGGAACTTTTAGTGTCACACAAAGTTATAGATCAGATTGCACGAACAGTTGAAATAAGAGTTTCTTGGAATAGTGTTAGGGATAGCGAAAGTGGCATTAGTAACAGTGAGTATTGTCTAGGTACAACACCTGGTAGGTGCCAAAGCGCCTCTATTCCAGCGGGTCTTTCTACCTTTGGAACTATTGGCCCCTTTAGGCCTTATCCATGGGTTCATTATTACGTCATCGTCGCGGTTACTAATGGAGCTGGTCTGATAACAGTGATGTCCTCAAGGAAGTTATTATTTGACACCACTCCTCCATCGAAGGGTATTGTTATCGATGGTATCGGCCCTGACATTGATTACATGAATTATACGAGCTCTTTGTCGATTCAGTGGAAAGGGATTGATGACCAAGAGTCAGGTATTGCAAATTGTTCATGGACTCTCATTGAACAGTCTGCATCTGATAACAGAACTGCATTTGAAAATGATACTGTTGTGTTAACACAACCCGTGAAAAGCAAAGGAATCCTCACACGTGAGAATCTCAGCCTGATACCAGGCGCCCGTTACGTCAGCAAGATCGCGTGCTCCAATTATGACGGTTTCATCTCTACGTCCTTCTCTGATGGTGTTGTTGTAGATGTTACTTCGCCAAGTGCTGTTCTTGTGCGAGACGGTTCATCTCTATCAACTGACGTGGAATATCAGTCATCGACAAGGGTAGTAGAGGCAATATGGAGTCCCTTTGAAGATCATGAAAGTGGGATCAGCGAATACAGGTGGGGCTTAGGGACAATGCCTGATGATGTTAGCATCATGAAATTTACTTCTACTGGAAAGGACACAACGGGAAGAGCATGGAACGCCACTCTTTCCCATGGCGTTAGGTATTACGTTACTGTGGAAGCTACAAATGGTGCCGGGATGACGTCACATGGTTGGTCCAGTGGGTTTACTGTTGATGTAACTCCTCCTGAGATCACTGAGGTAAATAAAGCTCACAAATATTTTTACTACATAGAGGTGCAATTTGCAGATGTAAAATCAAAAAAGCAAATCGGAAGTATTTAAAACAAGGATTATTCTATCTCATGCTAAAATCAGGCCTATTCTGGGCGGAACTAACTTTTGCTGACCAGTAATTGCATTCGTGCCTGTTTATTATGCAGATATCGGCTGGTTCAAAACTTTGGATTGGTCCAACAGATCATCTGCACGCTACGTGGAAGGTGCAAGATCTCGAAAGTGATATTACCAAGACCGAGTATTGCGTTGGAACGTTACCAGCTGGATGTCAAATAAAGTCCATGACCGAAATACTTCCAAACTCAACAAAAGTGCCTTGCGAAGACTGCCGCCTGAATCATTATGGGACGTACTTTATCAGCATTAGAGTGACTAATGGAGCAGGGCTTTCCACTGTGACAGCAACAAACGAAACGAAAGTTGATATGACTGCCCCTGTCCTCTATGATGTAGTTCCCCAGTTTAGTTTTATTTCTTGCATTTCGAGTTGTAACTTGGTTACAAATATCACTGGTGTGCGAGACGAAGAAAGTGGTGTCCGATCCTGCAGCTATGCCATCAGAAACAGCAGTTTTATGATAACGGACTTCGTTGATATTGGACTGAACACAACCGTGGAAGCTACAGATCTAGAGCTGATGAATGGGCAACAGTATTACACTGTGGTAAGATGTGAAAACAGTGTTGGACTTACCACTGAGAGAGTCTCTTCTCCTGTTGTTGTTGACAACACACCTCCTTCAAAGGTATGGAATCTTCCTCACATTTGAAAAATTTATATTTTATCGAAATGAAAATGAAGTGATTGTTACTGAGCACCTAATTTCAATTTAGGCTTCTTGCCTGATGGAGGCGAAAAAATCAATTGCCATTGAAAAACACATAGTAATCCTTTATGTTGTACCAGTTTGTCCCAAATGGTTGTTATGTCGTGGCCTTTGAGATATTTCACTATATCAATTTCTTTATCGTCCCTGGTCAGTTTCTTAACGTCTTGCTAGTATTGTATAGGATTGGTCGCTCTTAAAACCCGTCAATAAAGGAAGAAATGCTATATATGGCGTGTTTTATCGTTTTAGAGTGTCAAAATAGCAACCAGGACGTAAGTGAATTATCCCGTAGACGATAAAAACCTTGAATAAAATGAGTGAACAAGGCTTCGATCTTGTTTATCCCCCACTTTACTGAGAACACGTAAAAATAAAATGAGTAAAAATCGCCGCCCTCTAGGAAGGAAACGCGCGTTTCAGTTTCTCCCTTTACTACAGTTTTGAGAAGTAAAAGGGACTGCTCGTAGACCTTCAATCTCAGTTGCCTGATGCACCAACAAATATGAATCGGATTTGGAAGCAGCAAGCGTGTTCGTAGCCTGAAAAAACAGCCGACATCTCGCGACACCACTGGTTTCCTCGAGAAATGACGTCTGAGGTACGACTGAAAAAGTTCACCACCTATCCGGATCCGGGTAGTGCTTCTGATTGGTTGAAGCAAATTTCCCTCGCGGCGCAGACCTATCAGAAGCTCTACCCAGGTCTGGGTAGTGACTTGTCACTTGAGTATGGAATTTTTGCAGGTATTGGCCGTCCACAGACGTCATTTCGTGGGGAAGCCTGTGGTGGCGTCTCGAAATGTTAGCTGTTTTCTCAGGCTAACGTGTTTGCTTTAATAATGTTCCTTCCCATGTATCTTTCTATCATGACCTCCTAACTTATTGTACATTGCACCCTAATAAGAGACAAAAAGGGACAAACACACTCTACCTCAATTTTACAGGGCTTGGTGATTGTGAGTGAAGACCGTACGCATGACGTTTTTGGCGTACATTCCAGTTGTCATCTGTTCAACAAAACACTGCGGGCTCATTGGTACGGTTTTAACGACAATGAATCAGAAATCAGTGACTTTCGAGTAGCAGTTGGTAGACAGCCCAAAGCGTCCGACGTCTTGCAATTCCATAAAGTTGGCTTGGTCACCGATGTTTATCTTCCTTTAACCAACAGTACATTTGATGGTGACATCGTCTATGTGACAGTGGAGTCACGCAATTCGGCTGGTTTGGCAACGCAGAGTTCGTCACCTGCTACAAGGCTAGTTGCCGCCGATAGTGAGGAGTACATTAAGCAGGGAGATTTTTACTGCCTGAACGTTTAAGAAAAACTGATTATCGCTAAAATTTCTAATGCAACAAAACTGTAATGTAACTTCTTTTATCGTCTCAAAGATTTCTTGTAGGGACACCTGGAGTGATTTCCTTTAATTAATGGAAACTAGCTATTCACAACAGATTCAGGAAGAGTGATAAAGATATTGACCGGTTTTTAGGCGAGCAAAAAGGGGTGGGGCGGGGGTCTCGAAGAATCGAAAGCTTAAACTTTGAGATGGGCCAGCGATACCTCTCTGTTCGGGGGAATTGTTTTGATGAGATCTGGCCTGCCTTGGGTTAGCTTTTGCTGAAGGAGTCTACCACTTGACTAACCATTAGAAGATTAATGGGTCGCTTTAGTTAACAAAGTAACTTAAGTAACCGGGACGTTGATCCTCAATAGATTACAATGGTAGAGAACGTTTGAAAGACCTGCGTTACTTTTTACAACCAAGCACTACATCGGGTGTAAGGGTGAAAAATCGTCTCTTCTTGAACCTGGAAGATAAAAAACTGTTTAAAGGGAAGTTTGGGCAAAGGCCGATAGGGGAATCACTTCTCCTCATTCTTTCCAACTTCTTCCGCAACCCTCTCGTAATGTTTTCGAAAGCTTTAATTGCTTAAAATGTCAAGTTAGCAGTAAATGAAAAAGATTTTGGAGCTATTTCATAGCCATTGATACGTATATGTTTGGTATAGAACGTTGCCTTTAATGGACTTTAAATTTTCAAGCCTAGGAATATATAGAACAATGGAGTCAGTCATGGGTGTGTTGTGTTAAAATAGAATATGATAACTCTCGATCTTAAGTGGGCTTCTGTACTCCTCGACTACGAACGAGGCCCCAAAAAGTATGTGGTAAAAGTTGTACTTTCACTACAGCAAAAACTTAAACTTTTTTGTATGTCTTTAAATAACTTTCTCTTAGGGACGGACCATTTAAGTTTTGTGGCGGAATGGGGAGGGGAGGGTGTGAGTGGGCAATTTCTTCTTTCTTCCTTTCTTTCTTTCTTTCTTTCTTTTGGTACCTCTCCTAGAGGCAATCATAAAAATACCCCTAACCGGGCCGTAGCTATGTGTTTTGTAACAGGGGGACATTATCACGAGTGCCCAAGGCACGAACCTTGTTGCTTTGAACCCCAAAAAATTTTCAAATTTGGAGGCTCCGAAACGCTATTTTCAGCACTTGTCATAGACTGCAAAACAGTCCGTATTTTGGCGTATTCAAGTACGCGCGAGCAGTCAAATAAAAGGGCTGGAACGAGGCTGAAAACAGAGAGCGAGACTGGGGAGAGACGCTAAAAATACGTCATGTCTCATTTGAGTCACAAGGAAGCCAAAACAACGTTGTTACAAAATCGATAATCATTTCAGTATTATGTTAGGGACCTCTGAAAGATTAAAATCTTTTTAGTGTGGATTTAATTAACTTTTGTGTGGAATACATAAACGCCGATGACGTCATAGCCTTTTGGCTTTATTTCATGAATACAATGGGGAGGAATCTCATTAAGATAAGGTCATGTGCTATTTTTAAGTGGTTTAACCAAATTGAAAGGATTTTAGTTATTTTTAGATAGATGATGTCAAAGTCTATTTTAAATTTTGTGCGTCATATCCTTATTTGGGTATGAAGCCACTCCCGGAAGGGGGTGAAAATTTTGCGGTGCATTAGTTTTTTTCAAAGTTCACTGGTCTGTCTGTGCACTAAAGTTTTTTCTATACCTGCCTTCTTTTCGAAAGGTTTACAAGAGATTTTAAATCAATAACATATTCTTTGATTCACTTCGAGGATATCTTTGTCTCTACAAATTAATCAACAACTAGTGCGCTCTCGGCGCTTTTTCAAAAAACCTGGCAATAACAAAATCACGTACCATAACTAAGGTGGCTCGATAGGGTTTTTCAGGATTAAAACCCCGCACGTTGGAGCATAAACTACGTCGCAATTTACAAGATTTGGAAAATCCTTCTTTCTAGAAATCAGCTAGAGCAATCTCCGTGATCTTTCACACACGTTTTTAAAAAGATTAAAATTAATACAAGGCAAAATTGGGCTTCGTTTTTTACAGATAACGGCCGGACATCAAGATTGTCCAGTTTTTTACAATAGTTCTAACCATGAAAACTTCATCCTAAAATATCTCCATAACGCTCATACAGATTTCGCTTAAACTTCACGAACATCAAGACAGGTATCAGAAAAAAAAAAAAAACTCCCGTGAACGAGTTTGGAAGAACAGTTCTCAGTGCCGAGAAATACGGCTGCAAGGAAAATAGGCATTGGCGTCGTTTTGTTGCTATGATAACTTCGATGTCATTGTAACCCTGATCTTCAAATTTCTATCTTTATCTAATACAGCTCTGGTGGTAATTCTTCCAAATCTTTGTTAATGGCAACGACGTTTACATTCAAACTTGGGAGGTATTGACCCTGAAAAACTATCAAACCACCTTCATTTTTGCGATTTCACGAACTGAAACTTTGGCGTGTTAAGCTATTCAAAACTTTTACGATGGCAATAGAACTGCTATGTGATAAAATCATGAACGTCAATAACCTCATTTAAATCAAAATCATACTACGTTCTGAAACCTAAATTTGAACGATACAAACAAAACTGCTACTGTCAAACAAAGTCAATGATACGCGTCATAATCGACTGTCAAATGGCATACCGTATTTCCTCGAATAATAATCGTCCCTCGATTAATCGTCTCCCCCAATAATCGCCCCCCTTTGATGGAAATATTTGAAATAGTCGCCTCCCTTGAATAATTGTTAGAGCTATTTACAATATTTACCTGACACTGATTCCAGGGATTGATCTCATTATATGAATAACATTGTCCTCCTACCTCACACTGGTCCTCACACTTCTTAGACTTCAACAGTCCGTATTTTTGCGTATTCAAGTACGCTCGAGCAGTCAAACAAAAGGTCTGGAACGACGCTGAAAGCAGAGAGCGAGACTGGGGAGAGACGCTAAAAATACGTCATGTCTCATTGAGTCACAAAGAAGCCAAAACAACGTTGTTACAAAATCGATAATCATTTCAGTATTATGGTAGGGAGTGACATGTAGTTGGTTCCACGATGCATAAGCATCACTGCGAGGCCGCACCGTAATTTTTAGGGAGTTATTATAACTCCAAAAATGGAGTAAAAATTTTAGGTACAGGATAACCCCTTTTTTGGGGTTATTTTAACTCCTAATTTAACTCCGAATTTGGGGTCATTTTTACTCCTGAAAAAGAGTTCTTTTTACTCCTAGTCTGGAGTTAAAATTACTCCGAAATGGGGTTACTTGTACTCCTTACATGGGTTGTTTTTACTCTTTTTGGAGTTAATTTAACTCTGAAAGTGGAGTAAAAATTTTAGGTACAGGATAACTCCTTTTTTAGGGTCATTTTAACTCCTCAATATCTAGGGTCACTTTTACTACTGAAAAAGAGTTCTTTAAACTCCTTTTTGGAGTTAAAGTAACTTCACGAAAAATAACTCCACTGTAAGGAGTTAAATTAGCCCCACCAGAGGAGTTATTATAACTCCCTGAAAATTACAGTGTGCTAAGGCGTTCTTCCGTCATTGAAGAACGTGTCCATAGCCTCAGACGACGCAGAGCAGAGAAGGATCTTTTACACAAAACAGTACCAACTGGTCTGATGACCACCTCCGAAAAAGTCTTGACAATAATTATTGTAATTATTAGTAGACAACTTGTCTCCGTGTGAGGCAAATGGATTGTATAAAAGCAATTTTAGTGTTCTACCACAATGATATAGACGACAAATTCGGTTATTGTTTTTAACATGAACTGATTAAAATGGTCCTGAAAATGTCTTCATTTTCTTCTAAATTTCATCTGCAGGAATTATTTTTTGGTGATTGCCCAACTCCCACCACAAAAATTAAATGGTCCATCCCTAAAGAGTGAATATATTTATAAAAATATATATCACACAATCCACAAAAGTGATGTAACAAGTGGTTAAAAAACAAAATAAAATAATAATAATAATAATAATAATAATAATAACAAAAACTCGCAAACTATTGAACATGCACAAGATGTTACATCCTAAAGCAGATGTGGAAAGGCTGTACATCCCACGAAAAGATGGAGGTAGGGGCCTGATTGATGTAGAAACAGCATTCAAAACAGCAACAATAGGGCTTGATTACTATCTGAAACACAAAGAAGAGCAATATCCAAAGCAGGTGCTTGAACATGAAAGATCTAAAGCCAAAAATTCAATATCCAAGAATGCTACTAAATTCAAAAGGGAAGTAACAATGCCAGAGATTGAGAACGGAGAAGATAAATCTGCCTCTGAAAATGCTAAAGCCCTGAAACACGTGTTTAAGTCCAAGATGAAGTCAATGAAAGAAGAAAAGTGGAAAAACAAAGCATTGCATGGCCAGTATCCAAAGATCCTAGAGAAGCCTCATGTAGACACAGTCACCACCAACAAATGGTTGTCAAGTAATTTGAAAGGAGAAACAGAGGGACTACTTGTAGCAGTTCAAGACCAGGCAATAAACACCAGAAACTACCAGAAAGTAATATGTGGCCAGCAAGTGGAGAGCAAATGCAGAATGCGTTCGCAACATGAAGAGACAGTGGACCATATTGTATCTGGATGTGAGGTATTAGCCAAAACAGAGTACATCTCCAGGCACAATAATGCTGCAGCATATCTCCATTGGAGCATCTGTAAAGATCATGATATAGAGATTACAGACAAATGGTACGAACACGAGCCAGAGACCGTGATGCACAATAAAGATAACAACATCACCATCATGTGGGACATGCCAGTCAATACTGATAGAACTATAACAGCGAACAGACCAGACATCATCGTTAAAGATTCAGTGAATTCCACCTGCAAACTGATTGATATGACTGTTCCATCAGATAGAAACATCGCACTGAAGGAAGCTGAAATAAAAAGCAAGTACAAAGACCTAGAACTAGAAATACAGAGAATGTGGCATATGAAAACCGTAGTGATCCCTGTGGTTGTTGGTGCGCTTGGTACGGTGAAGAAGGGTATGGTAGAAAACATCAAGAAAGTATCAGAGAGAGCTACTATGACAGAGATTCAAAAGATCTGCATGCTGGGATCTGCGCGAATCCTTAGAAAGGTGCCCAGTGTATGAACAGAATGATTCACTTGAGTGACTGACGCTCTAGGTGCATGGTTTGCGCCCGGCTGATGCACAAAAAGAACACCAGCAAAGATTGTGATAAAAGAGATAATAATAATAACAAAATAATAATAATAATAATAATAATAATAATAATAATAATAATAATAATAATAATGATGATGTGAAAGGTTTGAACCTAGGAGTCATTTCAAAAATAGGCTGAGTTTGATCTTCCTGTATGGTGGACGTAGTTAGGCATAGCTGCAAAAATCCGGATTTTTGAAACGATTTTTAGACGCTGTAAACATATTTAGAAAGTGTGGAGATTTTTAGATGAATTGGGCAAGTCCGAAGATTTTTAGAATATTTAGAGCTAAAAAAAGATCCGTAAAATGCAATACGAAGTTGCGAACTATATAAATAATGCTTTTTATTGGGGTATTTAAGGAACTTGATGGCGTTGATGCACTGATAAAGTTATTTAGGTCCAGAGGCAAAAGAGGCTCATGCACAGCTTGGGAGGCCTGGGGGCATTAATTCTCCCCGAGAAATCGTGTTCTTCTAGACACCATTTCTACTCTGAGAGGACAATTTTTGTCAGTAAAACAAATGTTCGCTAAATCGATTGTCATTTTTATGCTTATTTTTTTTTCGCTGGGAGTCTCGATTTTATTGACATTTCTTGCGGTTTTTAAAGTTTTCTGGCTATCCGTTTCAGGTAAGTATGACTCTGTTATGTGTTATTGTATAAGTATCATAAGTTCATTTGGAAATATCAGAACAGATTTCAAAATCAGGTTTTTTCTTATCTCGATCACATATTGATCGGGATTCGGGATTCTCGAGCAAAGTCGAAATGGTTGGACAGTCTGCAAAATGAGTCAGATCAGAACCGACAGGGTGATGAATGGCCACCGAAGAGCCAATTTAATGGGGAGCTGCAACATCCGACGGTCGCGACGACTACGAAAACGTCACTTAAAAAGTGAATGCTGACTGCTTTAAACCTCATGACGTTTATTTTATCTCGTTTAATTCGTCGAATGTTGGAAAATTATTTTAGTTAAAGGACTGCCAGTCAAAGGCGCTATTCTTTGGAACGCTGTCTCGATTCATTTGATAGACCATGCAGTTTACCGTATTTTATCGCAAAGTGAAGAAGGACTCTTATTTTAAGGAACTTGATTTTATTAGCGCACAGTCGGTCCAGTCGCTGCCCAGGCACTACCAAGATTTTAAATGTTTTGAACTATTTGATGTTTTAAATGCTGTTGTCAATTTACCTAGAGGTAACTAATATAAACTCATTTTACTTTAATTATTTTTATTTTTAGAATCTTACTGTATATTTTTAGAGTTTCTATTGTAGCTGTATTTTGTAAATAATGTTATTGTTGTTTTTAATATAATTTTTATTCATTTGTAGTTATTATTACACGAGCCCACAAGCTTTGAGCTTTAAATCATATCGTGTTTAAATAAAGGATATGTATGTATGTAGTTCAGGAAAAGAAGAAGAAAAAGAATCCTAATCATAAAGAAAGAAGGCAAAAGTGGACCTCGAAAAAGTCGCAGAAGTTAGCAAAAATCGCAAAAGTAACCAGTATGTTTCATTGCAAGAAGAAAGACACGCTATCAAATATCGCAAGAATAACAAATTTAGCCGAAGTTCAAACTTAAATCTGTATACTAAACAATCAAGGTAAAGGAGGCCCTCTAGAAGTCTGAAAATTTCGCAAAAGTCACAAAAGTAACAAGAATTTTCCAATTAAAACACGCTAAAAAATGACGCAAGAATAACAGTCATAACAAGAGTAACAAATTTCGTAAAAGGTCAGTATCTTCTAAAGAAGAAAGGTAAAAAAGGCCCTCGTTGAGGCCGCAAGTTTCGTAAAAAACGCAGAAGTAAAGACAGGCCGCCCAAACTCTGCGAGAGTTCGTTGGGACTTTGAATTTATAACAGAATGTATGAAAATAAACAAAATACGTCTTAAATTCCCTTTTCTGACAAAAATAGAATAAGAATAAAAATGACTCCCCTTGTGTTTTTGTTTTGTTTTTTACTGTCTCTTCACATCTAGAGCCATTTGGAAGCCGTTTTATCGACGTAAAAATTAAAGAGTTCTAGTTAGTAAACTCACAGGCCTACCATGCGAAGGTCACGCGCGACATGTGATCCATACATTTACTTTATTTTGTAACGCCGGCACTCGGCTTGATTCAAGTGATCGGTAGAAATGCTTCATAAAACACAGAATTTTGCACCTTTTGACCCCAAATTTTGATATAATGTAAGAAAAATGAAGAAAGATAACTTACCGTATGTTTTTAGTGTTGTGTTACACTTTTGTGGCGTTTTCGGTCGCTTGAAACTGACACCCCCAAAAACGACAACCTTTGACTATAAATAGATAATAAAACGTAATGTATTAGTCGGGGGTATTAGTTTCAAGCGACTGGAAACGGCACAAAACGCAGAACACAACACTAAAAACATACGGTAAGTTACGGTACTCCCTTACTCGGGCTTAATGGAGACGTGCGGCCAGCCAGGATATGTTTTTTGGGATTTTTCTCTTAAACAGGGTATCGATTTTATCATTTTTTGTCTTGATCAGGGTATCGATTTTATCAAGTTTTGTCTTAAACAGGGTATCTTTTTAAATAGTTTTGTGATTGCCAATGGATTAAATAAGAAAGAGCTTCGATATTTATTATTGTCTTACACAGGGTATGATTTGGGGTTAAATGTCTTAAACAGGGTATCAAAAATCGGAATTCTGTCTTAAACAGGGTAAGAAAATCAGCGATTTTTGTCTTAAACAGGGTCAGGTATGGAGGGCCGGCCGTGCCGCACCTCCCCACCCAAGGATATATCGAGTACCACTCCCCGGGATAAAATGGCTTCCAAAGGGATCTAGAAGTGAAGAGGCAGTAAAAAAGAAAACAAATACACAAGGGGAGTCATTTTTATTTCTACTTTTGTCAAAAAAAAAAAAATGGAATTTAGGACGTATTTTGTCTTATAGATTCAAAGTTCAACTAACTCCCGCAGAGTTTGGGTGGCCTGTGCCAGTGAAGGAAAGTAACAAGAAAGACACTGGAAACGAGAATACAAACAAACAAAATGGCGGACCAGACGGGCCTTTTGTCATTCTTCGTTCGCCGGCCTTTCCTCGACTTCAGATTTACCTGCTGCATTGACGTCTAAAGGCTTGCGGTAATTCTGTTCAGCAGTTATCACTGGTAGGTGAAAAACGACGACTTAGTGCTCTAGGATGAACCCTTCTGTGTTGTCCCATTCTCTCGGTGCGGGCCAGCCTTGAAACAGTTGCCCGCGGGCAAGTGCAGCAGTAGACAGGGTGCCCTGGAGAGGCGGGATTTCCTGTCTTGAGTTTAAAGACATCAACGGTTGTGTTTTCACTAGGCCGGTTAACTAGCTAAAAATTATTTCTAGGGTTTTGATTACATGCTAGACTACGAGTTCACGCGCGCTCGCGTTTCGCTCGCTCTACTGAATAAAAATGGGGACTAAAGTAAAAGTAAAACTTTATTGAATCTCCCAATCAGGGTTTTTCCAGACCCAACGTACATAAGCATAGAAGTAATTCATAACGTAAGTTTGAAATATCGTATTTATTCGATTAACCGCCCTGGGCGCTTATTAAATTTTTGGACCTTGAGAGTGGGCGCTTATATCGAGGTGGGCGGTTATTCGAGGCTGGGCCCTTATTAAATTTTCACCGTTTTCAGCAAGTGAAGTATGTCTATTTTGCAACAAAACAATAAATGGTAATAACAAAACGCGGAAAAGTAACAAAGCAAGGTTTCTATAAACATGATATTCTGAAGAAAACTCCGTGCTGGGGGAAGTCTCTTATTAGAATTTATCCACTCAAGTGGGTGGGGTGGGGGTGAGCGTTTATTTGAGTTTGATTGGGGGGAGGAGGGGGTGGGCGCTTATTTGAGGCTGGGCGCCTATTAACTTTTTCTGCGTTTAGGATGGGCGCTTATTCGAGAGGGGCCCTAATTCGAGGTTGAGCGCTTATTCGAATAAATACGGTATTGAATAAAATATCTAAACATTAAAATTATAATAATACAGATAAAAACGACAATAGGTAACTCTCTTAGCTGACAAGAAATGATTCAAAAAAGAATTCTCTAAGTTTCTTTTTGAATCATCTTTAATTTGCTGGACCACACTACAAGTACCTTCAAACGCCTTTGACAAGTCTAGGAGGACTACAAGTGTCAGTTTTTTTGCATCCGTCGCCTCACGTGCCTTATCTGTCTTCATGATATTGAGTGTTTCACATTAGTGCAGCTTCTTGTTGCCTCTCTGATGCTTGGTCAGCCTCTCTTTGTTGGTCATGTACTTGGTCAATTGATTCAGAGCGACTTGTTTGCAAACCCTCGATGCAACTGGGATTAGCAGTACTGGGCTGTTATTGTTTGCAATCTCATGATCTCCTTCCTTAAGTAACGGGGTGACCTCAGAAATTTTCCAATTAGATGGAAAAACTGATGGCAATAGGGACCGGTTCACGATGTCTGTAAGGGCAAAATGCAAGGAAGTGAATCCTTAATCACTGACATAATTATCTTGTCATGGCCAGGTGCCTTACTGGATGAAAAAGACATTATAATCTTACGGATTTCATGAGTAGAGACTGTGTGAAATTGGAATTTATCTGCTACAGTGATTTCTGGAGCCTTGGTAGTGTCTGCTGGTGGGGGCAGATTGTGAAGCTTAGTCAAGGATTTGGAAGCATGAGATGCTTTAACTCCAACCGAGACAAAGAAATTATAAAGTTCATCTGCAACCACTTTTGGATCTCTCGTGTAGACTGGCTGTGTAATGTCATTGCGTGGGACACAACACCTTCTCATTTTCCATTTAGAACTGGCATTCTGGCACTTTCTAGCTCTTTCTGAATACATGTATTCTCTTTCTGCCTGTCTTAAGACTTTTACTGGTTACTAAAACGTGACAACTGTCTTTACTG